AGATTCATTCCCTATTGACCAAAATTCGAAGACAAGAATAGCAGGGAAATTGAGGAGGCTGTACTCTGCAGAGACCATATATTTCTCATTGGGGAAGTCAGGAGACCTCTCTGACCACACATATACAGAACAGACTCCTTGAAGGCCAAAGGGGAGTCACATCCAGGTGCCTTTTTGGTAGAATTCATTTTGGCTAAGCAGTGTGTACACACATGGGAAGATACCGAGATATGGACTGTGAACCAGGCAAATCATAATGATTGGCCAGAGGAAAGCTGGAAGAAACACCCGAAAAAAGTAATTCAAACTACCACGCGAGCATGACTCAGCAACTCAGGGACTCTCCTGTTGAGTCTGCCCATGTGTCTATCCACACGTACTGTACTCTTTTCCCTTCTAATACTTCTTGTTTCACTACTTTCTGTCTTTGTGGAAATTCTTTTCTGCAAAGCTGAATGACCAGGGGCCTTGTCACTGACCAGTGGTCTACTGGTTAGGATCTGGTGCTTTCGCTGCTGTGACCCAGCCCAGTCTCTGGTTGGGAACCCAGGCCCCACTCCAAGTCACTGCAGGCTGAGGCCACTTGAGATCATAACTAACATTTCTATAGCATCAGACTTTACTTTCACCGCCAGATACATCACAACTGAGTGTCCTTTTGGTTTTGGCCCATGTATAGCTCTTCATCCTGTTCATGACGCCAATTGTCTTGCTGCTCACTGTCCGCTGAACCCAGGGTAGGCAAGGCTCAAGCTAAGAGGCTGCAACCAGACGTGAGGAGCTGTAGGAACTGCAGAAACGTTTATTCTCTCCTGGCTGGTGCAGCAGCCGTAGCATAGCCTAACACAACACAACCTCTCTCCTGGCTGATGCAGCAGCCATATCACAACTCTCTCCTCTGTGGCTGACCCAACGGACACAGCCGTGACACAATAGTAAATGCTGCTGCTTGTCCAGGTGAAGCTTATATATGCGAACCGCACACATCCTGTGACCAAATGAGCACCTCGTAAGGCTCATGCGCAGGGATACACATGATCTCAGCTGTTACATAGACATTATTTACAAAACATGGGGTGAGAGAGCCTGAACACACTGTCTTGCCCAATTTGCTGTCTCTCACAGCCCAGCTGCTTCCTTCTTTCTGGAGCTGTTAGTAATTGCCCTCTGCTCTTCCTCAGGAGCATATTGGAGACCTTCTGACCTGGGGGCTTATCTTCCAGTGTCAAATCTTTTTGCCTTTTCATACTGTCCATGGGGTTCTCCAGGCAAGAATATTAGGTAGGTTGCTGGTTCTTCCTCCAGTGGAGCATGTTTTCTTAGAACTCTTCACTGTGACCCGCCCATCTTGGGTGGCCATATAGCTTTATTGAGTTAAGAAAGCCCCTTCCCCACAACAAGGCTGTGATCCACAAAGGGGAAGATCCTATATGTAAGAAGCCCTAAAGAGTCCACCAAAAAACCTGTTAGAGCTAATACATGAATTCAGCAAAGTATCAGTATACAAAGTCAACACACAAAAATCAGTTGCAGTAACAACGAAAAGAAAATAATGGAAACATTCAATTTACAGTGGCATCAAAAAGAATAAAACACTTAGGTATAAACTTTACAAGGGTTTCCCTGGTGGCTCAGCTGGTAAAGAATCTGCCTGCAATGCGGGAGACCTGGGTTTGATCCCTGGGTTGGGAAGATCCCCTGAAGAATGGAAAGGCTGCCCACTCCAGTATTCTGGCCTGGAGAATTCCATGGACTGTGTGTATAGTCCATGGGGTCACAAAGAGTTGGACACTACTGAGTGACTTTCACTTTCACTTTCATAAACTTTACAAAGGAGGTGGAAGACTTTACAGTGAAAACTCAAAAATCTTGTTGAAATAAATTAAAGAAGACATAAATAAATGGAAACATATCCCATGTTCATTGATTGAAAGAGCTAATATTTTTAAAATGTCAATAATACCCAAAGCAATCCACAGATCCTATTGAATCCCTATCAGTATTCTAATGACATTTTTTTTTTGTTGCAAAAAATAGAAAAACCTATCCTAAAATCCAGTGACATCTTAAAGGACCCCAATAGGTAAAGCAATCTGGAAAAAGAACAAAACTAGAGGATTCACACTTCCTGGTTTCTAAACTTCCTGAAAATCTACAGTAATCACAACAGTGTAGTACTTGCATAAAGGCAGACGCACCAACGGAAAAGACTAGAGGTCCCAGAAACAGACTCTTGCATATATAGTCAAATGATTTTTGACCCCAAGACCATTCAATGGGGAAAGAACAGACTTTTCAACAATGATGCTGGGAAAGCTGGATATCCTCATAGAAACGAATGAAGTAGGACCCTTACTTAACACCATAAACAAAAATTAACTCAGAATGGACCTAAGACTGAAGGATAAAACTTGAAACTATTAAACTCTTAGGAGAAAATATTTAGGGTAAAATTGCCTGTCATTGAACTTGGTAATGATTTGTTGAATATGGTACAAAAGGTGTAAGCAACAAAAGATGATATAGACAAATTGGACTTTATGAAAAACCTTAAAGATTTGTGCATCAAATAGCAATATCAACAAAGTAAACTGGCAACTCATAAAAGGAAGAGAATATTTGCAAATCATATATCTAAGGAATTAATAGCCAAAATATATTAAAAACTCCTAAAACTCAACAACAGTACAAACATGGGCAAAGGACTTGCATAGATATTTATCCAAATAAGATATTTAAACAGCCAACAAATTCATGGAAAGGTTCTCAGTATCACTGATCACTGCTGCTACTGCTGCTGCTAAGTCGCTTCAGTCGTGTCCGACTCTGTGCGACCCCATAGACGGCAGCCCACCAGGCTCCCCCGTCCCTGGGATTCTCCAGGCAAGAACACTGGAGTGGGTTGCCATTTCCTTCTCCAAGTGCATGAAAGTGAAAAGTGAAAGTGAAGTCGCTCACTGTCCGACTGTTAGCAACCCCATGGACTGCAGCCCACCAGGCTCCTCTGCAAATCAAAGCTACGAGATACCACCTCATACCCATTAGAATGACTTACTATTGAAAACAAAAAACAAAACAAACAAGAAACAGAAAACAACAGAGGTTGACGAGGACGTAAAGAAGCTGAAAAATTCTCTGGTGTTTGAAGGGAGGTAAAATGGTACAGCCAATGTAGAAAATCAAGGGAAGTTCCTCAAAAAATTAAAAATGTAATAACCATATGACTTGGAAATTCTTCTTCTGGATATGTAATCAAAAAGATTGAAAGCAAGGTCTGGAAGAGGTAGTACACCCATGTTCATAGCAGCAACATCCGCACTAGCTGAATCATGGAAGCAACTGAAGTGTACATTGATGGATGAATAGATAAGTGAAATGTGATATGCACATGCAGTGGAGTATCATTCACCCTTTAAAAGCAAAGAAATTCTGCAGTATGCTATAACATGGATGAATCTTGAGGACATCATGCTAAGTGACTAAGCCTGTTACAAAAGGACAGATAGTGTATGATTCCACTTACACGGAATATACGGGACTTCCCTGGTGGCTCAGCCTGTAAAGCGTCTGCCTACCACGTGGGAGACCCAGGTTCGATCCCTGGGTCAGGAAGATCCTCTGGAGAAGGAAATGGCAACCCGCTCCAGTACTCTTGCCTGGAGAATCCCATGGACAGAGGAGCCTGGTAGTCTACAATCCATGGGGTCGCAAAGAGTCGGACACGACTGAGCCACTAAACTTTCACTTTCACTTTCCACTTACATGAGGCATCTAGAGGAGTCAAGGGCCTCCCCAAGTGGCTCAGTGCAGGAGATGTGGGTTCGATCCCTGGGTCAGGAAGATACTCTGGAGAAGGACGTAGCAACCCACTCCAGTATTCTTGTCTGGGAAGTCCCATGGATAAAGAAGCCTGGCAGGGTTACAGTCCATGGGGCCATAAGAGTCAAGACATGACTTCAGTAACCAAACGACAGCAACAAAGAACAGTCAAATTCATAGATATAGAAAGCAGAATGGCAGGCGCCAGGGACCGAGGAGAGGGAAGACTGAGGAGTTAGTGATTAATGGTTATAGACTTTCAGTTTTATTAGATGAAAAGAGATCGGGGGATGAATGGTGGTGATGAATGCAAACCTTACAAATCTATAACTACTGAACTATATTCTTAAAATACTTAAAATGATTAATTTTTATTACTACAAAAATAAAGTTGAAGGAAAATTTTCCATCAAGCCACAAAATGACATGGAGGATACTTAAATTATTACTAAGTGAAAAAGCCAATCTGAAGAGTCTATATACCATATTTTTCCAACTATTTGATATTCTGGAAAAGGCAAAACTATGGAGATAGTAAAAAGAATAAAAATCCTCTCAGTGGTTTCCAGGAGTTGAGAGAGAAGGAGGGATAATAGGGAGAGCACAGAGGATTTTTCTGGCAGCAGTACTGCTCCACGGGACATGAGACTGGTATGACGGGACGTGGGTGTGGGCCAGCGTAGGGCCGCGCTGGGGGGCAAGGGAGGACCGCGATGGGAAGAGCTGAGGCAGCAGCCCCTCTGGCCACACCAGACCCCTGCCATTCCGAGACAGCACAAGGCCTGTGCCCACCTTGGCTCCCTTCCCGCCTTGCCAGGTGAGCCAGTGAGGGGGTGGGGTGGGGGAAGCAGCCCACGGTCAGTTTTTCTCTGAACATTTCCTGGGTGCGTGTCCATGTCCGAAGCAACCCTGACACAGAAATCAACACACCCACCCGTGAGAGCATGGAGCTGCCTCCACACCGCGCGGGCTCAGAGCTCTCGTCCTCACGCTGCCTTTGCCGGCACGTAGCCCAGGACAGCCCTGCCCGCCCCCGAACACCAGGGAGGCGGCAGGGCCCTCAGCCTCTCCCCAGAAGGAAACAGTGAGACAGAGGACAGCTCATCGGTGCTGCTTTTATTGCCGCGCGTGCATAGGCAGGGCGTCCTGAGAGACGGAGGCGCGGCCCCGAGGGCGGGGATTCAGCGCACGCGGGCCGGGCTGTGTTTCTTGTAGAGCAGTGCCCGCCTCTTCTCGCGCTCTCGCACAAACACGCGCAGGCCCGTGGTTGGGAAGGCCACGGCCGCGGGCTGGGAGCTGGCCGGGCCCTCCTCCGTCAGCCACGGGCTGTGCAGGCAGCTGGACGCACACGGCCGGACCCTGGAGACACGGAAGGGCGGCGCTTACCGCGCTCGCTCCCGCCACGGGCAGGTCAGCGCACAGGGGCATGGGCCGGGCTGCGTTGGTGGAGGCGCTTACCAGGGGTGCACACACAGTGTGCTTCGGAGGAAGGCCACAGCGCCCCCAGACAGGCCGGCATAGCAGCGGCTCAGCTGGATGAGCCCCTTGCGCAGGCCCTTCTGCGTGTCTCGCGTTCCCTCACCGCTCACCGGGTACTCAGCGCTCAACCTGTGTGCGTGGTGGCCACGTGGCTGACGTTACCCTCAGTGGACGGGAGTACCAGAGGCCTGGGGTCACCATCAACAGACTTCCTTCCCTCCTGCCCACCCTGCAGAGCATGCGCGGAGACTCACATGATGAAGGCTGTAACGCCTATGGCCCAGATGTCAGTCTGCGGGACAGCACCCTGGCCCTCCAGGAGCTCCGGAGCTGGGGACGGCACAGGTGGGGGTCACAGGCTGTTTGCGGTGGAGGGGGCAGGGGGACAGAACTGGGGCTTGCTCCCGGCACCCCCCTCCCCCAGATCAGGCCTGGTGTCTGCGCCCTGCGCACCCATGGTCTCCATGTAGTCCTTGAATCTCTCTGAGGGCAGGACCCTCTCCTGGGCCAAGCTCTGGGCGTTTCCGAAGTCGATGACCTTGAGCAGGTTATACTCTGTGACAATCATGTTCTCCGACCTGAGGTCTAGATGCAGGATACCCTGGGCATGCAGGTACTGGGTGGCACTTAGTATCTGCCACAGATAGTCCTTCACCTCTGATTCCGAGTAGGAGGCCCTGGGGGCAGAGGGCCAGTTAGGGGGCGCACGGGGAGGGGCACCCAGGCTCTGTCCACAGCCAGCCCCAGGGTGATCAGGAGGCACCAGCCTTCCCTGTGGGCTTAGGAAGGAGGTCCCAGATCTACTGAGCGACTCTGGTGGGCTGACGGGCGGAGGCCGGGCAAGGAGGTGGGTGAGGAGGCAAACCACAGTGCTCCAGCAAGGTCCTGAGCCTGGAATCCAGGCCGGGGCGCCCCTCACCTCTCAGCCAGACAGGGGAGCAGCTCAGGCCCGGAGCACAGCTCCAGGATGAGGACCAGGTGCCTTGGGCTGAGGTAGGCAGCCTGCAGCTGCGCCAGGTGTGGGTGGCGTAGGCCCTTGAGGGCCTCGTACTCCCGCAGCACGGCAGTCCTGTCCGCGGGGTGGTAGGGCACGATCTTGGCAGCCAGCACGCGCCCACTGGCCCTCTCCCGGCACTGCCGCACCACGCTGAAGCGGCCCCTGGTGGGGAGCGCAGGCCAGGCTGGTGACTCAGGCCAGACCCCGCCCTCCCTCCCAGTCTAGAGAAGCGCGCACAGCAGGGAGGTCCGGGAGAGGGTGGCAGACGCTGAGGCGATGTGGACACAAGTGATCAGAGGGGCGAACGCACGGGGCTGGGGTAGGAGCAGGAAGAGCCAGCCGGTGGAGGAGGCCTTGCCCCCGCCGCCTGCCCTCCCAGAGGCCCTGCACCTTCTCATCTGCGTCTGGAAGGCGAAGGTCTGCATGCTGGGGAGGGGCCGGGCTGGCCCCGCAGCACCGCTCTCCTCTTCAGAGTCTATAGGAAGAGGACAGCCCTGCATAGCCATCTCCCCATGACTGGGGGCGGGCAACCCTGCACTGCCATCTCCCCCAACCTCTTCTCCCATCACCCTTTCCCATCCCGACAGGAAGACCCTCTTTGAACCCCCAACACTCTGCCCTCTCATGCCTCAGGCCGTTGTGGGTGAGGGGCTTAGTGGGCAGAACGAACCACCCCAAGTGAGTGTGTGACCGGCTGCAGTGGCGGGCGCATTCCCACAGAGGCCTGCCCAGGGGCTCACCCAGGCGGCTGGGCCCTCCCAGGAGGACCTGCTCCGAGGGGCTGCTGTAGGGGCCCATGCCCGCCTTGCTGACGCAGGCCGTCCGGAAGGTGTACGCCCCACCCCGGGAAAGCTTGCCGGTGAGGTAGCAGCAGTCAAAGACGTCTGAGGCCAGCGTGTTCCAGCTGCCGCCTGGGCCACACAGGAGCGAGTAAGAGGCAGCCCAGCCGCGGCCACCCACTGCCTGTCAGGGTGGAGAGGCCCAAGAGGGGCGCAGAGCGGCCAGGCGGGTCCCCAGCCCCCTGCCCCCACCCACAGCGACTCTGGGACCCCCAGGAGTGGCAGGTTCAGGAGGGCCCCACACCTGCCCCAGGAGCGGCGGGTTCAGGAGGGCCTACACCTCCCCCAGGAGTGGCCCCATGCCTCCCCCAGGAGCAGCAGGTTCAGGAGGGCCCCACACCTGCCCCAGGAGCGGCGGGTTCAGGAGGGCCTACACCTCCTCCAGGAGCTGTGGGTTTGGGAGCAGCCCCATACCTTCCAGGCTGCACTGCACAATGTAGGTCACAGGGCCGTATGACTCCACAGGCTTCCAGACCAGCAGCACCCCGTCTGCATGCACCTCCCCGATGTCCGGCCGTGGCGAGGAAGAGGGGCGCTCTGCGGGGCCCACAGTCAGCAGTCCGGGGTGGGCTTGCATGAGCTCTCTATGGAAGCCCTGAGCCCCAGCCGGCCCGCCTCATCCTCCTACACCCTGCTGTCAGGCCCCTGAGCCCACCCACACCTGGCGCAGTTCAGTTGGGGTCCTTTCCAAGGCTGACTAGTAGGAAGAGCCCAGTGCCTCTCCTTTGAGGGGCCTCAGGAGGTGTCTGCCCTGCCCAACCCCGCCAGGCTCCCCTCCCACCGGTGCCCACCCAGGAGCCCCATGGAATGGCCCTTGCTCACAGCCCCCCACCAACCCCAGGCTCTAGCCAGGGGGGCCTCGGCTTTGCCGGACCGTGGTGCAGGGCAGGTGGGGGCTGGCCCCCTCTGGGGATCAGGTCAGAGGTCTGAGAGCAAGGCTTGCAGCCTCTGTTTTGGATCCCCCAGAAACACACCCTGGCGCTGTTTTGAGAGCGTGGTTGGACTGCAATAGATACAAAATGGGAAGCCGCCGCCTCCTGCACTACTGGAGAGACAGGGAGGTACCGTGGGAATGCAAGAAGAGCCCCCAAAGAGGCGTCAGGGAGGGGGCCTGGCCAGCTGTGTCACCCTGATCCCACGTCCCCTCCCAGGGCCTCCAGGCCCTGGCAGGGCCAGGCTGTGGGTGCCCGGTGGTGAGCCGCACGTTCCCTGGGCCCTTCACAGCCAACCCACCTGCCTTGCGGAGGATGGCCGTGGTGGCCGCTGTCCCCAGCGCATTGCTCACACTGCACGTGTACACGCCCAGGTCCTCAGCAGTCACCACCAGGATGGTCAGAAGCTGGAAGTTCTTGAGCGTAGAGGAGATGAGGAGGCGGCTGCTGCTCTCAAGAAGAGCCCCGTCTGCAGCAGGAGAGAGTGAGCCTCAAGATAAGCTCCCAACAGGTCCCTGGCTGGTGGTCACGCCCAGGGCCCACACCCTCTTAGAGCCTCAGTTTCCCTCTCCACAGTGAGAGCAGCGCCCTAGAGGAGGACCCTGCCTCCCTGCCCTCAGCCTCAGGAGCAGTCTTTACCTTTGCTCCAGGTGGCCTGTGCAGCTGGCTGGGCCAACACCTGGCAGGCCAGAGTCACAGACTGGCCCAGGACCACCGTCTCATCTGAGAGCTCCCTTAGGAATGACGGTGCTGGGGAACAGAGGGAAGGTGAGCCTTCAGAGGTGACCCTGGGTCTGAGCGCAAGGCCTGACCCCCACTGCGGGGATACAGGAGATGAGCCCCATCCCCAGCCGGCTCGTCTCCGACACCAGCGCCTGCTCCAGGAAGGCTTCCAGGACTGCCGGCTCCTGACTGCTGGGGCGCCAGAGTCTGCCTGTGTGCACTTGAGCTCCTGTGGATGTGAGCCGCCCCTCACCACCTGCATTGGTCTTGACAGGGTTCCCCTTCCCCACAGTAAGGTCCCTTGGGCTGCAGGCGGGGCCTCGCCTCTGGGCCGTGTACCCACCTCGGTCCTTGCTCTTCAGGCCTGACAGGCGGAAGGAAGCGAGACCTGCCTTCTTCCGGGGAGGGCCCTCCTTCTCCAGACCTGCAGTAAGGAAGTGGCCACAGGAGGGAAGTCACACTCTGGGGGCCCAGCTCCTCTGGGAGCATGAAAGGAAGGCTCTGGGGATCCCCATGTGGCAGAAAACCCCAGTCCCCAAGGGGTCTTACTGGCAATGAGCTAAATCCACGGCAGAGGGCACCAGCCCTCCCTACCCCATGCGTCAGCCCGTTATGGGCAGGGCACCGCGGGCAGCTGAGGCCAGCAGCTCAAGGGCCCCCGGGCCACTGGCTGAGGGCTCTGGGATCAGGATCAGGGAGGGCCGGTCCAGTTCGGTCTCCGCGGGGGTGTAACTGCAGTTGCATTATGCTGGGCTACAGGTGCATGTGGGGAGGGGTTGGAGGCTGCAAAGGTGACCTCAGAAACGAGCCAGTGTGTTCCGGGAGGGGTGGGCAGCACGGGGTCAGGGGAAGGAGCATAGGCTGGGGGGCTTCCTGCATCGCTCAGGCAAGCTCCGGAGCTATCCTTTCGGCCAAGGAGCCGCAAAGTGCAGGGCGGGAAATGTGGATGTGCCCAGTCCCGGGGCAGGGTAGGGTAGTAACCTTCAGGCCTGCCCCTCAGGAGGCGGGAGATGTGGGCTACCGAGGCCTTCACCCTCTGGCGCAGCCCCAGCTCTGTGGGCTCCTCCGGCAGCGAGTGCCTTCCGGGGAAGTGGAAGAGACTGCCGGAAGGGGGTGACCACTTGCGCTTCCTGCCGCCGGCAGCTTTCCCGAGCAGGGCCTCCACGTCCTCTGGCTCCTCCGTGATCTCCAGGCTGGCTGGCCAGGGCCACGCAGCCTCGGGGAGCTCAGCCAGCTCCTCCCCAGCCTCAGACTCAGGGGAGGATGGGCGCTCCGGCTCCACCGGCTTGGGGATCTTCCTAAAGATCATGAACTCAAATGGGAGATATTTGATGTCATACAGATCGGACAGGTTGAGGTAGGCAGGATCCACCTCTGAGATGTCCAGGGACACGGTGTCTGCTGCTTCTGAGTCCCCGGACAGGTCCCGGATCTGTACGAGCGACACCTGAGAGCCCTCGCCGAAGTCCTCCCATGAGCTCAACTCCTGGGCAGCCCTCGGGAGGGCTCTATCGCCCTCGGGTACAGGCGCCGTGCTGGCCTGGGGCGGTGGGCTCTCAGTCCCTGCCTCGTCCTGCTCCTCTGAGGACTGAGAGACGGCCCAGGTCATCTTGGCCCACATGGGGCCCTGCCCCAGCATGCCACCGGCGTCCCCCCCAAAGGCAAAGGTGCCGTAGCCCGCCACCCCTGCGTAGCCCCCACGGCACCCCAGGGAGAACTTCCGCGTGGTCGCCTGCTCCTGAGGCCGCTGTAGGCTGGGTGAAGGCTGGGACAGGTCCTCCGTCTCCTGGACCAGGCCTTCAGCGTCCAGGGAGTGGCTAGGCTCCGTGCCCATCTGGGAGGCTGGCTCTGGGGGCTTGGGTGGTCCAGGCCTCTTGGTGAGAGGGACAGCCTTCAGCCCGCTCTGAGAGTCTGCCTGGGGGCTTGCTTGGGCAGGGGGCAGAGAGGCCTGAGGCTTTCCTGGGAAGGAAGGGCTGGGGGATGACAAGAGGGCCTCTGTGCAGGGCCCTGAAGGGAAGGAACCAGGAGGCTGTGGTGCCAAGGCCACAGGGGGGCCACTGTCCTGGGGGGCCGGGACCCACTGGGGCTGAGAGAAAGGGGCGGCCTGCCCTCCACAGCGGTCCTGGGACGACCCCTCTGGCTGAGTGGAACACGCATCACCACTGGCGGATGGTAGTCTCAGCCCCTGCAGGGTCCCCTCTGGATGCTCCTTCTCCCTGGCACGTGCACCCCCTCCAGGCACGCCCTCTTCTCGGGCATCCTGAGGGCTCAGGGGAGCCGGAGCGGGACACTGCCCCTTGCTGCAGGCCTTGGTGGAGGAACTGGCAGTGTTCGGTGGGTCAAGGTCCAGGGAGCGGCTGGAGCCAGAGGCCTCCTGGGTGCTTGCTCTGGGCATCTGCACGGCCGTCTCCAAGGAGGCTGCTGTGGCCTGCAGGGCAGCCTGCTCCTCCATGGCAGCCGCCTCCTCCAGTGCACGATGCTCCAGCAGTGGCTCTCGAAGTCCCGGCAGGACGCCCGAGAAGTAGCCACCCTTGAGAAGGTGCCTCCGCCGGGCGGGGTGCCGCCGGCCCCCTGTGGACGGGCCCCCTAGCTCTGGGCCCTCGCCCACCTGCTGGTAGAACAGGCTTCGGATGACACTCTGCCGGGGCACACAGCCCAGGGCAGCTGCTGGCTCCTCGCCCTGCAGCGATGCGGGCAGAGCAGAGGCGGAGGCAGGTAGACAGGCCTCGGCCTCCTCAGGCAGGCTGGCCGAAGGCCTCAGGAAGCCCCGGGGGTGCAGCAGCGGGGAGTGGGTCACCGGGGAGGATGGCAGCGACTTGGCCCTGGCGAACGGGGCCAACTCGTTGTCGGAGGAGGAGGAGCTGCTGGAGGAGGCGCTGGCGTCGTCACGCAGGTGCCGAGCAATCCCGAGGGACGGGCTGTCAGGCGGGCCCTGGAGCAGCTCCGGGATAGAACGCATCACCAGGATGGACTTGTAGCTCATCAGAGAGCGCTGGGGGCGTGGAGGACAGGGGGCCGTGAGCAGGGGATCGGCTGCTTCCCAGGCCAGAGGGGACCTCAGGTAACGGTTGGCCGTAAAACACGTGGTCCCCAGGGCTCTGTCATCTTGTCCCCACCTTGGCAGAGATGTTGCGTGTTGCCCCGCCTCACCCCAGTGGCTCAGGGAGCAAAGACTTGAAATGAAGGGTGCCTGGCCCCACTCCCTTGCTCTGCAGACCCAGAAGGGACACAGAGCCAGCCCTCTGGGCCTCATTTCCCTCTCTGGCCTCCGACCACTTCTGCACCCAGCCCTCTCAGCCCTCCGCAAGGCAGCACACTCACCTGCCAGCGACTGCGGGCCAGGAGGAACTTTAGCTGTTTGGTGTTGATGAAGTGGGCCTCCTCCGCGGGCACAGACTTCTGGGGGAGCCCAGGTGAGAGAGCCACGTTGGGGGTGGGGGAGCCCAGGTGAGAGAGCCACGTTGGGGGTGGGGGAGCCCCTGGGACATCCTGCAGTCCTGGCAGGCCCCCACTCCTCTTGGCCTCACTTTCCCCCGCTGTGAGCCAGGCCAGACCACGTTCAGCCTACTCACCTGGAACCAGGGGTGGGCGAGGCACTTGGCAGCACTGGGCCGAGCCCTGGGGGAGGAAAGGAAGGTCCAGGTCAGGCCGAGGTCAGCTGGTCACTGAGGCAAGCCCGGGACCTCAGATGTGTGTACTCACCCCACGGCCTTCTGCAGAGCAGCCTTGATAAAGTCCTGGGCATCCTCACTGAGGTGGGTGGCCATGGGGCTACTCCAGGACACCCGCCCTTCCAGGACATTCAGAAGGGTTGCTCGGTCACTCTCTCCAGCAAATGGGGATGAGCAGGTCAGGCTGGAAGCAGAGGCATGGCTAGCCTTCAGCTGTGACCTGAATTTCTGGGTCCATGGGAGGCAGGTTGCCAGGACAGGGGTCTCATGGGGATGGTAGTGACTGGGGGCCCCCAGCCCTGACTGGAGATGCCTCCTGACACCTCTCTCCTTCAGCCCTGAGAATCCCAGTACGTGTCTCAGATCTGCCCAGAGATCCAGCTTGGAGCTGGAATCCAGGCTAAGCCTGCAGTGGGTATCTGGTCTTAGGCTGGGGTGAGGATCCAGGCTTGGCCTGGGATAAGGGATCAAGCGTCATCTTGAGTTGGCACCTGGACTTAGCCTGAGGTGGCACTAATGCCCTCGGGGCAGCAATAGCTGTTAAAAGGGACCTCTGGGCAAACTACTCGGACCCTTTAGGGAAAGAGCTCCGTGCTCTGCCCATGACCTAGCAGCGGTCCTCTGTGACAGGGTGTGAGTGAGAAGCGCTTGGCAGAAAGCCCATATCAGAACTGGCTGACGGCATGTTCCCAAGATAGCTGCCCCTCGGGTCTTGCGTCTCTGAACCAAGGAGCAGTTAGCAGTTCAACAGCTTCCCACTGGCCTGCTGAGGAGGGGTCTGGGCTGGCTTTGGAGCAGAGAGCTGACAGGAGCAGGGGTCTGCTCACCTGAGGTAGGTGATGACCCCCATGGCCCTGCAGAACAAAAGCACAGCTGTGAGTCTCTCCAGACCTGGTCCGATGGGGAGGTGGAGGCCCGCCCACCGCCCCCCACCCCCGCTCACCAGATGTCGGAAGCCTCGTTCACGGGGGTCTGCTCGATGATCTCGGGGGCCACAAACTCAGGGGAGCCATACTTGCTGTACTGTGGCTCTCCCGGGGTGATTTTTTGGGCAAAGCCAAAATCACAGATTTTAATGTCTTCCCGGGCAGGATGCACCATCAGGATGTTGGGGGGCTGTCAGGCAGAGTTGGGAGTGGGTGAGCACACCCTGAGGAAGGAACCCCCAGGTCTCCCAGGCCTGAGGACACTCAGGTGTCTCTGAGGGGCTGCCCCCGCAGGAGGGTGAGGCCAGCCTGAGACCATAGGCAGCCCCGGGAGCAGGTTTCAGCGCCCTCGGGGATAGCTTCTGCTCCATCAGAGCTGCCCCCCACCTGAAGGTGAAGGGGCTGCTGTAAGGCGGTGAGCTCCCTGTCCCCAGAGGTGAGGAAGTCCTCAGAGGGAACTGGAAGTGCTGGGCCTTCACCCCCTCAGCCTAGAGGCCCCCGGCTCCCAGCAGCTCCTTCCTGGGCTCGGGGGCAGCAGGGAGCCACGTACCTTTATGTCCAGGTGAAGGATGCCTTGACTGTGCAGGAAGTGCAGCCCCTCCACCAGCTGCTGGATGTAGACTTTGACCTGCGGCAGAGCTGGTGCTCAGGTGAGCCGGCCAGCCTCCAGCGCCCCTCTCCTCACCTCCCTGCCTGCTCCCACCAACAGGACCTCCACTTCCCTCCAGAGCTGAGCCTGGGGTTCGGGGGGGCTCCTGCAGGACAGGTTCCGTGCAAAGCCCCAGGGAGCCCTGTAGCTGGGAGATTCCTCTGGGCCCCAGGTGGATGGGTTTGGGTGTATGGAGCAGCTTGAGGAAAGCGGGAGGGGGCCGGGGGAGCAGGCAAGGGCTGGGCAGCTTGGTCAGTGCCATCGGGGGTGGAGAGGCAGGGAGCCCCGGCCACCGGAGGGCTTTGAGAGCCGACGGGAGCTGCAGCAGCCCTGAGGGCCTCTGAGGGGAGTGCTCTGCTGGGAGCTGGTCTGCTTTGGGCCGGGGCAGCGGGAGGCCTGGCCAGGCCCACACGCAGCCCTGCAGCTGGGTGGGCAGCCGGGCAGCAGTCACCTCGGCCTCGGTCACCACACTCTTCTTGAACAGGCGGTCCAGCAGCTCCTCCGACGAGCACCTGCGAGTTTGTCAAGGAAAGCTCTAGGCTCTGGGACCCTCGGAGCCTTGCGCTGCCTGGGGGGAGTCTTATCTCCAGGCAGGGGTGGGGCTTGCTGGGGAGGCTGGTGCTCGTGGTTGAGGAGGACGGGCAGGACAAAGCCCCCCAAGTAGAGGGACCAAGGACAGTAGGAGGCAGCAGAGTGGGAGTGGCACGCCACCCCAACTCCTGCAGGCGATCCTGAAGGGGGAGGTGGGGGTGTGGCGAGACCCCCAGCTGGGCCACGCACACGGATGGGTGGGTGGGTGGGGGCGTGTGCCCCTCTCTGGAGCATGGGTTGGCAAAGATGCATCAGTGCCTGGGGCATGCCGAAGACAGGTAAGAAGCCCAGGTTTCCTGCTGGAGGCAATGCGGGGAGCAGGAGGAGACAGACTTCTCAGTGAAGCCGTGCCTAAATTCCTTACCCAAGGGACTGGGAGCTGGGAGCTCTGTGCGGTGGCAGTACGTGCGGGGGGTGGGGGCCGGGGGGCGGGCAGATAGTCAGGCAGCATCGCACTGCCAGCGGCACAGGCTGCCCCCATCAGGCAGTTGGGCCTGGGATCACCAGCACCACAGACCCCACCCAGCCCTGTAGACCCCTGTCTGCCGGGGCACTCCCCCCCACCTGCCGCCCCGCCACCTGGCACCCTCAGGGTGAGATGGATACAGCTCCAGAATGAGGATCAGGGTCTTCCGGGTCTCAAACTGGTCCAGCAGCGCAGTGACCAGAGGGTGGCTCAGGCCTGCTAGGATGTCCCGCTCTCGATAAGCCTGGGCACGCGTCCTGCTCCGCAGCGGAATGAACTTGGCAGCGCAGGCCATCTGGTTGCCCTTGTGCTGCACCCTCTTCACGAAGCCGAACACACCCCTGGGGGGAGGGCACAGCGCGCTGGGGGCCCTGGGGGCAGAGCTTGGGGGCGGGGCTCCTGGGGGCAGAGCTTGGGGGCGGGGCTCCTGGGGGCAGAGCTTGGGGGCGGGGCTCCTGGGGGCAGAGCTTGGAGGCGGGGCCCCGGGGGCAGAGCTTGGGGGCGGGGCCCCGGGGGCAGAGCTTGGGGGCGGGGCCCCGGGGGCAGAGCTTGGGGGCGGGGCTCCTGGGGGCAGAGCTTGGGGGCGGGGCCCCGGGGGGGCAGAGCTTGGAGGCGGGGCCCCGGGGGCAGAGCTTGGGGGCGGGGCTCCGGGGGCAGAGCTTGGAGGCGGGGCCCCGGGGGCAGAGCTTGGGGGCGGGGCCCCGGGGGGCAAAGCTTGGGGGCGGGGCCCCGGGGGCAGAGCTTGGGGGCGGGGCTCCTGGGGGCAGAGCTTGGAGGCGGGGCCCCGGGGGCAGAGCTTGGGGGCGGGGCCCCGGGGGCAGAGCTTGGGGGCGGGGCCCCGGGGGGCAGAGCTTGGAGGCGGGGCCCCGGGGGCAGAGCTTGGGGGCGGGGCTCCTGGGGGCAGAGCTTGGGGGCGGGGCCCCGGGGGCAGAGCTTGGGGCGGGGCTACTGGGGGGCAGGGCTTGGGGCGGGGCTCCTGGGGGAGGCGGTTTCCTGAGAGGAGAGGTGCCGGGAGAGCACGGGCTGCGGCAGTGGGCACTGGAGGAGGCCAAGTTGGCATGGGCAGCGGGTTCTCTGTGGACGGGCGTTTGCAGGAGGCAGGGGCTCCAGAAGGTGAGGGCTGGGGAGGCAGGGCTCTGGGTTGAGGGAGTTCAGCGAGCTCTAAGGGGGGATGGTAGGGGTGCAGTGGGCGGGAGGGCTGGGGGCTCCTGGTCAGAAATTGGCACATAGGAACTCTGGGAGGCTGGGCCTGCGAGTCTTAGAGGGGTGGGGCTCCAGCAGACGAGGCTCCTGGAGCTGGGATAGGGACGGTACCTTCCAATTTCCTCCATGACCTCATAAAAGGAGTGCAGTTTCCTCCTAGAGCTGCGCTCACTGTCCCGCGTAGCCAGGGAAGGGGAGGCTGTAAGAGTGAGTAAAGATGATCACCCAGCCCCTCTGTCCCCCAACTTCATGCTGGAGCAGCTTCCCATGCCTGAACCTGTGAGAGCTCAGGGGACCCCCATACCCATGGCCCCCACACCAGCATGGAGCCAAGATAAGGCCTGGGAAGGGGTCCCGCACTCACCCCCGTGGATCAGCAGCTCTGCCTTGCACAGCACCTGGCCGCCAGGGTTGTGGGCCAGGCACGTGTAGACACCCGCGTCGTGCTGGGCCACGTCCCTGAGTACCAGGGAGTAGGTGGTCCCTTCCTGCTGCTGGCTGAGCCGGGGGTCAGCTCCCAGCTGGGTGCCATCCTGGAGACACGGGAGGGTGGGGAGGCCATCAGTTCACCCTGGGGGACCCCAGCACTACGGCCCAGCCTGACCTTCGGTGAGCACCGTGTCCAGTCCAGAGGGGGTGTTACACCTCGCCCCTCCCGCAGGCAGGCCCTCACCCAGGCCTGGCCCTACCTTGTACCAGGTCACTGTGGGCTGCGGGTTGCCCTCAATGACAGCCTGGAACTGCGCCGTACCGCCGCTCTGGGCCTGCACGTCCTCAATGGTGACCTGCATGGACGGTGGGCCTGGGGGGGGGGAAGCAGCTGGTGGGCAGGAGCCAGGCTGCGTCTGCCATAGCCTATCCTGCGCTGAAATCTTCTGATGCCTTGCGTCCATTCACAGAGACCCAGACATGGGTGGACTGGCAGCAACCCCAGATGTGTCTTGCTGCCCGAGCTGGGCAGGAAGGCCCTGAGACATACTCCAGGGTGAAAGAGCCCAGCTGCTTCCAGGGGAAAGGACCCATCCCTGACGGTCCAGAAATGCAGCCCCTGTCTTTCCTGCTTCAGCCTCAGCTCTCTGAGGGCGGGCCACAAGACTATGCCAGCTCTGCATGGGGTAAAGGCCCTGATGTCCGGGTCACTGCTTCCTCCTCTTCCCTCCCAGCGATGCCTTCTGAGGGGACCCAAGCAGATAGGCAGCAGGGCCCCTCGCCACAGTAAGGCTTGGATGTGCCAGGCGGCTTTGCCGGCCTTTCCATGGAAATCTCTCCTTAGCCTTGGGCATGGAAGGCACACGTGCGACCTGCCAGGCCCCCACCTACTTGCAGCAGGCGTGTCGCTGGTCTGATACACATACGTCCTGTGTGTGGTCTCCATGAACACGTGGCTGTGGACGTCCCAGAGCTCACCTGCTCCTGGCCAGGCAGGGCCCTCCATCCTGGGGCATGGAGTGGAATTAGCTGTCTGCCTCACCCTTCCACTCTTGGGGCATGGGAGGCTGAGATGGCGTTCTTGCCCCTGCCTACTCAGGGGGGCTGCAGGAGACTCTCTGGCAGGGGATATACAGCCCGTGGCCCCAAGCCTAGGTAAAGAAGTGAGCTCCCCCCACTTTCCTTGCCCCAGGGGTGGCCTCCCCCTGCCCTGGTAAGGAGAGTGCAGGGGTGCTGTGATCCCACCCCTTGCTCTCCTTTTCCCATGCCCCACCCTGCCACCAGGACATCCCCCCACCCCCCAGCCAGCTTGGGAGGTTACCGGATGGGCACCGTACGTTCTGGGACCTCAGCGTGTGCCTGAGCCGTCTGCCCCAGGCCCTCTTGGGAGTGAGCCTGAGGCGCCTTCGGGGGCTCGCCTGGTGGGAGGCAAGGGGCCCGGTGAGATGGAGCCCGGGACAGGGCTGGGGACAATTCCCCAGGACAGGCCTCTGCATCCACCTCCGGGGCCCAGCAGACAGGAGCACAGGCAGAGCAGGGGCTCCAAGAGCACCGGGTCCTTGAGCACAGACTCAGCGCTCCAGCCGCGCAGGGGCACCTCAGCCCCTGGGCCGGGGGTAGGGCCCCGCAGCACACCCGGGGTCTGGTCTGCTGGGGCTGCGCTCACTTCTGCCCCTTCCTCTCCTCCTCTCCCTTCCTCCCCAGGAGCACTGGGGACCCAGGCTGAGGGCTGACCACAGGGGGCCACATGCTGAGAGTGGGCAGGACCTCCCAGAGCCCATCCCGGCATCCAGTTCCATAGGCTGAGGGAGGGGCAGGCCTTGTCCAGGACCCCCGACATATAGAGCCAACAGAATGTTGAGGGTCCTCAGGCTCTGCCAGTTCACCCCCAGGGGAGGGCACCCAAAGTAACCAAGGTGGGGTCAGAAAGGAGGGGCTGTTATGGGTGGGGGCAGGGGTCCCGGAAGCAGGGGTACTTTGCCTTCACCCTGCTGCCAGGCCTCACCGGATGCAGCCCCAGCCTCCACAGCTGGGGGCTCCGGGCTGGCCTCCTGGAGTGCAGGCGGCCCTCCAGGGCTGGGGCTGGGGCTGCTGTGATCCCCTGTGGAAGGTCCTGGAGCCTCAGGGCACGTCTGTGTCCTCTGGATGGGCGTGCTCTCCTGCCCTGGGGCAGCGGGGGCTGGGACGGCAGCGTCTGTAGGAGAGGCAGTGGGGGCTGGGACGGCAGCGTCTGTAGGAGAGGCAGCGGGGGCTGGGACGGCAGTGTCTGTAGGAGAGGCAGGTCGACACACAGGAGTGAGGGGGCTGGGGCCCACGAGGGGGACACTGCCGAGATGAGGGCAACCCTTCCCACCTGCTGGGTTCAGGAAGCACGGAAGGTGGAGGCCCCTGAGAAGGGGTCTGTGCCAGAGGTGGCACTCCAGGCAGCATGTGCTAGACTGGTCCACCCCCAGGGTGTCGCCCAGATGCCCTCATGAGAACGTCAGTTCCCACAGGGACAGCTGGGCCTGGACCCCCATCGTCCACTTTGGGCAGCCCCTCGGTCTCAGTCCCATCCCGTCATCCTGGGCTGGCCTTGCTCTGTATCCCACTCTGGATCCGAGGGTACTAGGTCACCCAGGCCCAGGTGGGTCCAGCCCCACGTTCCAGGAAAGCTAACCACAGCCTGATGCCAGATCAGGAGCCGAGAGCTCCTCACAGGGCGGGCTGCCTTCCTGCCTCCCAGGGAAGCCCCCATTCCCCACCCAGCAGCCCGACCCAGACCACCACACTGTCACCTGGTCCCTGCCCAGCCCCCCACATAACTCCCCAAGGGAAGCTTCAGACCCTCCAGGCGCCTGGCTTCCTGCCCTCAGCCCCGAGTTCAGCTCCTCCTCCACCTGACTGCCAGTCCCCCTGTGGCTGTTCTGGGACGCCCACCACTCCATTTCCAGAAAGGCCCCCTCTATGGAGCGCTCTCCCATGCTCCAGAGCCTCCCTCCTGTTGATCTGCTACTTTCTTGGGCCCCCCAGGCTGAAGAGGCCACTGGGCAGGCTGCTGTCTGTCTGCGGCCTGTGGTGCTGGGGCGACCATCCTGTGCTTCCCCACCCCAAGGAGGTTGTCAGGACCCCTGACCCATCATGCCGGCATGGCTCTGACAAAGGACCCAGGCTCACAGGACGCAGGATGACCTGCTTGACCCCCAGCAGACTGGGGGCAACTACTATGGACACTGCAGCCACACTGTGCGCCTGTGACCAGCCCCGTAGCCCATATGTGGGCAAGCTGGATAGGTGAGCTGCCACGCCTCCACCCAGGACCCGTAGGACTGGCCAGGACCCACAGGTTGACGCTGGGTGTCCACCCAGGGCTGCCAGTGGAAAGGGCCCGGGCTGTCCATTGGTTGGTCTCCAGGGTCTCCTGGGCCAAGAGGGTCCCTCCCTCCTGAGACGCCGGAATCACCAGGTGGAGAAGCAAAAATGAGAAAAGCAGAGGCAATGCAAGGAACCGGTTTATTAGCATCATCAGGGTTGACTGATGGGACTGCTTCCCATGCACAGACCCTGGTCCACCCTGCTGAGAAGGCCCAGGAGGGCCTGTAGAGCTGGGCCCCACACAGGCCTCCTGGAGGCCAAGAAAGGTGTCCAGGGCTAAGATGGGGTTTGAGAGGACCCACAGCCTGGGTGAGAGCCAGGGCTGGACCAGGCCTGGACACTGGGACTGCGGCCTAAGCTGGCACACGCAGGGCCCATGTGGCCCCTGCCTGGTGAACAGAGCAGGAAGGATGCCTGAGCGCCTTCCCTGTGTCTGCAGCCCCGAGCCCAGAGCGGCAGCCTGCGAGTCAGTCCGGTCCGTGCTCTCAGAGCAGCTTGAGGAACCTCTGAGATCACGGATGCGTGCACCGTCCTCAGGTGACGACCAAATCCTGTGAGGTAGGAATCGCCTGGTTTGGAAGGGGAGGGCGGGCTGGAGTCCTGAGTTGGTGGACAGCCAGGGGAGGTCAGAGCACCCGTGTCCGAGGCGTGCCAGCTTTGGGACTCTCCTGATTGGAAACCCAAGGCGGCTGTGAGCTGAGTTGATGCTGGTGCCGGGCAGGTCCCAACGCCACTTTCCTCTTCCTGCCGCCCCGTGCAAGCAGGGCAGCTTCGTCAGCGGGGTCCCAGATCCAAGAGTCTCTCATCACAGCCCCAGCCACCCCGTCCCTGCAGGTCTTGGCCTCAGCCCTGGGAGGGGCTGGGGTCCATGTCCCGGTCTGGGCGAATGTGTAGGGTGACAGTCTCCCCCACAGTCCCAAAGCTGACCGTCTGGGTTGAAACCTCGGTTTTGAAACTGCTCTGGCCACTGTCTGCAGAGCGCTGAACCTGAGTGCAGAAGGAAGGCTTCTGGGTCGCGGCACCTCCAGCCCGGGCCTCCCGAAAGCAGAAGGAGACGCCTGTGGGGCCCCGGCCCTGCGGCCCCGATGGAAACGCCTCCCGGGGCCTGGGCACGCGGCCGAAGCAGCCAGGGGGGGCCCGGGAGTCTGGGGGGCGCCCCACATTCAGCAGGACGGGCTGCCCCACGGTGGGCTCGCCGATCTCTCTCTGCAGCACCGAGATTTCGCAGGGCGGGTCATCAGCAGCACTCGGCCTGGGGCCACTGCAGCCGAAGGTCTCCCCTTCCTCGGGCACGTAATCCTCCAGGTCAGCCAGGGTGAGGGCACGGCCATGGTGCATGAGGATCTTGGGGTCACGGCCCTGCAGACCATCAGCACCCAGCGGCTCCTCCCCCTGGGAGGCATCTCTCTCCTCCTCCAGGGGGGTTTCCTCTTCATCACCCCAGGGAGGGGACGGCTCAGGGCTCTCTGGCCCTGTTTCCACGCAGAAGATTAGGGGCTCTCCAGCAGTGACTGTGGCTGGGGGCTCCTGGGTCAGCAGCTTGTTGTTGGAGTTGTTTGTATTTGGGTCTCCTCCAGACACCCTTCCAGGCAGCGTGAAGCAAAGCTCCTCAGAGCTGCCAGGCGTCTCTCTGGCCAGAGACACACCCTTTGAGCCGGCCTTCTTCACCCGGACTTCAATGGTCTCCTCAACCTCCACCCATTTGGGCTGGGGCCTGGTGCCCCCCGGCAGGCCTGCCGTGTGGGTCTCAGGCTCCGTCACGAACAGAGTGGGCACAGCGGGCCGCCAGCCTGGCTCTGCCTCGGGCCTGGAGGGTCGGCTGGCCTCTGGCGAAGGAGGCACCTCAGCAGGCAGCAGGCCTGGCCTGGGCAGGCTGGCGGGGTGACCGTAGCGGGAGGGAGACTTGCTGGGGGACTGGCGTCGGCCACGGGGGCTCTTCACCACAGTGGTAATGGTCTCCTCTCTGTGGGGAGAGGGCCGAGAGGAGATGGGCACAGAGTCCCACAGCCTCGCCCGGCGCCCTTGCCGTCAGCACATTCTGGGGCCAGCAAGGGAGGTCAGGTTAGTGTCCAAGCAGGCAAGTGGTGAAATTGCATAAACAGACTCCTACGCATGCGCCAGAGCCCAGTCTCCAGATCCCCACCAAAGAACCAAAGTACCAAAGCAGTTTCATCTGGCCATCTGCATACACCTGGGCTCTAGTGTACAGATCTCAAAATGAGAGGTGAGGCATGGGGGGAGGCGCATGCAGCCACTCATGTCTCTTCCACCTCAGATGGGTCTGTAACGTCACGTGCCAATCTCCCTTCCTATATGTGGCTGTCTCATTCTGGAGACACCAGCCCTCCTTACAGAGCTGAGGGACGGGGTGCAGGGACAAGCCACACCGCCTTCCTCGTCAGTCCCACACTTGCTCCGTGCTCTGTATCATGGCAGGAGGGCGGCGGGGGTTTGGGGCACTTCTCAGAGCGCAGGTGCCTCAGAGATCCTCGTCAGGGACTGCGGAGCTGGGGGAGCGCTGGAGTTTGGACTTGCAGCCCGTCCTTTGGGCCTCTGGGTCTGGGATGTGAGGCCTGGCAAAGACACCTGCCTCTGGGCATGGCCTTGCCATCATGGGCGGTGTGAGCTCAGCCCGTGAGGTCAGATGGGGATGCAGGGGGATGAGGGGAGAGAACTCAAGTCCATGTGCATGTGAGTGTGCATGGGGCTCTGGCCAGGGGCCTCGCAGCAATTCTGCGCAGTGCGTCTGATCCCCTTTGACAGGTGCAGACAAGGTTGAAAAAGGGCTTGAGACTTCCCAGAGCCAAGAGTCAGAAGTCCACCCATCAGCCCAGGCCCTCCTCTGCCAACTAGTACCCTAGTGTGCCAGGTACTGAGGGTGAAATGAGCAACAGGCAGGGAGCAGGAGCACGTTCAGTAACACGGCTCTCCTGGGCCCTGGGGCCTGCATCTCCTCTTGGGCTCGGGAAGAGGGATCTGGCATGCATGTGGTGACAACTCAGTGCTGCTGCCAGCTGCCTGGAATGACTAGGACTCTGCCTCTCTCTTGTTGAGCCTTACCTCTGGCTAACTCACGGCTCCAGCTGGGAGCCGTGACTCGTGGGCACAGGCACAGCTGTGTGGCCACGCCTCGGGGTGCACAGTGATGCCCGATCCTGCCTCCTCTGGCCCTCCCCTGGTCAAGGGGAAGCGCGGCGCCCCCTGCACTGGTGGGGAAGCTGAGGCATGGAGATGCGGCCTATTCAGGGCCACAGGCCCGCCTTCCTGCCTCACACGAGGCTTGTTCCTGAGTCAAAGGCTGCCCGAATGTCAGGGCAACCTGGGCAAGGACCCACCTTCTGGCCTCAAGTGGCCTGATTTGCTGAGGCAAGACAGCGAGTCCCCTCCTCCTAATCGCTCCCCCGCGCTCGGTTCACTGCTGCCCCCATGAGGATGCGGAGGCCTCCTGCTCCGAGGCCAGCAGCACAGCACTGGAGGCCGCCAGGAGGCGGGAGCCACCCTCCAAGCCCGGTCTGCTTCTGGTGCCCCTTGGCTCCCCAGAGCGCCTCACTGTGTGCTGTGCCCTTGGGGGGTGCGGTGCCAGGCAGCTGCCGCTCTCCACTCCTCAGGTGAGGGCGCACATGTCCTTGCAGGGTGACGGCTACTACCTCCCTAAGCCTGGAAGAGACTGGACATGAGGATGCCTTGTGAGTTACCTAGTCCAGCCTCCCATATGCATGAGTCCCCAGAGGGGCTGCCTGGCCCCATCTCTGCTCCTTCATGTTTTTATTCATAAAACGTAGATGGCAATGCTCCCCTCACAGATGAAATGTAGAGCTGATCTGCAGGAAGCTCTGGCATGGCTGCAGACCTCCAGGGATGGGACTTCTTTCTGCCCCAGGCAGTCCCATCTACTGTGAGGTCGCAGTCTGCTCTGGGGGAGAAGGAAGAAAGTCAGGGAAGGATTGACCCAGGACCTACCCAATGTCTGAAGATGGGTTCTGCAGCAACATTACCAGCTGCAGGCCCCTACAGGAGGTAGGGGGAATTAAGAGCTTCCCCATCTTACAGCCTCCCAGACATCTGGCTTTAGGAAATCATAGTTTCTATCGCCTCCTGGCTTTTGCAAGCTCTTCCACCCTTCCACTTCATACATCTCCGACTGCAAATCATTCCAGATCATCCAGGTCAAAACCAGTCCTGCCTTCTGCGCATTCACCTAGCTCTGGACTGCTCTGCACCTCTTGTATTATTTAATTATCAACGATATGTATGGCTTTTCCTCAGCCTTGAAGGCACTGGAGAATGGAGAAGGGGACAGTGGCTGTGGCATCAAGGAAAGGAGTTCTCAGCCAGCTTCTGATCATGAGCCCCCCTGAGCAAGGCTTGTCTCTTCCCTGAACCTCAGTTTCCCCACCTTCTCAGTGTGAGGGCTGTTTGGAGACCTCTAAGGACCCTAGAGCTGTACTGTTCACTAAGGTTACACTATTTTAATTAAAATCAAATTAACTAAAATTAAATAAATTTTAAAATCCAATTCTTCAGCCACACTAGACAAATGCTCAGTAGCCACATGCAGCTAGTGGCTGCTGGAGTGGAGTGTAAAGAGAGATCACTTCCATCATCACAGAAAGTCTCCCTGGACAATGCTCTAGGTCCTAGGATACCAGATGGCAGCATTCTGCCTCCAGCACACTGGAGAGGAAAACTTTCAGGCCTTGCTCTTCCCTGACTAGTATGACTGAGTCCACGCCCTGGGTGAGCCCTGGGACTTGCAGAATAAGCCGACCCTGCTGAGACAACAGAGCCATGGAGAGGGTACCTGGACCCTGGAAGGGACAGCTTTGAAATGTGGTAGCCAAGATCTCCAGGGGAGGTGAATGCCCTGGGAGTGTCTGCAAAGTGCTGGCAGTCTGCGTGGTGGACAAAGGCCACGGGAGCAAGCAGTCACGCAAGCGAGGGGCCAGGCTGCACAGGCAAGACCTGGGGAGGTTAGCGGGCATGCAGGGAGCACTGCAGTCAGAGGGAAGGTCAGGAACACGCCTGCACTTACATGATGACGGTTTTCTTGGGGACCTTAGTCTCCTGTTCAATGACTACAAAGAGAACAGTCGGAATAGCGAGGGTTACAGATCAGCCAGTGCGGGGGCTGAGCTCTCCGAGTGGACCGGCAGCGTGGTAACTCGTTCCGCTTAGGACACTGGCTCCGAACCCTGCTTCACTGTGCACCCCCCGGGAGGAATGTCTCGGCTCAGAGCCCCAGGCCCTTCACCTTTGAAACAGTGACGGTGCCTCCTCCGGGGGTCTGGGGAATGAGGCGTGGCGGTGACCATGTGTCCCCCGTGAGGCAGGAAGCCCTGTCCCCCTCGAGGGGTCTTGCAGGAGCTTCATGGAGAATAAGTGCCTAGTTCAGGCTGCCCACACAGAAATCCAAGCTCTTCCTTTAGTCCATGTACCCAGGGAGCCCTGGGTATTTGTCAGGCCCTGAAGTTCCTCTTTTCATAGAAACCGAGGCCTACAAAGGGGAAAGGAATGGCCTGTGTCTGGCAGACAAACTGGGATGTGGAGGGCTGGTGCCTAGTTCACAAAAAATTCTAAGACCAAAGGACCTCTCTCCAGAGCAGAGACTCTGGAGTCTTAGAGGTAGCCCGTCTGAGTGCTGAGCATCAGGCCACAGCAGGCCCTCCGGGAGCAATCTGAGGATGTCTGAGCAGGGTGCTGGGCTCTGAGCGAGCCAGGAGCATCCCACACACTCAACTGTTCTTGATTGTGCTAGCTGTCCTCCTCCCCGGAGCCAGCAGGGTAAGCCCTGTGGTTCCTGACAGGGACTCACACTCCAGCGACAGCTCGGGACTCATCCAGGACCCGGCAGCACCTACTCCCCACCATCTGGAGGCCTCTTCCTCTGTAGCTTCTGGGCAGGGTCAAGCTTGCCACAGATATGCCCCTCCCAGCCTCATCAGTGGGTGAGCAGGCAGCCCAGTAGCTACCAGCACCCATACATCTCAACAGTCCCTCTTACCAGACTGGGGGAAAGCTGAGGGGGAGGCTCAGAAAAGTCAAGAGACATGGCCCAGGGCACACAGCCTCCTAGTCTGTGGGATTTTGTGCCACATGGAAAAGGACTTCTTTAGATGACCAGATGCCCGTGACTATTTTAGCCTTGTTTCCAACTAGATGAACATGAATTAAATGTCCCAGCTGCGTGTGTATGGCACTTGGGTGCCGCATTTCCTATGCATGCGTGTGTTTGCGTGTGCATGCACGTGTGTCCGTAATGTATGTGTGTGCACGCACATGTGTGTGACTGTGTGCGTGCCTGCATGTGCTTCTGCAGGCAGCCTCCTGGGGAGAGGGGAGCCTACTGGGAGAGAGGATGGGATGCTGCCACAATGCCCTGTGTCTTTAGACGAAGTTGGACCCAGAGAACACCAACCCGTTTGTGGCCTATCGGCCACCCACTGCGCACAGAACAGTGAGCGATCCAGGGCCCTGATCCTCCCCGACGGGGGACTCATTCTGTTGCTTCTGGGGGTGGGGACCAGGGCCCCTGTGGGCTGCTACACTCCTGGCACCTTTCCCCATCTGACCTGCCACCAGAGTGGCTCTGGGATCCAGCGAGTACTGGCGACTATGGAAGGGTTACAGCCATGCCAAGCGGGGCGCTCGGCCCTGCGCAGTTTCACAAGCGAGGGGGCAGCACCCCACCCCACGGGGCGAGCCAGGGCCCGTTCTGGCTGCAAAGCCACTGGGTTAATGATGAAGCAGCAGGACAGGATTAGGAAGCAGGAGGCGGCGGGCTCCAGTCCCAGGCACTGTGAAGACTGGCCTCGCCTTGTGAGGCACCAAGGCCATTTCCGACATAGGTGCGCCGCCCCCGCTCCAGACCCTGCGTCCACGGGGCCCAGACAGAGGCCCAGCGTGACGGTGGAGTGAGAGTTCCGCGGGACGTGCTTGTTGCCGCCGAGACAGGGTGCTGAGCCCTGCCGTGCGCCACCTAAGACCAGCAGGGGCACGGCAGAGGTGCCGGCAGACGCCGTGGGGGCCTCCAATGGGAGCCGGCTCGACCAGTGCCCTTTGGCGCTTGACGAATAGGACCCCTGCCACCGAGGGAGGAAGGGTCTCTGGGCGGGCCCTACAGAGTGGGAAAGGCCCCAGGCCTGCGCTTCTGGCACCAGATGGCTGACTCAGTGAGAGTCCAGACAGACAGCAGACCCCGCAGGCTGGACCCTGGGAGGGACTGGATCTGGGGGCTCAAGGCATCAGAGGAGCCAACTTTCAGGACTTGGGAGGACACAGATCCCAGCCCACCCCCTACTGTGAGAGCTGGAGCTCCCCTAGGTGTTTCTGTGTAGCTCCCGCTTGCATGCCCCCGAGGATGGGAGGCTCAGTCCCTGTCCTGGCAGCCCCTTCCAGGTTAAGTGCATTCAGACCAGGAGAAACTCTCCCAGAGGCTGTCACCCACCCTGCAAGCCCTGAAGGCCACTCTCTGAACTCAACAGACACCAACTGCCCTTCTCCCCATCCCAGCCATCCTGGTTGGGACCCTGGAGCCACAAAGGGAGGCATCCTGTCACCCTTCACCTCCTGGGAGCATGCTGCTCCCTAGTGAGGCCCATTCTGCAGCCCAGACCCTTCCCAGCCTGGCATAGGCCAAGCCACAGCACCCTGTCCTTTCCTCAGCCAGGGCCACCCTCTGTGGAAGGATCATGCCACTGACACCGCTCCTTCTCCCAGGAGCCAAGCTGGGACCCGGCAGCCTGCTTCTGTGGAGCTGCCCCTGCCACCCATCCTGTAAGACCTCTCTGAACGCTGCCTAGCAGGCAGCTCCAGGCCCAGGTCTGGCCTGCATATGCATTTGTTATTCCCCCCAGGAATGGTTATTAGCAGGGCTTAGGAGGTCCCCCCGACCCTTCAGACAACCCCGTCAGCCCTTCCCAGGCTCTGGTTCACAGCCCACCCTTCTCTGGCCCCCATATACGCTGCTCCAGTCAGGGGTGGGCCGCCAGTGCTGGCCCCCATCCCCTGAGTCCCCTCCTCTGAACGTGCTTCCCTTCCTGCAGGAAGTGTGCTCTGCTGAGAAGGTCTAAGGGTTCTGCCCCTCCCGGGTCTGCCCCGGCCTGTGGGGGTCCAGCTCAGGCTGGACTGCCGGCGGAAGCACTCACCTTCCATGGCCGCGAGCCGCTCCACGTGGTGCTGTTCCCGGGCCTGCAGCACAGGGCTCTGCATGAGCAGCTCCGCACGGCTCCGTTTGGAGCCCAGCCGGTTCACCAACTGCAGGGCACAGAGCAGGGGCTCACCTCCAGCCCATGGCTCCCCAGGGGGCCCAGGCAGTCTGTTTGAGGCCGTACAGGCTAGCGGTGGCGTGGAGGGCCCACCGCAGCTATTTCAAGAGCCGCAGAGCCTGGCCACATGGGTGAGGGTGCCGTGTCCTTTGACCAGAGCTCCCTGGGACGGGGGGACACTCTCCACCTGCCTTGTCTAGCACACTGGCCACGTGGGCTCTGAGCACGTGAATTAGAAGTGAATCTTTACTTAAGCGTTAGCTTTAACTGATTTACATTTAAATCACTGTGTGGCCAGCACAGGTCCAGAGCTGACTGGGGTCTGCCTCCGTCTCTAAGAATTGCCTTTGGGAGCAGGCACCACCATGTCCCCTGCAGGCTGCCAGCAGCAACAGCACGAAGGAGGCTGGGGGTCGGGAAGAGCCATGGCTAGCCCATGCCCTGCCCTGACCTCCACCAGTGCCCCCAGGTCACGAGGACCAAGGGGGCTCCGCCCGGGGCCTGCCCCTCCGCCCCGTCTTCTGCACACGGACAGTGGGCGACAGTGGCCCGGGGTCTCCCCTCTCATGGCCCTGGATGGTAGTGACCAGGCGGGGTCCCCCAAGACAGGGCCCCCAACCCCGACCAGGCGGGGTCCCCCAAGACAGGGCCCCAACCCCCTGCCCCGCCCCCCTCACCTCACACTCATAGACGCCCAGGTCCTCCGTGCCCGCCGCCTGGATCTCCAGCACCAGCAGGCCGCTGCGGGGCTCACTCAGGGCCTGGTATTTGCCCCCAGGGGTCAGCAGGGCGCCGTCCTTGTACCACCTGCAGCCAGCCCCAAGCGCAGTCAGGTGGGTCTCCCGCCCATGCTCAGGACTCTCTCCTCACCCATCCCCTAGTTCCAAGTATCTTTACGGAGCCCACCCTCCTGGACGCCACCCACCCAAAGAACAGGCGGTCCTGTGTCCTCGTCATGGCAGTTAGAGCCGTGTTCGGAACTGCAGCCCACTCACGCCCACTCCTCAGCGGACAGGCGGCCGTCCTGTGAGTGGCTGGCCCTGACCCAGCTAACAGGCTGCCCACACACACCTCTCAGGCAGGCAGGACAGCCCCAGGGCAGGCCCGCGTGCCCCCTGCTGCCCCACCCCCACGCCACCTGGCCCACCTGATCTGAGGATATGGGGCACCTTCGATGGTGCAGGTGATCTGGGCATCTTCTCCATCCACAAAGGGCACTGCCCGGACCTTGTTCACAAACCGAGGCGGGACTGCAGGGCCCAGGGAACGTGGGGAGACGAAAGAGAGATTTGAGAGATGGAGGGAAAGAAACGGAGAGACACAGAGACAGAGACAGACACACGGAAAGAAAAACAGAGACAGAGATGGAGACAGAGACAAAAAGAGAGAGACAGAAACAGATAAATAGATGGATACAGAGAAAGAAACAGAGAAGGAGGTGGAGGCAGAGATGTAGACAGATAGAGGCACAGAGACTCAGAGAGAGACACCATGATGGACCGGACCCCACCCCCGCCAGTCAGTCTCCCAGACTTGTCAGATATTCACAACCATCCCTGCAGCTCCATCCATATGCCCCCAAGCAGGGCTGATACCTTTACAACGCCCACAGGGTGGGGCCTGGGCCTGCCCCTCAGGGCTCACCTTGCACCAATATTTTGCCCAGCGTGCTGGCATTGCCAGCAGCACTGGCTGCAAAGCACATGTACTGGCCAGAGTCAGCACCAGTCAAGTTGTCCAGGATGAGTGCACAGGAGCCATCGGGGTCTTCAATGAGGATGTGGTGAGGGTCCACCTCCACTGGCTTCCCATCTGGAAAGGAGGGGAGGGCCATCACGGGGGGAACACCATCAGGGACAAAAGGCTGGACCTGTCTGGGGGTCATAGTCACAGGGTCTGACGGAGGAAGCTACCCTTATCACACAACAGCCAGTGGACTCCCTGCCAGGGGTCTAGCTGGCCAGGCTGACCTGGAGCCCTGGATGGAGCGGTGGTACTGACCTGCACCATCTACTTCCCCAGACCTCACTGTGCACAGTGTGGCCTCTGAAAGGCCAGCTCTTAGCTGGAGGCAGGGGCCAGGCTGGGGGACCCAAACCCACCAGAGGACGTCTCCTTCTGATAATAAGACCCTCAACTTATTAGTGCTTCTGCAACTCCCCCAAGGTACTGACCCCACCTAGCAGATACTCAGACAGCACCATCTCTTTAATCATCCTCATCCAAATGCCCATCTGACTAACATCTGCAGTTGTACCACGTTTCCTTCCTGTGAGATGGGTGGGGAGATATGCATCCTTCACTATGAAGGGGTGTTCATGGGAATCAGTGGTGGACGTACTGCCCAACCATCATGGTCATCATGCAAGAAACAGCTATTTCCTGTGAATGGAGAGACTGAGCAAGCAGCTCCAAGTTGAGCACTGAGAAGTGGGCTCAAAGTCTCCCAGATGGTGCCTCAGCTGATGCATTCTCTCTCCCTACAGCGGGGACATTGCTGGTTCACCTCGGGTCAGCCCCACTTCCCAACAAACATTAGAACCCACGTTGAATCCCAGGAAGTCTCTGTGCCCTTCTGAGTCCAGTCACAGAAATACACACCCACACTGGGTGCAAAGGGGAAGCCATCGTTGATCCTGGGGGAAGAAGGCAGGCAGGAGCAGGGCCAGAACTCAGGGGTGAGGCCTGGGCACCAAATACACGAAGGATTCCTTTAGAGATAACAGGAAAGGACCCTGGTGTTTGCTGCGAACCCTGGCTTGGGACAACTCCCTGACATAGACAAACCTCTATGGGGAACGGTCAACAGCTGGCACACGGACTCATGGCACCTGGATGGTGTCTAGAATGCTGGTGACACGCTGGAGAAGGTGATCCAGAGAGATACGAATGCCTCCTGACAGGCGGCCCTGCCTCCTTGGACACCTCACTCAGCCCTCATGGGAAGACCCAGAAAGGGGATGGGAGATGTTGCAACGGCTCTGGGCCGGTGGAAACCTCTGCTAAGTGGACCCCATCCAAAATGTCACCATCATGCCAGGCAAGGGACACAGAGCCCCTGAGAACAACGCAAAGTGGCTGTTAAGTCAAGGGGTCCCTGAAGCTAACAGATAGGATCTGTAGGGACAATCTTGCCGCCTCACTGAGTGAGCCCAAAACACTAAGTATCACTGAGCTACAGAAGTGCGTCTTCTTCCATCCCTGCGCCCTTCCACCTCTTCCACCCTTACTGCTACTTTAAGAGAAAAATCATCAGAAGTGGGCCTTGGTCTCCCTGGGCTCAGAGGGACTGGAGGCCCAACATGCCCCTCTGATACACCAGGCATGCAGGCACGGGGAGAGCTTAGATTTTGATGGCTCTGTTGGATACAGGTGTCTGGATTCCACTGATGGGATTTGAGCAAGGTTCCCACAGAGCAAGAAGAAAACTGTCCCCTTGGGGCCAGGTCAGGGTGCTGTGACCATGGCTTCCACCTCTGGACCCTGGTGTCTGCTGCTTGGAACACGCTGCTCCACACGAGGGGGGCGAGGCCCTACATGTGGACAGGCTACGGAGCGTGTAACCAGCTCCAGCCCAGCAACGTGTCACTTGCCAAGACTGCCAGCAGAACCCCAGCAGGAGAAAGGGAGCTGCCGGCCTCTGGGGAGATGTGAAGGCAGCCCAGCTAATAGGAGGGGCCGAGTCCAGAATCAGCAGCCCTGGACAGCCACAGAGAGCGGAAGCGGGCAGTCACTGCTCCCGTGGCCCCAGCTGGCGAGCACAGGACAGCCGTAATGGGGTCTCCCGTGCAGGCAAACAGCTCCCGGCAGGAGTCCTGGGCAGTGCGGCCAACTGCTTTTCCCTCCTGCTGGCATGCAGGGACCAAGACCATCACCGGGGCTCCCTGCCCCAGGGGTGAATTAGAAGGTGGCCTTCTGCCCCCGACACTTAAACTTCCACCAAATGAATGATGTTTTGCTGGTGGGTGAGTCTGCCTTCTCCTGCCAGATGCTATTTTTCCTGGCAAAGGTTATGTGAGATGTTGTAAACACCCTGGCTATTTAGTCTGACATTTAACAGACTACAGATGGGTGGGCTGAAGACACGCCTCCTCGGGTCCATGAACCATGGAGACAAGATGAGAGCATGACAGGGCTCCCACCCAGACCCCCGGAGTCCTGTGCGGAGCGGCTGCGCTGCGCGTGGGGCCGAGTTCCGGTGCATGCCAGACGGGACTGCCCAGGGTGACGCTCTCACCTGGCACATGGGTGTCTCCCACCATTTGGGTGTCTCCAACTGTGAGGGTGCTTAAGGTCAGGGAACCGCCAGCTCTGGCCACACCACATGGCTGTGTGCGCCGCCTGGCCCACCAGCAGTCTGAGAACCTGTCGTTCGCGGGGGCTGCCCAACGTGAACGGACCACCTGCTGGCCCTTGCTTCCTCCGCTCCCCAGACACAGCTGTCCTCAGAGGAGTCTAAGCCTGTAGGCTGCTCACCGGGTAAAGGTCCAGATGAAAAAGACAGTGATGGTCTGGATACAGGTGGGAACCCAGGATCCCACCCTGACTGTTCTTGGGCATGGTGCAACCCCCCTTTCCCTCAGACACAGCCCAGCTGGTACACGCTCCTGAGGGCAGCCTAGCTGAAGGGTGGTGGCTGAGGGGCCTGTTTTCAATTAATTCTATTGACTGGGTTTGTCTCTCTGAACCCACTGTCACAGATGAGAGGTCTGGTATGAGAAGGGATGGCGGGGAAGTGGGGTTGCACTGCATGGGTTCTGCAAGGGAGCAGGGAACACTGCAGACTTCAGGACCCCACAGACTCCAGAAGAGTGCTAGGGGAACCAGTCACTTCATCCACCGACTCTGCTCTGAAGCCCTACCCATGGGCTGGGGATGGCCCTCCTTTCATGTCCCAGCAAAATGGCCTGCGTATCTTCTCCAGCCCCATTCTCAGCCATCCGTGGTGGACACATGCGCCTGACTGGTTGTGGACAAGCAGGACGGGAGGATGGACTTCTCTGGGACCGTCCCCCAAAACCCAGAGTGGACTCGGCTATTGGGACCAGACTAGGGCTCAGGACTTACCTTTCAGCCCAGATGAGACCTAGTGAGAGTATCACAGTTTACCTGAGACTTTGAGCCTCAACAGATGGTCGAGGCTACACTGTGAGCTGGTGGGGGTGGGGGACTTTAGGCCATACGGCATCAGCTTGACCTCAGAGGGGCCGCAGACTGAGGTCAGTCGTGCGGGGGGGCAGTCTGTGTGAGGGCCCCGACAGAAAGCTGACACAGTGAGGCTCAGCAGGAGAGTGTCCCTGGTGGGCCACGCTACCTGTGCTGGGACACATCAGAGGTGACAGACACAGGCATGTCCACACGACTCTATTGTGGGGACATCTGGGCCACGCCTGGACCCTCACATGGATCCCACCCCATGGACCGCTTCCCTCTTACTGTGATGAACCAGAACCCTGACTGGCATGGTTGTGCTGAGTTCCGTGGAGCCCCTGAGATTCAATCGCTGAACCTGAAGGTGGCTGTGGGACACCCCCATGTGCAGTTGGTTCCCAGTGAGAATGGTCTTGGGGTCCTGAAGTTGATGTCAGAAGTGAAGGTGTTCCTGGGGGCCCCCGGAGTTTGCAGCTCCCATCACATAGGGGAGTCAGACCTGGCCCTCAAGGCCCAGCATTCTCCAGCCTCATTCCCCACTACGCCCGCCTCAGCTCCCCTCTGCCTCCCGTTCCCCTGGAGCCTCGCTGCCCGCTGGGAGTTCCTCCAAGCTGTCTGCCCTTCATTCTTCCGTATTTCTCTGGCTGGTCATGCCACTTCTGGCTTCATATTGCATATCTGTCTATGTGCTTATCATCTGTCTCCTCCCTGAGAAGGCCAGCCTCTATCCACTGACCAGGATGGCCCTCCTGGCCACTGCTATTTCCCACACACCTGGAATGGTCCTGGACACTCAGCACAAACATGATCAAACGAGGGAACGAATGAGCGAGATCCAGGGGTGGGCAGAGTCACCGTGTCAAACGCATGACGCACATGGGAGCAAGCTCCACCTCTGCCCCACTCACCCCCTGTGCTCACCCGCCAGCCTGGCTTTGATTCAGGGGCAGGCAACCAGAACGGAGGCCTGTCTCTTGTGCCCAGGCCCTCCGTCAGACCCCACCCTGGATCCCTGGCCCCCTGCCCAGCCTGATTCCCTCTGGGTGGCTCTGGCTTGTTGCAGGGTTAGCACCCAAAGGCTCACCTTTGTACCAGGTGACAATGGGCTTGGGTGTGCCCGTCACACGGCAGGCCAGCTTGACTGTCTCGCCCAGCTCAGCTGTGCAGTCGGCCAGTTCTTCTTCAAAATTGGGGGGGCCTGGGGATACAAACACAGGGCCTTGATCACTCACACATTCCCTCAGGTGTCCACCTGGCAGGACCAGAGTCCCCTGACCAACAAATGGTTGCGGCAGACACCACCCCTTAGGAACCTTTATCCGCAATACCACACTAGGAGCTGGACGGGACTCAGGGGAAGGGACAGAGGCCCAGGATACGTCGGGAGCATGGTAGGGACTGTGGGAAAGGAGGGCGTGTTGAAACAGGATCCTCTCTCCCATTCTAAGTGAAGAAGCAAAACCAAGACTGCTGGGTCCTTCACATCCCCAACACAGCCTGCCTGCCCTATGCTGGGCAGCCAAGCGCAGACCCCGAGGCCCTCACCACATCTGGCTAACCAAGGGTGGAGCGTGCCACTTGCCCTAGAATTGAGTATCTTCCCTTGTGCTTGCCCAGGTGGCGACAAGGGCCCAGAGCTCAGGACCTGCCGACTCGTGTGCTCTCAAGCCAGGCGCCCAAGCGAAGGTTCGGCCTCCCTCCAGCCTTGCCCCAGAGCCCAGGCACTCACGCCAGATGGGCAAGGCCAGGCGCTGCTGGATGCCACAGATCTCCTTCACCCAGGAGTTCTTGGTGATGACAGTCCGTGCCTGTAGCAGGTACTTGCGCACGGAGTCCTCCCGCTCGTGCCAGATCTCAAAGGCTCGGTCATCGCCCTCCACCTGGTCGTTCAGGTCGATGCTGCTCAGCTGTGGGAGGAGGGCACAGCTGACTGCCGGGACGCAGAGCAGGCCGTGGTCACAGAGGCCAGGCTTGCAGGACTGACCCCTGGCCTTCCCCTGCCCACCCTGCATGGCCTCCCTCTGCCCGCCCAGGCTCCGCCGGCACCCTGCCAACCTTCATCATGTTCCGGAAGACATAGCTGAAGGTGTCGGTGCGCGAGTCCCGCCGGGGCTTGCAGACCACCAGGTGGTGGCGGAACAGGAAGACGTGCCGATGGTGGCCCTTCCAGGGCATCCGCGCGCCCGGCGCCCCTTCCCACACGATGAAGTGGCCCTGGGTGAGCAGTCAGCATGGTCAGCCAGGCCCAGCCTGGCGTCCACCCTCCCCCTGCCCAGGGCCCGCCTCTGCACCCTCAGCCCCAGACCTGGCGGATGGGCTCGCCCAGGGCCTCCAGGGTGCCAGGGTAGTTCTCCATGAGCGACACGTGCAGCTGGTTCTCCGCTCGCTGCGGCAGGGCCGACACCACCGCGTAGGCTTGCTCGAGCAGCGCGCAATTCTGGCCGTTCCGTGCCTTGTTGCGGATCAGCTCCTGCGGAAGACTGCAGGTCAAGGCAAGGCCTGGGGTGGCTGGGCACGAGGCAGCCCCACAGCCCCTGGACTGGACTGCTTACCTTGAGCAGGGCCTGGTACTGCTGGACCCGCTCTACCGGCTGCTCCAGGAAGTGCTGCAGCGGTGGGGGCGGTGGCTGCGAGGGGTCCGCGGCTGACAGCACCTCCTCGGTGTATTTCTGTGGGGACCACAGCGCCGGGCTCAGGGCAGGGGGGTGCAGCCCCCAGAGGGCATGTGTCCCCAGAGTCTGAAGGCTGGTGGACTGGGGGCCCAGGGGAGCTGGCATGCTCACACACAGACCCTCCTCCCCGGGTGGGTCCCACTGCTGCCCCAGGGGGTGGCCAGTGTCACCGCCTAACACGTGAGCAGAGTTGGTGGGCGAGCAGGGTTGGTGGGGGGACCCTGCCTGCTTTTCTAACCTGGAGGTCAGGGGTCCTGGGAAGGTGAAGCGGAGCCTGAGCAGGGTCAGGGGAGATGGTCTAAAAGCCAGGAGCCAGCATGACGCCTGGGGAGTGGAGGCAGGGCTGTGGGGCAGAGGGTCACCTTGTAGAACTCCTGCACGGCTGTGCTGACCATCACCGACTCAGCCTGCACTCGGCCCACCAGGAATTCCAGATACTTCTCAAAGGCTGCCTGGTTCTTGATGAAGCACATGGCCACATCGTCATCTGTGTCACAGCTACGCAACTCCTGTAAGAAGCTGCCACAGAGGGGAACTGTGGTCAGGTGAGGGCTGACATCAGGACCCCCACCCGGGACCCACAATCCAGCCCCAAACTGAGGGTTTGGGAAGGAACAGGCTGCTACCCGGGCCCGAGTGCCTATGGATGGAAGTCAGTGCTCTGGGCTGTGAGGGACACACACGTTTTCACATGTGCTGCATGTACACGTTTGTGGGTGTGTAAATATGTAAGGGCCGATATGTCTGTGGGTGAACATGTATACGTGTGTGTACCATGCACATGCATGCCCACACATGAAAGGGTGTGTGTGTGCGCAGGTATGCACATGTACTTGTATGTAATGTGTGCACACTTCTGGGGCATGCCCGTGTCCTTGGCTGGCAGTGGGTAGGTGTGATGCAGGCACTTCTGGGCGTAAGCGAGGCACACGTGCCTGAGTTCCTGGGGACATGTGTGTCCTTGTACAGGGCTGCGGTGCACCAATGGGTCAATCAAGTCATACAAAGTCCTGTCTGTTTTCAACCCCTGCCCACTCCCCTGAGGCCCAAGCCTGCCAGGACACACGTGTGCAAGTGTGAGCATCCACGTGAGTGTGTCCTGTGCAAGTGTGACTGGTGTGTGCACATATGTGTCTGTATCTGAGCACGCACACATGTGCATGAGCACGTACATGCATGTACACACATACAGACCAAAGGAAACGCCTCAAGGCCCACCTGCTGTGGAAGTGGCCGATGTCCTGCACGTTTCGGAAGATGACCGCCTTCTGGCTGGCCACGGCTGCGGGCACGTGGGGGCAGCGGTCCAGGTACTGCATGTGGTGGCTCTGCAGGAACTGCAGCTCGCCCACGAAGGACTGCTCTGAGCTCAGCAGGTCCCGGATGATGGCACTGGCAGGGCGGCAGCCGTGAGGGGAGACCCCGGAGCTGAGCTGCTCACCGGGGCACTTCTAGGCCACACGCACTGTGCTGACCACTTTCAGAATGGGCCGGGCAAGGTGACGGAGGGAAGGGCGCCCCCACACCCACCAGGCGGCCTCGCCATAGGAAACTAGTGTCTCAGAGCTCCCCCGCAGAAAGCCACCTTCCCACAGCACCTGTCTGGGGCCCTCACCTCAGCCTTGTCTTGTACTCGTCCTCTGACAAAGCCTCCCCAGGGAACTCAGGGGCCTCCGCTGGCCCCCACTCGGGAGACAGCTGGTGAGAGACGGAGGCACAGGCAGCCTGAGCACTGGCCTGCCCTTCGAGGATCAGGCTCCCACCTGCGACCCCAGGACCACCCCCCCAGCCACCTAGTTACCTTGAGCCGCTTGTCCAGGTAGGCAGGGGACACCCAGCCCTGCCGAGAGGGGCTGTTTTTGGTGGGTTTGGTGCGCACGAGCCAGCGCAGGGGGTGGGCAGAGTCCAAGACCTCCACGTACTGGCCCTCCCGCAGCAAGATGGCATCCTGCTCAGCCCCCAGGGGCAGGTAGTCAGCTGTGACCACGTAGATGTCAAAGATCTGCGGGTGAGACGGAGGAGCTGCTGTGTCGGACCTGGGCTGGGGCCAGCCAGGTCTCCCAAGGCCCCAGGGACCCCGTGCAGACGCCAAAGGGGAGCAGGGCTGGGAGAAGGCCAGTGGGCCTTCAGGTCCACAAAGTCCTGTCTGTTTTCAACCCCTGCCCACTCCCCTCAGGTCACAAGGCTCCGAGGAGTCAGTGGAGAAGACACAGCCATTCTGACATTCTCTGAGGCTCTAAAAGAGGCCTGACCCAGCTCCAGGTAGGGAACTCCTTTCAGGAGTGCAGGTGGCCCCCTCCAAAGGGACCAGGAGGAGTCTCGGGATGCTGGGCGTGTCCTGAGTCAGGGTGGTGATGCTGGCCACGCAGGGGTGTTCCCCACACCTCCTCCTCCCCCATACCAGCTTGACCTGTGCCCTGCCCCCACGGCTCTCACCTCCCCTCCCCCCACCCCTCGCCTGCCCGCGCACCTCTCCCCGGGAGTCCCCATCCTCGGACTCCGAGGACGACTCCTGGACGCTGGAAGAGGGGCGTGAACGGCCATGCCGGGGGGACGCGGACGGCGTCTTTGACTCCTCGTCACTGTCAACTCCAGGCACCTGCAGCCTCGCTGGGGGACAGAGGACACAGGAGGCCCTCAAAGGGCCTGCCCCGCCGGCCGTCTCCCCACGGGTCTCCGGGGCAGGCGGGTGGGGAGGGCCCAGGCCTGGGGCTCGGTCTCGGCCGTCCCCGGAGCTCGCTCCGTCATCAGCCGGCCTTACCTTGTGTGATCTTGGCCGACACCATCTCTGTGATCTGCGAGGTGAGCTTCTTCAGGAACTCCTCCGTGCCCACCTCGGCCAAGGACAGATGGCCACGGGCCTCTGCTCCCAGGAGCTCTGCTGGGGCCAGAGCCTGGCTCAGCCAGCTGTGTGCGCCACAGACGTGCCTGGACACAGGCACCCAGGCCATCCCGGGCTTGGGGTCAGAGGTGCCGCTGCACACACAGAGCTGGGCCAGCACTGCCAGACGCAGGACATACTGACCATGACTGGGGTCTCTCTGGCTCAAAGGCATGTGAGCCGATGTGTGATTTAGGGGACCGTGAACTTGGGGAAGCAGGGTCTGGGCAGTGGAGGCAGTAGGTGGCTGGAGGGAGAGCAGACAGTTGGGGGCAGCGGGCAGCCTGCAAAGGTGTAGGGCAGTGGGTGAAGGGGAGCTGAGGGCAAATCTGAGCAAGTGGTCAGGATAGGTTTGGAGCTTGGAGCTGTGGGGTTCCCCGGGGTCGGGGGTTAGGTCTGTGCCACTTTCATTCCTGTTGTCCACTTGGCCTTTGGTCTGGGAAGGGGCTCGGGAGGGACAGAGATCAGAGGGAGCCCCGCCAGGCAGTATAACACGAGGACAGGTTCTGAGACACCGAAGGCAGTGGGCAGGACCCCAAACTGTGGCACAAGGGCTGGGGGGCCAGAACCCTGGCAGCTTCAGGTTGACCTTGATGGACGTGGGATCCTTTGCGGGGGCGATGGGTCAGGGGAGGTGTCGGGGTTAAGGAGCAATGAGGATGACCAATGGTGGGCAGCGCAGGAGAGGGAAGAGTGCGCATATCAACGAAGCAGGTCGGTGAAGAATGATCCCACAGGCACATGGATGCATGGCTCCTCCTGACTTCTGTGCAGACTCAGTGTTTTCCATAAAAAACGAGTTTAAAATATGCCAAGGTGCTGGGGCCCTGTGCAGGTCAGAATTGGGCCCACAAGAGGCCAGGGAGCCCTGGCCCGAGCAGGGCCAGCTGTGTTCCCAGGGCCACACAGCCCGAAGCAGCCCCACAGTCCTGGGGTGGCCCGTCGAGCAGCCTCCTGCACGCCCCCGCCCCTCCCTGCACAGACGTGTGCCCACCCGGCCCGTACCTTTCTTCTGCCCAGAAAGGTCCGTGAAAGCTGCAGGTTCTGACATCTGTGCAGCAACAGCTTGGGTCCTAGAGGGGGAGGAGATACCCTGAGGAGCCTGACAGAAAGGAGGGTCTGGGGGCCGTGGGGCTAGACACCACAGTCACGGTCCTGGGGAAGGACTCCTCTCCAGTGGGGAGCTGAGCCCCATGACCCAAGCAGAGCAGAGCTGGGCGGGGGTGCAGGACGGGGCTCCGCCCCAGCGGCAGCGCCGCCCCCACTCCCAGGACCTGCACCCCCAGGGCCGACATCCTCGGGCCCTCTCTGCTGGGCCCCCGGCTCCTGAGCAGCCCCTCACTCACCCCTGCAGGAAGGTGGAGATGAGGGCCTCCTTCGCCTCGGGCTGCTCCTCCGTGGCGCCCGCCTCCTTAGGCACTGTCGGGAGAACAGGGCGGACCCCCAGAGTGATACCACGCACCCTTGAGCGCGGATTCTGGCCAGCACCCCTGCCAGTGATGCCTGGCCCACCCACTGGGGCCCTGGCCCTGGCCCCTGGAGCCCCGAGGAGGCCTGTGCCCACTGCCCCAACTTGTCCACAGTCACCCCACCGGTGGCAGGAAACGGAAGGAGTGTGCACTTGATTCACCAGCCCTCCGAGGAGCCGAGAGGGCCCGGGGAGAAACCACTCGGGGTGGTGGGGGCTTCTAGGAGGGTCTAGCTGAGCGGAACCCTCAGGGTAGTGGGTGGGGACTGGCCCAGGAGCTCGGAGGCTGCACACGGCCCACTCTGCCCCCGCTCCCACGCCCACTCACGGCCAGAGACGTGCAAGCCTGCGGAGCAGATGGCCTGGCCGGCCGCGTTGGAGGCGATGCAGGTGTAGGTGCCCTGGTGCTGTCGGCCCACGTCCAGCAGGACCAGGCTGTGCTGCTGGGCGGAGCTGGCCACCGTGTAGCCTGGCGTGTGGCGGCCGATCCACAGCACACCCTGCTCCGCTTCCTCCCGCAACCAGTGCACAGCCGGCGGCGGGCTTCCTGTGGGCAGGAGGGCAGGAGGTGGACGGTCCTTCCCCACACCAGGAGGGCGGCTCACCCCCGAGCCTCTCTAGAAGGGTCCTGAGCAGGGGGGGGGAGGCAGGACCGCCTACCTTCCACCTTCACGGAGAAAGTGATGCTGGAACCCTTTTTCACCTTCTTGGAGGTGAATTTCTCCAGGAACCGGGGTGGCACCAGCTGCTGCTGTGCATCTGGAAAGACACGGGGCATTTGGCGGTAAACAACACGGATCCCCCACTCCACATGGGAATTCCACAATTCCCCCTCACACTCCCTTACTGAATCTATGCCCAGGGCCTCCCTCTCTCTGCCCTCTGGATTCAGCTCACCTAATGCTGGCTTCTCTTCTGGTTCATTGGGGCCTGAAAAAAGCACATAAGTCAGATCTACAGCACCAAGGTGTCCCCTCCCCTGAACAGGCCTGCCTACCAGGGTGGGAGTCTCAGGGGGCCCCACCCACTCCCACACACCACACACAGCACCATTCCTAAGCCTGGCTGATCGTGCAGACCCGGGATTCGCACTCAGGCCCCACGGACCAGATGCAATGCTACCCCACGTCAGCCCAGGGGTCTGGGGCACTGCACTGAAGCCAACACAGGGAACAGGTCTGCTCAGAAAGTCACACTGAAGCCAAGCCGCAGGCCAGCGCAGACTTGAATAAAACTTGGAATCACCTTGCTGTGCTCAGGACTGGGAAAAGTAAGCAAGTTCAGACTTCTACTTCTAAAATGACTATGTGCCTCTTCCTCCCCAGAGTCTCCCAAAGGTCCCATGCTTGCCTGGGACTACTCCACCAGCCAGCTAGCCTTCTAGCTAGTCAGTTTTCATGGGCCCCTTACCCCCTCAGCTTCCCTGGTGGTTCAGACTGTAAAGAATCTGCCTGCAATGCAAGAGACCTGGGTTCAATCCCTGCGTTGAGAAGATCCCCTGGAGAAGGGAAAGGCTACCCCTCCAGTATTCTCGAGTGGAAAATTCCACGGCCAGAGGAGCCTGGTGGACTACAGTCCATGGGGTCACAAAGAGTCGGACATGACTGAGCGACTAACACTTTCACAAACACACTTCACCCCTTAGCAGCACACGCTCTCTGGGAAGCAGTTTCTGGCCGCCTGTGGCTTCTGTACACTGGGGCAGTGACCACTGGGTCCTGGCTTCCAGGCCTGCCACAGCAACCCAGGTGTGGACGCCAGGCCCTGCCACCTTGCTGGGCACCCACCTCGGACCAGGAGCCGAGCAGACGAGTAAGCGGCACCCACGGCATTGCTGATGTATGCCGAGTACTGGCCGGCATCCTCGCCGGTGACCGAGACAACCTCCAGGCTGTGCAGCGTCTTCCTGTCCGACACACGTATGTGCGCGGAGGCGGTCAGGGGCTGCCCGTCTTTGAACCAGTAGAGTCGGGGTGTGGGGTAGCCTGAGGCCACAGGGGGAGCGGTGAGCGCAGGGCTCCAGCCCAGTGGGCACCATGCCTGCCACAGGCCCTCAGAGAGCCTGGGGTCACAGGTGATCATGCAACCGTGGCTTGGCAGGAGACAGCGCCTTGCCCTCCGTCCCTCTCCCGTTTACCTTTCACCTTGAGCTGGAACTTGGCCAGCCGTGTGCCAGGGGCCACCTGCAGGTCTTTCAACTCCTCCACGACCTGGGGCAGCTGCCCCTCCTCTGAGGTGGACTCTGTGCCCTCCTGCTCCCGGCTGGCAGGGAGAACAAAGAAACGGCAGCCGTGAGGAGGACCAGTGAGGGCTCCGGGACAGGAGGGGGCCGGGGTTGGGGTGGGTGATTCCTGAGCTCTCCTCTGTGCTGGGTGGAGGGTACTGTGGGCTGGCTGAAGCCACCATGGGTGGGGTGCTGTCAGTCCAAGCCAGCACTGCCACCCCTGCAAGGACCCGGGACCACCAGCCCACCGGGCGCTGCCCACCTCCGCCTGGCCCTCTACCTGGACAGGTAGCCCTGGGCGCTGAAGTAGGATGAGGTCTCCGTGGCGTCCGCGGCAGTCTCATAGTCGGTGCTGGTCACTGCGGATGAAGGATGGGGCTGAAGCGACCTGCACCTCACCTTCTTCCCAGGCACGAGCCCCACCCCAGAGGGTACCCGATGCTCACTGCAGCCATTCCCGGGGACACTCACACTTCTGCACTTCTGAGTCAGAAGGAAAGGGGGACGCAGCTACCCCACGACCCCCCCCGTCCCCAGGCTATTTACCAGCCCATGTTTCCAGGCCTGTAACTGACTTCAAGACCCAACAAATTATCAGTACTGGGCTTCATAATAGCAGACAGTGGCAATTAACTTAGCTCCTTGGTTCCACCTAACTAAGGAACAAGGGTGACACAGGTCTCAAAACCAGCAGCTGGGGTTTCCTCTTAGAGCCACAAGGAAGAATAAGGGCTAAATTTATCCTCTGCTGTGGTCTGAGCACAGCTGTATCCCCCCAAAATTCATATGTTCAAGTCCTTACTCCTAACATGATGGTGTCTGAAGGTGGGACCTTTTCACGGTGATCAGGCTTAGATGACTTCATAAGGGTGGACCCTCATGAATGGGATTAGTGCCCTTCTAAGGAGGGACCCCTTCTCCCTTCCTGCATGTGAGAACACTGTGAGAAGACAGCTGTCGGCAACTTGGAAGAGGACTCTCACCAGCTCCCTTCCATCTCCATGACTTCAGGCAGTGTGCTTCTATTATTTAAGTGGCCCAGTCTATGGGACTGTTATAACAGCCTGAAATAAGATACCCACTCCCAAAACAACCAAAGGAAAACAAACACAATAAAGAAAATAATGGCTGTGATGTAGTGATTTATAATAAGAAACAGAAGTTTGGTCTTCCTTCTGTTCCTGACTCAGAGTTCCTACACACTTGGAATTTCCTAACTGGACAGGCGTAGAGATTGGGATTTTTTTGAAAATTTATTTTAATTGGAGGTTAATTACTTTACAATATTGTGGTGGTTTTTGCCATACATTCACATGAATCACCCATGGGTGTTCCCCATCCTGAACCCCCCTCCACCTCCCTCCCCATCCCATCCCTGAGGGTCATCCCACTGCACCAGCCCTGAGCACCCTGTCTCATGCATCAAACCTGGACTGGCGATCTATTTCACATATGATAATATACACGTTTCAATGTTATTCTCTTAAATCATCCCACCCTTGCCTTCTCCCACAGAGTCCAAAAGTCTGTTCTTTACATCTGTGTCTCTTTTGCTATCTCACATACAGGGTTATCATTACCATCTTTCTAATTCCATATATATGCATTAATATACTGTATTGGTGTTTTTCTTTCTGACTTACTTCACTCTGGATAATAGGCTCCAGTTTTATCCACCTCATTAGAATGGATTCAAATGTATTCTTTTTAATAGCTGAGTAATATTCCATTGTGTAAATGTACCACAGCTTTCTTATCCGTTCGTCTGCCGACGGACATCTAGGTTGCTTCCATGTCCTGGCTATTGTAAACAGTGCTGTGATGAACATTGGGGTACACGTGTCTCTTTCAATTCTGGTTTCCTGGGTGTGTACGCCCAGCAGTGGCTTTGCTGGGTCGTATGGCAGTTCTATTTCCAGTTTTTTAAGGAATCTCCACACTGTTCTCTATAGTGGCTGTACTAGTTTGCATTCCCACCAACAGTGTAAGGTTCCTTTTTCTCCACACCCTCTCCAGGATTTATTGTTTGTAGACTTTTTGATAGCAGCCATTCTGACCAGCATGAGATGGTACCTCATTGTGGTTTTGATTTGCATTTCTCTGATAATGAGTGATGCTGAGCATCTTTTCATGTGTTCATTAGCCATCTGTGTGTCTTCTTTGGAGAAATGTCTGTAAGTTCTTTGGCCCATTTTTTGATCAGGTCATTTATTTTTCTGGAATTGAGCTGCAGGAGCTGCTTGTATATTTTTGAGATTAATTCTTTGTCAGTTGCTTCATTTGCTATTATTTTCTCCCAATCTGAGGGCTGTCTTTTCACCTTGCTTACAGTTTCCTTTATTGTGCAAAAGCTTTTAAGTTTAATTAGGTCCCATCGGTTTATTTTTGCTTTTATTTCCATTACTCTGGGAGGTGGGTCATAGAGGATCCTGCTATGATTTATGTCAGAGAGTGTTTTGCCTATGTTTTCCTCTAGGAGTTTTATAGTTTCTGGTCTTACATTTAGATCTTTAATCCTTTTTGAGTTTATTTTTGAGTATAGTGTTAGAAAGGGTTTTAGTTTCATTCTTTTACAAGTGGTTGACCAGTTTTCCCAGCACCACTTGTTAAAGAGATTGTCTTTTCTCCATTGTATATTCTTGCCTCCTTTGTCAAAGATAAGGTGTCCATAGGTGTGTGGATTTATCTCTGGGCTTTCTATTCTGTTCCATTGAGCTATATTTCTGTCTTTGTGCCAGTACCATACTGTCTGGATGATTGTGGCTTTGTAGGAGAGCCTGAAGTCAGGCAGGTTGATTCCTCCAGTTCCCTTCTTCTTTCTCAAGATTGCTTTGGCTATTCAAGGTTTTTTGTATTTCCATACAAATTGTGAAATTATTTGTTCTAGTTCTGTGAAAAATACCACTGGTGGCTTGATAGGGATTGCACTGAATCTATAGATTGCTTTGGGTAGTATAGCCATTTTCACTATATTGATTCCTCCAATCCATGAACATGGTGTATTTCTCCATCTATTTGTGTCATCTTTGATTTGTGTTTTATAACTTTCATCAGTGTTTTACAGTTTTCTATACACAGGTCTTTTGTTTCTTTAGGTAGATTTGGATTTTACATTAATGACGTGATATTTTTTTTTGAAAGCCCCTAAGGATGTGGTGAGCTTTCCATAAGCTAGCGTAACCAACCACAGGATTAGGTTGGGAACCCCTGACCTCCAGGAAGGAGAGAAGGGCTGGAGATTTACTTCAGTCACCAATGGCGAATGATGTAATCAGCTGTGTTTGTATAATGAAACCCCCATAAAAACCCCAAAGAATAGGGTTCAGAGAGCTTTCCTGTTGGTGAGCACATGTTCAGGGGAGAGTGGCAAGCTCAACCTGGGCCCTTCCCAGCTGCCTGGCCTACACATCCCTTCCATCTGGCTGTGTCTAAGTTACATCCTTTTATAATAAACAGCTGACATAGCAAGTAAAATGTTTCTCTGGGTTCTGTGAACCACGTCAGCAAACTAATCAAATCCAAGGAAAGAATCACTGGAACTTCTAGTTTATATCATATTGGCCAGAAGCACAGGTGACAACCTGGACTTGCAGGTGATATCTGAAGTGGTGGTGGGGGGGCAGCTTTGTGGGACTGAGCCCTTAACCTATGGGATCTGATGCTATCTCTGGGAAGATGGGATCAGAATTGACTTAAACTGTAGGATACTCAGCTGGTGTCTCAGAGAATTTCTTTTTGTGGGAGAAAAAATACCCACACATTACAGCTGGGTACAGAATCAGCAGAATGGTTTTCAAGTCACAGGCATTACGCAAGTGAAGGACAGGGATCTGTCAGAGACAGGAATGCAGGCGGATTCTTCACCAACTGAGCTGTGAGGGGAGCCTCAGGAAACAACAGTGGGCCCTATAATTGCCCCGGCTTCCTGCCTGAGGTTTACATGAAAGGGAAACTGAGGCAGAGTCAGGCAGATCCTGAGTAGAGGAAACAAGAGCTGATGTCCTGAGAGACAAAGGCAGTCTTTGTCCAGGGAACAGAAAATCCGAGAAGAGAAAACTGTGCAGAGAGAGGGCCCCCTCTCTCGAGGATTCAGCAGAGCACCAATTGGTACACGCAGACAGGAGAGCCATCTGAAAGGTCCAGAGGAGCACAAGGGCTGCAATAATGTCTGTTTACAGGCAGACTGCCTCACTTTCAGAATTCACGGGGCATCAGGCAGAGTGCTCAGGAACACTCCTACTTCAGCAGACAAAGGCGAGCAGCCTTGGACTGAGCACTGCCTTGGCCCCACCTAACAAATCACAAGGCAGATTCAAAAGGATCCAGCTGCTTCCAAGTAACTCACTGTATTACTCAAGACGACGTGCAGAAACACAAAATACCCACCTCCCAATGGGGTTAAATTCACACAGTCAGGCATTCCTCCACGACTGTCAAGACATGCAAGGAGTCAGAAAACACACAACCTATAACATGAAGAATAACCTGTCAGTGGAAACCAACTCAGACTTGACACCGATGTTAGAACTGAGAGAGAAGGACATTCACACAAGCATTAGAACTGTATTCCATGTGTTCAAAAAGTTAAGATGAGACCGAGAACATATCTAAAAGATTCAAGGAGAGGGGCTTCCACAGTGGTATAGTGCTTAAGAATCTACCCACCAACGCTGCAGACATGGGTTTGATTCCTGATACAGGAAGCTCCCACATGCTACTGAGCAACTACACTATGCATCACAACTACTGAGCCAGTCCTCTCGAGCCTGCGAGCCACAACAAGAGAAGCCACCGCACCAAAACAAAGAGTAGCTCCCACTCCACGCAACCGGAGAAGGCTCATATGCAGTGACAGCCCAGTGCAGTCAAGAATTAAAAAGCAAAAAAAACAAATCAGTTTTAAGGAAAATGATTCAAGTAGAACTTCTAGGGATAAACAATACAATGGATGGGACGGATAGCAAATTAGATACTATGGAAAAAAAGGATAGTGAATGTAAAAGCATAGCAATAGAAACTATGCAAAATGAAATGCACAGAAAACAAGAATTTTAAAATTTAAAAGGATTATGAGTAAGCTGTAGTACAACTTCAGTTGTGCTCAGTTCTCAGTCATGTTTGACTCTTTGTGAACCCATGGACTCTAGCCTGCCAAGCTCTCCTGTCCATAGGATTTCCCTGGCAAGAAAACTGGAGCGGACTGCCATTTCCTTCTCCAGGGGATCGTCCTGACCCAGGGATCGAACCTGCATCTCTTGCATCTCCTGCATTGCCAGGCTGATTCTTCACAACATTCTGCAAGATAATTACAGAAAAACATCTACTGCTGCCTCACTGACTAGGTCAAAGCCTTTGACTGTGTGGATCACGGCAAATGGTGGAAAATTCTTACAAAGATGGGAATACCAGACCACCTTACCTGTCTTCTGAGAAATCTGCATGTATGTCAAGAAGCAATAGTTAGAACTGGACATGGAACAATGGAGTGATCCAAAATTGGGAAAGGAGTATGTCAAGGCTATATATTGTCACCCTGTTTTTTTAATGTATGCAGAGTACATCATGAGGAATGCCAGGGTGGATGACTCACAAACTGGAATCAAGATTGCCAGGAAAAATATCAATAGCCTTCGATATGCAGAAAGTGAAGAGGAACTAAATAGCCTCTGGATGAAGGTGAAAGAGGAGAGTGAAAAAGCTGGCTTAAAACTCAACATTCAAAACCTAAGATCATGGCATCTGTTCCCATCATCCCATGGCAAATAGATGGGGAAAAAATGGAAACAGTGACAGACTTTATTTTCTTGGGCTCCAAAATCACTGCAGACAGTGACTGCAGCCATGAAATTAAAAGACACTTGCTCCTTGGAAGAAAAGCTATGACAAACCTAGACAGCGTATTTAAAAACCAGAGACATCATTTTGCCAACAAAGGTCCATATAGTCAAAGGTGTAGTTTCTCCAGTAGTCATGTATGGGTGTGAGTGTTGGACCATAAAGAAGGCTGAGCGCCGAAGAACTGATGCTTTCAAACTGTGGTGCGGGAGAAGATTCTTCAGAGTCCCTTGGACTGCGAGGAGATCAAATCAGTCAATCCTAAAAGAAATCAACCCTGAATATTCATCGGAAGGACTGATGCTGAAGCTGAAGCTCCAGTACTTTGGCCACCTGATGCAAAGAGCCAACTCATTGGAAAAGACACTGATGCTGGAAAAGACTGATGGCAGGAGGAGAAGGGGGATACAGAGATTGAGATGGTTGGATGGCATCACTGACTCAAAGGACATGAGTCTGAGCAAGCTCCAGGAGTTGGTGATGGACAGGGAAGCCTGGAGTGCTGCAGTGAATGGGGTCATAAAGAGTCAGACATGACTGAGAGACTGAACAAGTGCAACTTCTAGTGGCTCGATTATGTACAAGCCCCCAAATGTAGGGGAAAGGAAAAATATTTCAAGAAATAATGACTCACAAATTTCAAACTTAATGAAAAATATTAAAAATATTAAAACTGTTAGTTGCTAAGTTGTGTCCAATTCTTTTGCGAATCCATGGATTGTATAGCCCACCAGGCTCCTCTGTCCATGGAATTCTCCAGGCAAGAATAGTGAGTGAGTAGCCCTTCCGTTCTCTAGGAGATCATCCTGACCCAGGGATCAAACCTGGGTTTCCTGCATTGTAGGCAGATTCTTTACCATCTGAGCTAGCTACCAGGGAAGCCCCACTAACTCAAGAAGCTCAATTAACTGCAAGACAAGGAACATAAAGACAAGTGCACCAAAAAATATGATTAAATTACTCAAAAACCATTGATAAAAAGGAAATAATAAAAAGTACCCAGAGATTACATTTGCAGGAATTGACAAGCTGACCCTAATATTCCTTAAAAAAAAGTGCAAGAGACTCAGGATGGTCAAAACAATCTTGACCAAGAACCAAGTTGGCCAACTCACACTCATAGTTTCAAAACTTAATACAAAGCTATGATAGTCAAAACAGTGTAGTAATGGCATAATGACAGACATCTGGATGAATGGAAGAGAACTGAGAGTCAGAAATAAATCTATATATTTAATGGAAATTCATTTCTGGCAAGAAGAGTTCCAACACAATGTTATGAGGGAAAATATTCTTTTCAACAAATAATGCAGGTACTTTTCCCCAGCCCATAGCTTTTCATCCTCAACACTTGATTTTTCATAGAGCAAAAGGTTCTAAGTCTGAGGAGGTCCAGTTTACCAGTTTTTCGTTTTAGGGTCAAGTCTAAGTAGTCTTTTCTTAGCCCTTAATCCTGAGGATTTCTTCCTACTTTTTCCCTAAAAGTTTGATAGGTTCATATTTTACACTTAAGTATGTAATCCTGCTGCTGCTGCTAAGTCACTGCAGTCGTGTCCGACTCTGTGTGACCGCAAAGACGGCAGCCCACCAGACTCCCCCGTCCCTGGGATTCTCCAGGCAAGAACACTGGAGTGGGCTGCCACTTCCTTCTTCAATGCATGAAAGTGAAAAGTGAAAGTGAAGTTGCTCAGTCGTGTCCGACTCGTAGCGACCCCACGGACTGCAGCCCACCAGGTTCCTCCGTCCATGGGATTTTCCAGGCAAGAGTACTGGAGTGGGGCGCCATTGCCTTCTCCAAAGTATGTAATCCATTTTGAGGTAATTTTCATACAAGGTTGAAGCTCCTATTTTTGGTTTCTTTTTTTAATCAATAAATTTTAATTGGAAGATACTTACTTTACAATATTGTGATGGTTTTTGCCATACATCGAATTGAATCAGCCATGGGTACACATGTGTCCCCCCATTCTGAACCCTACTCCCCCCTCCCTCCCCACCCCATCCCGCTGGGCTGTCCCAGAGCACTGGCTTTGAGTGCCCTGCTTCATGCACTGAACTTGCACTGGTCATCTATTTTACATATGGTAATACACGTTTCAGTGCTATTCTCTCAGCTCATCCCACCCTCGCCTTCCCCCCCAGAATCCAAAGCTGTTCTTCACATCTGTCTCCTTTGCTGCCTTGCATGCAGGATCATCATTACCGTCTTTCTAAATTCCACATGTACGTGTTAATACACAGTATTGGTGTTTCTCTTTCTGACTTACTTCACTCTGTATAATAGGCTCCAGTTTCATCCACCTCATTAGAACTGACTCAAATGCGTTCCTTTTTATAGCTGAGTAATATCCTATTGTGTATACATACCACAATGTCCTTATCCATTCATCTGCCAATGGACATCTAGGTTGCATCCATGTCGAGCTATCGTAAACAGTGCTGCAATGAACACTGGGGTACACGTGTCTCTTTCAATTCTGGTTTCCTTGGTGTGTTCATATTTTTGCCTACAATTGTTCAGATTACTCCAGCACTATTTGAAATTCCATCCCTGAATCTGCAATTCTGTGTTTCCTCTAATTGTTGTTGGATTTTTGTCAAAAATCAGATGGATTTATTTGTATTGAAGCTATCTAGGGGCCCACCAGGAATCAGGAACAAAGATCAAATATATATGTTTCTTATTATGCCACAATGCCGTTAACCACCCACTGTGCCCATGGGGTACCTCCAAATCTTCCCAGGTTCTTCCCCATCCCATTTTCCTCTCAAGGGGGCTCCAAGAGAACTCTCCATCTGCCACAAGACATTCCAGCCCCAAATTCTGCCTGGCCTGGGACCAGTGCTGGGTTGGCAATCCTCCAACCCAGCACTGCCTCTCACTGCCAGGATCCCTGCCCTGCCTGAATCTTCACACCCACATGTGCACTCACGGTCCACTCGGAGCTCTGCCTTTGTAGAGGACACACCCACGCTGTTCTCAGCCAGGCAGCGGTAGACGCCCATGTCTGCTGGCACCACAGCCGTGATGATGAGCTGGTGGCCACCCTGTTGGTCCTCACTGATCATGTAGTGGTCATCCTCCTCCAGCATCCTCCCATCCTTGAACCAGCGCACGGTGGGCACAGGCTGGCCTGTCACCACACAGTCAAAGCTCACAGGGTACCCATCCAGCACCTCCTGATTCTGTAGCTCGGTCAGGAACACTGGGGCTAGAAGAGAAGGGCAGGGTCAGCACGCCAGCCCTGGGTTCCCCTCAGCTACCCCAGCTGCCAGCAGTTCAATGCTGCATGGCGCCCGTTCACGTGAGTGCTCATAGATTGGCGGCCAAACAGAATTCTGTCTCTGTCAACTGAGCTATCCCCTCCTCCCCATGCTCTAGAAGAATCCTCTCTTTGCCAGCCTGGTTCCCAAGCTCCCGTGAGGTCAGAGATAGCAGACAGGAAATGGGGAGGAAGGGGAAGTAAAGGGAAGGCCAGTCTGGGATTGGAAGCACCCAGGCAGCTGAGAGCTAAAGGGAGGAATGATGCTTGGGGTTGTTAATGATACCCTCTTCAGGGTATCATTATGATGGTAATCCTCATGAGGGTAATGATGTTCCCTGTTAGGGAGACAGAGGTAAACAGCGAAATGACTTTTCATTTAACTTTAGTTGCCAGAGTGGGAAATGGGGTTCAGACTGGACTATGTGGGACCCTACCTTTTATACAGATTACATCTCAAACCCTCATGGGGGAAAAAGATAAATCCCTAAACTCTAGGAAGTCAGTATTCCCGAAGGTATTTCATAGAATAGGACTCTGAGGCTCAAAGAGGCAGAGCTGGAATTTAAACCGAGCTGTGTCTCACCCCAAAGTCAGGGCTCTTTGAAGCTCAGTGGGCTGCATCTGTGCACAACCGGAAGCTAAAGCCCAGCCACCTCCCTGAGTCTTCAGCTGACACTGGATCGCCAGCCTGGCTTTGCTCGTCCTCCCCGCGTACAGCGTGCAGACTCACCAGCCTCTGCTGTCAGCGCTGGGTCCAGTGGGGCTGAAGGGGCGGGTGCCACCTTCCCGATGCGCATCTCCGCCCTGCGCGGTCCCTGCTCGGACAGGCTGATGTCCACGCGGATGCCCAACACGCCAAACATCTCCTGGAAGCGGCTGGCTGCCTGGCGGGCCTCCGCCAGCGTCTCAAAGCAGATGCAGATGGAGTGCTCGTCTTCGCGGTATGTCTGCCAGTCCCCGGGCTCCTCAGGCTCTGCCTTGCCCTCGTCAGCGCTGAAGAAGATCTCCTCGTCCGAGACCTCCGCTGGGCCCTTAGTGCGGAAGAGGCGGTGCAGCCGCCGGGCAGCCCGGCGGAAGGTGTCATCCAGCTCGCCCCCAGAGGAGCTCTCGTTCTCACTCTCCGTGCCACTGACCGCCACGCTGGCACTGTGGGCCACGTGGCCAAACTTGTTGCTCACCTGACAGGTGTAACGGCCGGCGTCAGCCCGGCCCAGGCTGGTGACCAGCAGAGAACAGGTGCCGTCCGCAAGCTGGTCGATGTGGTGGTGCCGGCTGTCCGTCAGCTCCACGCCATCCTTCAGCCAGCGGGCGTGCACATCGGTCTTGCTGGACACGACACACTCCAGATGCAGGACGTCTCCCACCTGGGCCACAGTGTCCCCAAACGTGCAGCGGAGCACGGGCCCCTCCTGCTGCTGCATCTCCTTCCGGACCTTATAACCCTTGAAGGCCGCCTGGATCTTCACTGCAGCCTGGTCCAAGGTCGGGTCGCCCAGGTCCCCAGCGCTCAGGCCTCCTGGCGGTGGGTGTACTGCAGGTGACTTCTCCTGCTGCTTTTCCTGTGGCTTCCCGGAGGGGGCTGCTGGGGCCCCAACCTGTGTGCACAGGTGAGGTAGGGTGCCTGAGGCCCAGGGCAGGCGAAGGACGCGGCAGGGGCACACACAGGGCAGGGAGACGCAGAGCCCGGGTCTCCTGCCCCAGCTCCACGCCTCGCTCCGGCATGCCTCCTGCCTGCTGGCAGCGGCACTACCTTCACTGAGGCCGAGTGCCTGAGGGCTTCTGCGGCGGCCTAAAAGCAGGTCTACCCTCCCTGAAACTGCTTTCCCCAGAGGGGGACAGCACTCTGAGGAATACCACAGAGAGACTGGTTCCAGCTCTTCAGGAAAAGTGTTTTAACAGCCACATGGATGGATGGATGGGTAGGTGACTCATAGCTGGGTCGGTAGCTGGATGACAGATAGATGGGCAGATGGTGGGTGGGAAAATGACTGGATAGATGAGTGCTGGATGGACCGATGGACAAACAGTGGACAGTTGACGTGTGGAGGAAAGATGGAGTGGCAACGATCTAAGAAACGCGTGCCGCTCCTTGCAGGTCGAGCAGGAGACTCACCTTGCTGGCCAGTGGCGAGGCGCTGGGCCTCCCGGCCTTCTTGAGGTAGGTAACCAGAGAGGGCGTGCCTGCTCGGGACTCATCATCAGAGCTGGTGTGCGAGAGGTCAGCCTCGCCGGTGCGCGCCAGCTCATCGGCCGTGGAGTACTCCTCTGAGAGGTCAGGCGCGGCCTCCTCGGCCTCCAGCCGCGGGCCTGGCGGGCGGCCGTCCTCCTCGGGCAGCTCGCTGATGGAGTCCAGCGTGGGCTCGCGGCTCATGCGGCGCTTCCGGGCCAGCGCCTCCCACAGCAGGTGCAGGTCGCCCTCCTGGGCGGCCTCGGGGGGCAGGCTGGGCTGAGCGGGGGCCTCCTCCCCAGATTCTGGGGTCAGCACCACTGAGGAGGGCAGGAGACCGGCCAGTCAGACAAGGACAGCGACCCCAGGCCGGCCCTGTCTCCTGACCACAGCTCCCTTTAGAAGCCTCTGCTGCCTGCCCGGGCCCCGAGAGCTCTGATGCACAATCTTGACAAGGTTTCAGAGGCTCTGAATGGCCCTCTCTAGGCCTCATTCTCCCTCCTGCATAAGAGCGGGTGAACACAGAAGACCCCAGGCCAGGGTCAGGTGCAGGGGGCTCAGACGGCAGGCATGCAAGGATTCGGAGCCAGCAGTGGGCACCAAGGTGGGGCATTGACCAGGGGACAACGTGACGTCAGATGTCAGTGATACGGGTTCTGACAGGAGGCTGAGTCACACCAATTGGTGCATTGCCCCACCCCAGGCCTCAGTCCTTAATGTGAGCTATGTTCCTCCCGCAGTTTCTCAGGAGAGAAGCATGTTGGCCCACTCCACACCCCAGGGCTCCTTCCTCCTCTCTGCACAGCAGGCCCCGGGAGACATACCCTGGAAAGCAGCAGCTGACCCAGAGGCTGACTCCCGTGCAGGGGCGCAGCGGTACTCGCCCTGGTCCTCTGCGGAGAAGCCCCGGATCAACAGCATCTGCCGCTGACCCTGGCAGAGGACCTGGACGCGCCCGCTCGGCTGGATGCGCTCTGTTCCCTTCAGCCAGACGACCTCACCCGCCTCGGCAACCTCGCACTCCAGATACAAGTCCTCCCCGGCCGCCACCTGCCGGCTCTCGGGGGCGGGGACTGCAGGCCTGGGTTCCAGGGGCTCTGCTGGGAACAGGGATCAGGGTCAGCAACGATGCGGGTGGGACCCTCAGCTGAGAGAGGCTTTGAGAGCTGCAAGCTGGACTCCCGCCCTCATCAACCAAGACCAAGGCAGCCTCTCACCAAGCTTCACCGTCTGGGGCAGGTACACGGGCTCCCCAGCGCCTGCTGGGCCCACTGCAGCCACGCGGAAGCGGTAGGTCTCCCCGGGGGCCAGGCCGGCCACCACACACTCGGGCCCGGGCACCAGGTCGTGGCACAGCCTCCACTCCCCCGTGGCTGCAGCCTTCATCTCCACCCGGTAGCCACGGAGACCCCCTCCGCCGTCGCTCGCGGGGGCCACCCAGGACAGCGTCACGGAGCTGCCGCTGCGCCCCACCACCTCTGCATCCTCTGGGGGGTCGGGGAGGCCTGTGGGGCGGGGAGGAGGCGGTCAGTGCAGCAGCGGGCTGCCAGCACCCACAGACCTGCCCACGCTGCTGTCTACTCCCACGAGTCCTGTGGGCAGCTGTGCCCCTCAGCTCCGTTTTTCTGCGGGGCTGACAAAGGTGCTCTGGAGTCACAGGAAGACTATATGCCCCGAGTCCACTCCACGTGGGGGACCATGGACAGCCCCCAACAGCTTCTGAAGCGGAAACCCCTCGTCCCCCCACCCACCTCCCCCAGAGCCCTGGACCCGGGCTGCGGCAGGCAGGCCCAAGCCACCCACCCAGCACAGTGAGCCTCGCGGAGGCGACAGCGTCACGAGCAGCAAAGGTGACCTCGCCGGCGTGGTGCGGCTGGGCCCGGTGCAGCAGCAGGGCGTGGTGGCTGCCGTCGGCGGTCACGGTCCAGTCCGCATCATCGGGCTGCACGGAGGCTCCGTTTATGTACCAGGTCGCCTCACCCACGGGCACCGTCTCGCTAAGGGTGCAGCTGAAGCTGGCCTGACCCCCGGCTCGCACGGTCACATCCTGGGGCGCCTCCAAGACCTCCAGGCGCCAGCCTGTGGGGCGGGGTAGGGCGGCAGTGTGAGCACGGAGGCCTGGGGGCACTCAAAGACATCCATGCCACCCCCTTCCCACAGCCCCAGAGCAGAGGAGGGCGCCTAGCCTCCCGCTCCTCCCGCCTCTGGGAGCAGCCTCAGAGATCAACGGCCCCAGCACAACCATGCGCACTCTCCTGTCTCAGAGGTCACGGTCCTTCCCAGACGCCCCAGCTGCCCACCTCCCTCCACCCCTGACCAAGCAGCCAGGTGCCCAGTGGAGGAATCCCCACGACCCCTGCTGCCCCAGCCCTCGCCTATGACCCCCAGACAAATACCCAGCGGGAGGGGGGTCCTCAGGAACCTAGGCCCTCTCCTGTGACCCCAGCCCCCATGCCCCCGCAAGGTGACATCTGGGAGGGCTCCGAGAGCCTCATGTCCCCAGCCTCATCGCCAGCCCCTGCGCCCGAGCAGCGTGGGATCTGGTGAGAGAGGTGAAGAGTCCCGAGTCCTCACACAGGGGCTATAGCCCACCCTGTCCCACCCCACTGCAGCACGCGGTATTTAGGGGGACGGGTCTGAGAGACATGCACCCCTGTGGTCCCAGCATCAGCCCCAGCATCCCTGATGTGGGTTAGCCCGCAGGAGGGGCCTCAGACCAACCCCCCCACCCCTACCCTCCCACGCTCCCGCAGGGGGACAGTGGCTGGGGGGACCACAGAGAACCGCCCTCCCGACCCACAAGTCTAACCTCTGACGGTGAGGAAGGCAGATGTCACCATGTCCCCCACAAGGAAGGTCACGCGGCAGCTGTCCTGCGGCCGCAGGTTTTTGAGCAGCAGCAGGTGCCGCAGGCCATTCTCGAAGTAGACCACCTCGGCGTTCTCCGAGGTGCGCACGGGCTCATCATCCAGAAGCCAGGTGTGGGCGGCCACCTCCGGCTGGGACAGGACGCACTCGAACAGCGCCTCGCCGCCCTCGGGCGCCTCCACGTTCTCCAGGCCCCTCACCACCGTGTTCTTGGCTGCAGAAAGAGGATGGCCCCAGGCGTGCTCAGGGCTTTTCCTACCCAGCACCCCAAGAGTCATGTGGGAGAGCCCCTCTCAGGACGAAGGGACTCAGAGGATGCGGCCGGGGGAGGGTGTCTGGGTGCCCATCAGGAGGAGCCGCACTGCGCCGCCCTATGTCCTAAGGCCCTGGCCATCCCCACACCAGCACCAGGCCGTGGTTAGGAAGGAGAGTCCGCTCCACCTAACAGGTGAGAAGCCTCACAAACGTTCACGGACTGAAAACTCACCCAAGGCTACGACCAGGCTCAAAGGCAGACAGAGGCTTCTGCCTCTCAGCTCTGCTGCAGCATGGGCCTCCGGAAAACTGTTCCCTTCCTTTCCTCCCCCAGCCAGGGCTAACAGACCCACTGGGCTGCTCCCCTCACTCACTCGGGCCAGACACATCTCTGCCCTCACTCGCAGCCTGCCCCAATTCTCCCGTACAGAGCACAGGCGTCCGTGACGAGCGCCTCTGCGTGTTCTGTGGAAGCCAGGGTGTCAGGCCTGGACATGCCAGGCCCCAGATCCAGCTCAGTGCCTGGGCCCCAAGTGCTTGCCACCTCCAAGAGCCCATCCCCATGACGGGCCCCTGGTACCGACACCAGTGGCCTCTGAGCTCCGGGGGGCTTCTTGGAGGAGGCAGGTCTCTGAGGATGGGCGTGACTGAGACAGGGAGGGGAGGTGTCCAGGAAGCAGAAGCACCTCGAGGGGACCCTGTGCGGGGAATGAAGAGGGGTGGGTGGGGGGCAGCAGGGAGCCAGGCCAGTGGAGTGAAGGACACAGAACAAGCTGAGGGGCGACAGCCGGGGGTGGAGTCAGGCAGGAAAGGAGCGCGACGTCACCCGAGGCTCACAGGCCTCCCAGAGCAGAGGACCCACGGGCCCGTCCGCATCCTTCTCCCTGCCGCCCTCTCGGCCCTGGTCTGCTGGCATCGCAGAGCACACTCCCCCATGGCCCTGGCTCCTTCATTCCCCGAGTCAGAACCGACAGGACCTACAGGGACTTGGGAACGCACGTGCCTCACGTCTGCACTGCGCCTGGATGGCTGCACCCAGCCAGATCAAGATTGCGGCTGCTCTTGGCAGTGGCGAGACGGTTGCGGTGGGGGTGGGGGCAGGGCGAAGGTTGGGCCTACAGTCACTGCTGGAGCTCACCCTCCTTAACTCCTATTTCTATACAATCCCAGATCTTACAGCAGCAGTGGTGAGCCCGAGGCCTCCCTCCTGCTGTCTCCTGCATTTCCTTCTCTATTCCCTGCCTGAGGCCCAAAGGCTCCACCCCAGATGTCCACAAGCCCCAGCTGCCTCCTTCAGACCAGCTTCACACTGCAGCTCCTTCCCACAGCTCCTATCACATTCCTTCACCTCCCACAGGGGAGCCACCAGTGAAGGGAGGGAGCTCTGTCTGTTTACTGTTGGGCCCCCAGGGGCCGAACAAAAAAGTGTTTAAAGACAGAGCTGTTGAAGTCGTCTGTGAATGGAATCCGAGTGACCTCAGGGCGACCGTGGCCCAGACCAGGCCCCACCTGCTCTTCCCGTTTTGGATGCCCTCTGACACTGCCAACTCTCACCACTGGGAACATTTTGGGTTTTCCAAATCGAATGCGGCTTTGGCCAAATGACCCCCCCTCCCCTGCAGAGCTGCTCCGTGTCCCCCATGGGGCATCCCTGCTGTGCTTCAAGTGGGGAAGCGGGGCTCAGAGTATCCTCTGAATGACCAGCCCAGGAAGGGGCAGCGCTGGGGTCTGAACCCGGGACTCAGGGAGCTCAGCCCAACGGCCCTCCCCTGCTCTAGGACCCAGCCCCGGCTATGATCCCAAAGGCCCCGGACCCGCTCATCTACCTGCCAGCCTCGGCCCCCACCCCTCCCCAACAGGGCGTTTGGGGGGCAGATCCTTCGAGCAGCCTCTGCCCTTGTTTTCCAGTTGTTCTATCCAACTGCCTGGGGACAAGAAGGGGCCTGGGTGGGTGGGCTCAGAGCCTGCGATCTGCTTCCTGGGAGCCCCTCTTTCCCGCATCCTGTCACTGCCTGCCACTCCGCCAGCACGGCACGGCGTGGGCCTCAGCACAGCTGTCCTGGGCCCGGGGCTGCCCGCCAGGCGGCCTCACCTTGCACTTGCAGCAGGGCCACCACACGGGTGCCCGCGGCCTCGCAAGAATAGATGCCGCTGTCACAGGGCAAGGCCGGCCTGAAGGACAGCCGGGCCACGGTCCAGTCCTGCTCTATGACGACGCGGTGCCCGTCCGCACACACCTCCTGCTCGTCCATCTTCCACGTGGCCTGCACGGGCCGTGAGTACTGGCAGAGGAGCTCGGCCGGGCCGCCCTCCTGCACTGCCAAGTCCCGCATGGCACTGACCACTTCCACTGTGGGATCTGTCGGCCGACAGGCCAGGCACGCGTCAGCCGGAGCCGCTGACTGCGGCCCTCCCCCCTCTGCAGTCAGCGACTCAGAGGCAAGCAGAAGCAGGGCTGCGGCGGAAGGGGGACCCAGCACAGCGACCCAGGGCCCTCTGCATGGGGCCAGCCTTGCCCCCACACCCCGGCTCACAGCAGTCTCTATCTGCTGGGCCCCTCCTACCGCTGGTCCCTCTGAGCCCGCACTTCCTCTAGGCCGGGACACATGTCGCCCCAGCAGGACACAAAACCCACATCTGAAAGCCCTTGGGCCTGTTCAGGGTCCAAAGCTCTGCTGGGCATGGGCATCCCCAGTCCAACTCACCCCTTCTCCAGGGGCCTTGTCACCCACCCCACAGGGGATCCCACCCCACCTCCACTTGCTGACATCCCATTCAACAAATGAGCTGCCCCTGGGATCTGTGCAAGTGCCCACATTTACTACGCAAGAGCATAGAGGAGGCCAGCTGACAAGCTGGCCAGCGTGGTTGAAACCACACTGGGGCTGTTGTGCCAAGAATGCCCAATACCTCTACTGAGAGCGGGCCGAGGGAGTGCCCTAGAAGTCCGCTACCCTCTCCAATGCCTAGCGCTTTCCCAGAAGGGCCCAAGAAAGACCCTGACCAAACCCGCAGCAGCGGAAGCAGCTATGAGCAAGGACAATGCAGGCCAAGCCCGGGGCTGGGAAGGCTGCCTTCACCTCCAGGCTGCTCTCTGGATGTATGCCTGAGGAAGGGGCAGCCACAGAGTGGTAGCTGGGTGGGCAGTCATGCCCAGGGCCCTGTGAGCAGGTGGGAATGGGGTCGGCCTCCAGCATGACTGCTGAGCCCGACCTTCTTTCTCGTCCACCAGCTAGGACTGCTGCCTGCCCCCAGCGCCCACCCTTGGCACATGTGGAAAGGTGCCTGGTCTGCGTCCTGGGGGTCGGTCCCCAAACCCCCACCCAGGAAGCCCGCGGGAAGCGTGCAGGGGCAGCACAGCAGAAGCTCCAGCACAGGGCAGCTTCCATCGGCTGGTACCTTTGACCAACAACTTGGCCCTGGAGACCAGGGGCCCTGCTCGGTAGGTGACGGTGCCTGAGTCAGCCACCCCCAGGCCTGAGAGCGTGAGGGAGTGGACAGTCCCATCACGCACGGAGATGGCACTCTGGGGGCCGTCCTGCAGCAGGGTCCCATCCAGCCACCAGTGGGCCTCCGGCCCACCCACACGGGACACCTCGCAGGAGAACGTGGCCACCTCCCCCGCAAAGACGTCCACATTCTGTAAGCCACGTACCAGGCACGGCGCTGCCTCTGTGCGAGAGGGCAAAAGGAGGGAGATGGGCTGCCCTGGGTCTGCGGGGCCACAGCGGGGTCTACCACTGGGGGCGAACCTGGGTCCGCCATGCTGCAGGCAGCCTGGGGTTGGGGTCTAGAGAGCGACTCTGGCCAGCTGGCACCCCCTGCCCACAGAAGGAGACAAGGAGACCACCCACAGTGAGCCTGCACCCCTGCACCCCACGGCACCCTTCACCATATGTTTGACTTCGTCAAAGGAGACCAATGCCCTGCATCTACACCCTGTTCAGCAAGGCAGAACTGACGAGCCTCAAGTCCCATGGATGCGATCCTCAAGGGCTCTGGGGCAGGACAGAAAGGTCAGGTCGTGGAGCCCACCTCTCTGAGAGGGACAGGGACTGCTACGAAGTGAGCCCACTTCCTGGGGCTTTGGAAGCAGATGCTTCTCCCATCCCCAGAGGGCCATGTGTCCAGGTGTCCCCTAAGGTCCCCTGGCCTGGCCCTTAGGTTCTGGGCCCTAACACAGAATGGCAACCTTCCTGACCTGCTGCACAGTAGGGTGAGTCCAGGGGGCCGCCCAGACCCTGCTCTGTGCTGGCACACCCACCCCAGCCAGGCCCTCCCCCAGAGCCCTCCACGTCCCTCCCAGACATGCACATCGACACGCCTGTCCCAGGCCCACACCAGTCACTCCATGTTCTCACAGGAGTGCACATCTAACCGTGCCCCCAACCTGTCCACCAGCTCCCTATTCCATCTCCAGCACGGTTCCCGAGTTGGCCTATCCTCGCCACCCTAGGCTCACAGCTCTGTCCGAAGCCACAGCTTGTGTCTGTATGTGAGCCAGCTTACTGCAAATGGGCACCCTGATCGAGAAGGGCCAAGGTGCAACCCTTAGTGGGGTCTGCAAGATCCAACCCCACTGCATGCTGCCACTCACAGATGCCCATGCTGATGACACACGAGGTCCTTCCCACCCAGCTCTGCTTAGGGCACCCAGGACTCGGCCCTCTCCCGGCGTCCAGCTTGAGGATGCTGCACTCGAGAGCCTTTCCCAGCCCTACAGGCTACAGAGCCGACACGTGAAGACTCAAGGTGGGGACACCTGGGACTCAGGGCACACTGTCTTCCAGCCCCACCCCCCAGCAGACTGGGGACTCCCTGAGGGCAGAGCTGCATCTGGCCCCTCTCAAGGTAGATAATAAATACATGATGGACAGATAATGGATGGATGATGGATGGAGAAATGGATAGTGGATGGATAGGTGGATGAATGGGTAGATGGCAATATGGATGGGTGGACAGACAGATATAAGGAAGGATGGTAGTAGAATGATGGTTAGATGGATGAACCAATGACTGACGGTGGATGGATGGTAGATAGATGGGTAGATCATGAATGCATGGGTAGATGGTGCATGAACGGATGGATAATGATGAATAAATGATGGCAGGTAGATAAAACGCATGCATGATAGATAATAGATGGTGGCTAGACAGATGGATAGAGAATGGATGGTGGATGAATGGATGGGTAGTTGAATAGATGGGTGTGGGATAAATGGATGGACAGATAGAATACAGGGAGGGATGGATGGATGCATGAATGCATGCACAGATAGATGAATGGATAAATGGTGGATGGGCTGATGGTCAAGGGATGGCAGATGGATGGGACCAATACAAAAACCAGGAGTGGGACAGCAGATGAGGATGAGGCACACAGAGATGACCAATTCTGGGGACAAAGTATAACAAGTTGAAGGTCCTTAAATCTTATTTTCATGTCTGGTACACCATCTTTCAAACCATTCATGTGTCACAGGTGTGCTACTATACCAACATCTGAGAGCGTGTCAGGCACGCAGGTGTGTATAAATAAAAGCACATGAACCTAAATCACAGGAGTAGCTATATGGAGGGAAGAAGCCCAGAAGGCCCTGCCTCGACCTCAGGGCCCAAGTCCCCAGCAGCCAGCCTCCCCACCTTCCCCCTACACACAGCCCTGATCCTACGTAAGGACTCCCTCACACACTGGAACTTCTCAAGCTATCTTCACTAGCCCACCTCCAGTGGCTTCAGTGGTCAAGGGTGCAAAATTGCCAACCCACAGCAAGATCACTGCTGGCAGGCTCAGATCTCTGGCCTCAGCACCTGCCAACAGCTCCTCGAGTAGGGACATGTGGACATCCACAAGTGGGGAGGCTAGCTGTGGGAGGGGGCTGCCTACCTGTGACCTTCAGCTGGGCCTCTGAGCGACATGAGCCCACTTGGAAACTGATGGTTCCAGCATCCTCAAGGGTCACCTGATGGAACAGAGATGCAGGTGTCAGGCTGGCAGTGCCATTTCAACCACTTGCAACTTACTTTGCAAGTCCCCAGCCCAGTTCCACTGGAGTTGGAAACTTCCCTCTCTCCCACCCTTGCGGGGAGCAGGTGGGAAGGCCCCTGGACGCACTGCAGGGCACAGGCGGTCTGGGGAACACCACCTTGTGCAGGGTGAGCAAGTGGAGTGTGCCGTGCTCCACCGTGATGTCGTTCATCTCATTGGCCTGCAGGGGCACCCCTCCCAGGGCCCAGTGGGCCTCCTGGCCCAAAGCCCTCGACAGTCGGCACCGGAAGTGGGCGTCCTGGCCCTCGCTGAGCTGAGCGTCCTGCAGGGGCTCCAGGATGGTCACCTCAGGAACTGCATGGGGTGGGGACGGGGAAGAGGCATGGCATCAGCCTCCGTGCCAGAGACGGCCCTCCCCGCACCATCAGGACCACCTCCCAGTCCCCTGCATCTGCCCCCAGCATCCCTGCCCCAATTCCTGAAGACCGGCACACTGGGGATCGTTCTACTGCAACACCTAGGGTCACCCCAGAATCAGTCGTTCAGCGCCAGTTCCCCACCCTCAAAGGCAGGAAACTGTGCCATCCATCACTGTCCCCCGACAAGGCCTTCACCGAGGCGGGGTTCCGGCCCCCAAGTGCAGTGACGCCCGGCTCCTGCTACCTCGGACGGTGAGTTGGGCAGAGGACGTGTGGCCGCCCGCGTGGAAGGAGACAGTGCCGGCGTCCTCCGGGGTCACGCTCTTCAGCCTCAGTGTGTGGGTGCGGCCGCCCTGGACCGCGACCTCGGTCACCTCGTTGCTCTGCAGCAGCAGGCCCTGGAGGCGCCACTCCACGTCCACGCCAGCCTGTGACACCTCGCAGCTGAACTCTGCTTCTCCATCAGCCTGCACCTCAGTGTCAGCCAGGCCCCGCACGATGGTCACCTCGGGCTCTGGAGTGTGGGCCAAGGGGGCCTTCACCAGCCAGGTCAGAGCAGCCAAGCCAAGCTCCCACGCCCCGCACCCCAACTGCTCCCCAGGAAGCCTCCCAGGCACTCTCACACTCGTCTCCTGCCACAGCCCCTGCCTGCCCTGCGGGAATTCAGCACCCACTGCGCTCACAAACACAGCTCCCTCTCGTGACCCTGAGCTCCTGGGGATAGGGGCTGAGCTGGGGGCACCTCTGCTGGGAGGAAGCAGGCAATTGTGGGGTGGTGGGCTGCTCATGTCTGCGGCCAGCCCTGCCCCGGCTGGGACATCAGGGAAGCAAGACCCTCAGGACAGACAGGAGTTCAGAGAGAGCGGCCCGGGCCTGCTGCCCCACCTGCAGGCGGTGGGGTGGGGGTGGGAGGCAGGGCGGTGATCGGGGGCTACAATCTCCTCAGGCGACTCTCGTCTCTAGGGACATCAGCACAGGGTGGTGCAGACGTGAGCACGGAAAGCCTGTACCCCCAAAGGTCTGAGCGCCACCCCAGAACTGCACCTGGTGAGGGAGCCGGGGGGCCCCCGCGGCAGCTGTGAGGGCAGTGGGTGAAGCAGGGGGCACTCACCTTTGACTTTGAGGAAGGCCAAGGTTTTCTGGCTGCCCGCCACGCAGCTGTACTCGCCCACGTCCTTGGCCTCAAGCCCGTGGATCAGCAGCTCACACGTGGCCCCCTGGCGCCGCATCTCATACTTGGGGCTCACGTGCAGCTCCACACCCTCCTTGAGCCACAGCACAGGGGTCCCAGCCTCCGCGTCACTCAGCTGGCAGCACAGCCGGGCCACGCCGCCCGCCTCCTGCTCGGCACTCTGCAGCTCCGTCCTAAACACGGGCCTGGGGGCTGGGGGGAGCAGGGAGGGGCGCTCAGAGCTGCTGATCAAGGGGCCTGCCGGTTTCAGGGCGGCCCAGGGGCTTGGGGGGTGGGCAGGGCCCAGCGGGAGGCTCACCCCGCACAGAGAGGCAGGCGGAGCTCTGCGCGTGGCCCGTGTCACAGGTGTAGAGGCCAGCATCCTCCTGCTCGGCGCCGTGCAGCAGCAGCTCCGCGGCTGTGCCCTCCAGCACCATCTGGTACTTGGCACACGGGAAGAGCTGCAGGGAGCCCTTGCGCCACTCCACGCTGCTGCCCGCCTGGCTCAGCTCGCAGTGCAGGCGTGCCGTCGCGCCCTCGTCTACCTCCTGGGCCTGCAGCTCTCGCAGGAACCTCACGGGCGCAGCTGCGGAGGGGAGCAGCACGTGAGGGCGGGAGCAGCTATGGGGGCAGGGGGCCACGGGATGGCAGCGGGCGGGGGGGGCGCCACCCCGGGTCTGCCCACCCCGTGGAGCCGGGTCACCTCCCCCGGGAAGGGCCGGCCTGGGCGCCCACCTGTGACGGACAGGGTGGCGCTCGTGGCCTGGGAGCCGCAGCTGCAGGTGTACTCGCCCATGTCCTCCCGGCGCAAGCCCCTCAGCACAAGCTCTGCCACGCAGCCCCGCTGCCGAGGCTCCCGGCGCTCATCAGCCTGCACCTCCAGGCCACCCTTGCTCCAGACGACAGCGGCCCCAGGCTCGGAGAGCTCACACTGCAGGCTGGCCGAGGCACCCTCCTCAGCCTGCAGGCTCTGCAGTGGCTTCCGGAACACCACCTGTGGGGCTGCAGAGCGGGGATCAGGGGTGCAGGGGAGAGGGAAGGGCAGCCCCAAGATGGGGCCCAGTCACCCAGACAGGCGGCTGGCACCCCAAATCCAGTCAGACCCACTGAGGGCCTTGGCCAGGCCTGCCTCACCTGCCCACAGGACCCACTGCCTCAGGCTCCTCTGGAGGATCTGGGTGGGAGTGGGGTCACGGGCCAGGGTCTACTTGAAGGGAAAGCAGGGACTGCAGTGGGGGCCGTGAAAGGAATTCTGGATCTGACGCGGGTGATTCTCACACTGACCTCCACCCAGGAAGCCCACAGACAGGCCTGTGTCCCTCCCGGCCATTGAGGCAGGAAAGGGGGAATCTCCGTACACTACCAGGGCAGGGCCACGACCCCCAGATCCTGCCTCGAGGCTGTGGAGCATAGGGAAAATGTGGGCTGCATTACGACAGGGAGGGGAGGGGGATGAGGTGGGAATTCCATCCACACACAAGGGTAAGCCAGGGCAGGTCATCTGAGTGGAGAGCAGAACCCAGACACGAGGACACTGAACAGAGCCTTTGGCAGAGGGCACACAGGCGACAGACAGAAGCTGCACAAGACCCAGAGGAGACGAGTGCCCACACGAGGCTCCCAAGTGAGCCCGCAAGCCCATCCTTACCCGTGACTGTCAGCGCGGCCGAGGTCCTCTCCTGCCCGCACACACACGAGTACTCCCCAGCATCCGTCAAGACCAGCTCACGGATCTCCAGCTCACACTCGGTTCCGTCCTGCCTCAGGCTCACTCTGTCCCCGGCTCGGAGGGTCTCAGACCCCTTCCTCCACTCCACAGGGGCCGCCTTGCTCAGCTCACAGTGCAGGGTGACTGTGGCCCCTTCCATGGCCTCCTTGCCTCTCAGCCTCCCTATGAACTCAGCTGGTAAAGCTGAACACAGTAAGAAAATGCAAGCATCAGAGTCTCGGGGGAATTTTGAAAGCAGGACATGACAAGACAGAGGAAAAGACACAGCTGCCCACAGGACACAGGACGGAACCTGCAGTGATACAAGAGCTGGAAAGCAGCTGGGAGGCTGGTTTCTCGTGGTTCACACAACGGCCCAGGAGGCAGAAGGAGTTCTGGGGAGTTACGGGAAGAGGATGATGCTGAGACGAGTAGGGAAGGTGGGGTGAGTGCGGGTAGATGACACGAAGTCAGTAACTGGACACCAAAGCACAGCTCCTCCTGGTCACACGTGGTCTTTACCCCTGACGGTGAGCGTGGCTGAGGTCTTCTCCTGCCCGCACACACATGAGTACTCCCCAGCATCCTCCATGGTCAGGTCACGGATCTCCAGCTCACAGACGGCTCCCTCCTGCTTCACCCGCAGTCTCTTTCCAGCTCTGAGGGTCTCGGGCCCCTTCCTCCACTCCACAGGGGCCGCCTTGCTCAGCTCACAGCGCAGCTTGGCTGTGGCCCCTTCCATGGCCTCCTCCTTCCTCAGACCCTTCATGAACTTGGCAAGCAGGGCTAGAGATAGGCAGACAGACACAGAGGCTCAGGCACCCTGTACACACCGGTGAGGTAGGACATGGAGGGTACACAGGAGACACACGACCCAGCTGGACACAGGTATGCTGGGGCTGCCAGCACACATGCTGACTTTACCAGGTCCAGCCTGTACACGCACCACAGAACAGCGGGGAACATGGCAGGGAGAACAGAACGGCTAGGAAAGGAAAAGGAACGGGGTAGAAAAGAGAACAGAGAGCAGAGTGCCGACAGCAGCCACCAAACGCCAGTCCTTATGGCCACACACGATCTTTACCCCTGACGGTGAGCGTGGCTGAGGTCTTCTCCTGCCCGCACACACATGAGTACTCCCCAGCATCCTCCACGGTCAGCTCACGGATCTCCAGCTCACACACGGATCCCTCCTGCCTCAGGCTCACTCTGTCTCCGGCTCTGAGGGTCTTGGGCCCCTTCCTCCACTCCACGGGGGCCGCCTTGCTCAGCTCACAGCGCAGCTTGGCTGTGGCCCCTTCCACGGCCTCCTCCTTCCTCAGACCCTTTGTGAACTTGGCAGGCAGGGCTGGAGATGAGCAGACAGACAGAGACTCTCAGGTGGCCTGTACACACAGATGAAGCAGGAAGCAGGCAGTACACAGAAGACACAAGACCCAGCTGGACACAGGCCACAGGCTGGGTGTCCCAGGCACACACGCTGGACCATGGCCCCCTCGGCCCAGTCCACTCAGCGTGCCCATGACCCCGTCCACAGACCCCTCAGGCCTCACATCTGTGAATCTGGTGGGCAGGGCAGGAGAGGTTAGGTGTGGAGAACACCCGATTCTGCAGAGCTCCCTGGGGACAGGACGGGACAGGATGGAGTGAAACACATAGACCCCAGCAGGACACAGGAGAGAACCTTCAGTGACACGAGGGGTGGGAAGCAGCTCAGAGGCTGGTTCCCTGCGGTTCACACAACAGCCCAGGAAGGAGGGAGGAATTCTGGGGAGTTACGGGAAGAGGGGAAGGCTGAGATGAGGAGGGATGAGTGCAAGATGCCATGAGTCAGTAACTGGACACCAAACACAGCTCCTCCTGGCCACACGTGGTCTTTACCCCTGATGGTGAGTGTGGCTGAGGTCTTCTCCTGCCCACACACACATGAATACTCTCCAGCATCCTCCACAGTCAGGTCACGGATCTCCAGCTCACACACGGCCCCATCCTGCCTCAGGCTCACTCTGTCTCCAGCTCTGAGGGTCTCGGGCCCCTTCCTCCACTCCACGGGGGCCGCCTTGCTCAGCTCACAGCGCAGCTTGGCTGTGGCCCCTTCCACGGCCTCTTCCTTTCCCAAACCTTTTGCAAACTTGGCAGGCAGGGCTGGAGATGGTCGGAAAGACAGAGAGACTGTCACTTTCTGTACACAGAAGAAACAGGCCTTGGACATCACTCTGCAGACACAGAACTCAGCTGGATGGGGCCCACCTGCTGGTCATGCCCAGCACACACTCTGACTGTGACTTTAACAGTTCTGATCTGCAGGACAAGCAAGAAGCATGACAGAGACAAAAGTAATTGTGGAAGCAAAAGGAGCAGGACAGTGAGAGAGCAGGGCAGAAAAGGGGACTGGGAGCAGAGAGATGAAGGCCAGCCACCAAACACCAGCCCATGTGGTCACACATGGTCTTTACCCCTGACGGTGAGCGTGGCTGAGGTCGTCTCCTGCCCGCACACGCACGAGTACTTTCCAGCATCCTCCACGGTCAGGTCACGGATCTCCAGCTCACACACGGCTCCCTCCTGCCTCAGGATCACTCTGTCTCCAGCTCTGACGGTCTCTGGCCCCTTCCTCCACTCCACGGGGGCCACCTTGCTCAGCTCACAATGCAGTGTGGCTGTGGCTCCTTCTGTGGCCTCCTTGGTCTTCAGTTCTTTGATGAACCGAGCAGGCATGGCTGCAGAGAGTTAGATGGACAGAAGCCATCAAAACCCATAAAGGAGTGAGTGGGGGTCTGACCTGAACATTCAGGATGGGTAGATGCAGGATGGGTGGAAGACGTGCAATGATGCAGACCAGAGCATGTGTGACAGTGCAATCCTCTCCATGTTGCTCAGTAAGTTGCAGGCCGCAAGAGATTGGCTCCATCCAGGCCTCTTTTTTTCTCAGAGTTCATCTGTCCTACTTATATCTTTTCATATTGTCTAACGGCCTACCTCACCTACACCTAGAGTCCAAACCATGCTCTTTCAGCTCACATCTTACACATGCAACAATGCAATGGACAACTCTCCTGGAAGAACGACCAGGAGGCTTTCCAGGCTTTCCATTTGTGCTTTCCATCCCAGGTAAGACATCAATCACGTGTTGCCCACATCTGGGCACACTGCAGGCCTTCCCTGCCTTCACCAGCTCCCACCTTATTCACCTTACACATTCCTTTCCTGACCCCACTGGACCCCCCACTCTCCTGACTCAGATCTCTTAGACCCCAATGGATTCCAGCCTTGGCCTTCTAACACTGCCCCCTAGCCCTCCAACCTGCTGTCCTCTCTTCCATCCCAATTCCAGGCAGAGTGTGAACTTCACAAGTTACAGCTGATCATGGCTCATCCTGGTTACACCCTGCTGTGGCCTGAATCACATCCCTCAAAATTTGTATGTTGGAGCTCTAACCTCAGGACACAGAATGGAGATGTATTTGAAGAGGTAACTGAGGTGAATGAGCCCAGTGGGGTGGAACCTAACCCATGACTGGTCTCCTTATAAAAAGAGGATATTATGACACAGATACAGAGAGGGATGGCCACGTGAGGGAATGGAAAGATGACGGCCATCTACAGGCCTAGGAGAGAGGTCTCGAGAGAAACAGCCTCAGACTTAGCTTCTAGGGCTAGGAGGAAACCATCTTCTGATGTTTAAGCCACTACTATACTGTTAAGCCATTTAGATTTTGGTACCAGGAATGGGCTGCTACTATAACAAACACCTAGAATTATGGAATTCTCTTTGGAACTGTGTGATGGGTGGAAACTGGAAGGTTCTGAGGTGCATGTTAGATAAATCTAGATTGCTTGAAGATAATTACAGCAGAAATATGGATTCTAAAGGTGCTCCTGGTGAGGCCTCATACGGAATTGCATTATTGGAAACTGGAAGAAAGCCAATCCTTTTATAAAGCAGTGAAGAATTTGGCTGAATTGTGTGTCCCAGAGTTTTATGGAAGGTAGAACTTACAAGTGAACTGGGGTATTTTTAGCTGACGTAATTCCTAAGCCAAGCATTGAAGGCGCAGACTGCTCCTTGTTGCTTACGGTAAAATGTAAGAGGAAAGTTATAGTGAAGAAGGGAGTATTTAAACAAAGAGAAACCAAACACTGATACTTCAGAAATTTTTCAGCCCACTGAAATTTCAAAAAAATAAGGGAGAACACCTGTTCTAGAGAGAATACCAAGTGTGTGGTTGGAAATTATTTGGTAAAGAGATTTTAAGTGTGAGTCTCAGATCCAATCAGCCATCTTAGAAAAGCCAGGAACAGAAATGGAATCACCCAGGAGGCTGTGTGGAAGACTCTCTTGTCTGAAACCTTGTTCTGCTGTGAATTATAAAGGAGACCAACAAGGCTCCTGAGAACTTTGTATCAGCAGAAACACTGCCAGCCACGACAATCAGACTCCGAAGGGACAGGATGGAAGATGGGATGTCTACTGGGTGGGTCAATACAGCTATGCAGCTGGGACATGTTCTATCCTTCAAAGTTGGGAATAACCCCAAAGGCAAGGCTACCACTGCATCCATGGTCCCAGAGGGCCACCTCTGTGCAGGGCCCAGAAGTCAGGGCATTGAGCCAGAGGGTCATTCTCTAATCTTGAAAATCTCACAGAATTTGTCCTTACTAGGTACCAGATTTCTGTGGAACCAGTGGCCTCTTTCTTCTTTCCTATTTCTTTCTTTTACAATGGGGACATCTACCCCATGCCTGTTCCACTGAAGTATTTTGGAAGCACATAACTTGGTCTGATGTTTCAGGTTTATAACTGCAGAGGAATTCTGCCTCAGGATGAATCATACCTCCAATCTCACACACACTTGATTTAGATGAGATTTAGATTAGACTTTGGATTTAGCCTGACACTAAAATAGATTAAAATTTTGGGGTTTGGGGTAAATGTACTCTGCATGTCAGAACATGCATTTTGGGGGCAAGAAACCGAGTGTTCTGGACTGAAACATTTTTCTTCTCAGTCAGTCATGTCCAATTCTTTGTGACCCCATGAACTGTAGCAGACTTCCCTGTCCATCACCAACTCTTGGAGCTTGCTCAAACTCATGTGCATCAAGTCACTGATGCCATCCAACCATCACATCCTCTGTCGTCCCCTTCTCCTCCTGTCTTCAATCTTTCCCAGCATCAGGGGCTTTTCCAATGAGTCAGCTCTTTGCATCAGATGGCCAAAGTATTGGAGCTTCAGCTTCAGTATCAGTCCTTCCAATGGACATTCAGGATTGATTTCCTTTAGGATTGACTGGTTTAATCTCCTTGCTGTCCAAGGGATTCTCAAGAGTCTTCTCCAAAACTACAGCTTAAAAGTATTAATTCTTCGGTGCTCAGCTTTCTTTATGGTCCAAATCTTTATGGACTGAATCATGTCTCCCCTCAAATTTACATACTGAAGTCTTAGCCCTCAGCAACTAAGAAGGTGAATTTATTTGGAAATAAGGTTTTCGTAGAGGTAATTAGGGTAGAATGGGGTTACCGAGAGGGTGACTAATTCAAATCGACTTGTAAGTGTTCCTATAAGAAGAGAAGATTAGAACACAGGACACACAAAAGGATAACCAGGTGAGGACAAAGAAAGAACATGGCCAGTTACAAGCCAAGGAGAGAAATCTCCCATGGACACCTTGATCTTGGACTCCCAACCTCCAGGACTATGAAACAATAAATGTGCGCTGTAAGTCACCTGTATGTGGTATCTGTTACACAGCCCAAGTTTTCTGAGACACAGCTCTTTAGAGGCTGCACACAATCTCCAAGGTCAATCAAATGCTGTCTGATTAGCACAACACAGGAGGGCCTGGCCTGTCTGCCACCTGCTCCCTGAACTGCCAAACTCTGCACCTCAGTCCTGCGGCGCAGCTCTGTCACCAGCATAAACCCCACTGCACACCTGGGGCCCAGAGCCCACACACCCCCTCAGCCTCAGCCTCAGCCGTGGCTGAGGGCCGCTCTCTAAACCATAATGCCTGCTTGCTGGTGCCTCCTTGAGGGTGTCCTTGCACCACGCACCCCTGGGGTCTGTACCCACAGGGCCTAGACAGGGTTGGCCAGTGTTTTCATGAAAAGGGTTGTAACCCTGAGACAACAGTAGCGCTGGGAGAGCACGTTCCGAATGGCAGGAGGAAGTCACGAGCGTGGCCACGTGCAGTCTTTACCCGTGACACCAGTGTGGCCGAGGCGCCTTCCTGCCCACACACCCCACAGGGTCCACCACGACCAGGCCACGGAGCTCCAGCTCACACGTGGCCCCGTCCTGCCCCAGGCTCACTACGATCTGTATGTGAGGAGTTCAGGCTCCTTCCTCCACTTCACAGGGGCCGCCTTGCTCAGCTCACAGTACAGGGTGGTTGTGGCCCCTTCTGTGGCCTTTTTCTTCCTCAGGTGTTTTGTGAAACTGGTGGGCAGGAATGGGCAGAAAGACAAACATGCAATCACACTAGGTGAACATGCAGTGAAGACATGAGGTAAAAAGAACCGAGGAAACACAGAATCCAAGTGGACATGGGCCATGCTTGGGGTGGGCCAAGGACACGCCGCGGGTGGGCCTTCCCTCAGCGCAGCCCCTTCAGGGGACGCCTCGGGCCTCAGACATGGTGTTCAGCTGATAGGCAGGGCTGGGAGTGCCAGTGACATGGACACCATGAGATTCTCTGGGGAACTGTTGGGAAGCAAGTGACAGGATGGAGGAAAGGACTCAGACTGAGACACGACAACAGAACAGTGTCAGTGGTGACACAAATGGTGGGAAGTGGGTTAAATGCCGGCTTCTTTTGGTTCACACATCAGCACAGGAAGCCGAAAGAGATTCCACAGTCTTCTGGAAACAGGCAGCATTGAGACGGGAAGGGAGCATGGGCTGAATACAGAAGGATGCCGTGAAGTCAGTGACTGGACACCAAAGCACAGCTCTGCTTGGCCACACATGGTCTTTACCCCTGACAGTGAGCGTGGCTGAGGTTTTCTCCTGCCCGCACACACATGAGTATTCTCCAGCATCCTCCATGGTCAGGTCACGGATCTCCAGCTCACACACGGCTCCCTCCTGCTTCAGGCTCACTCTGTCCCCGGCTCTGAGGGTCTTGGGCTCCTTCCTCCACTCCACAGGGGCCACCTTGCTCAGCTCACAGCGCAGCTTGGCTGTGGACCCTTCCATGGCCTCTTCCTTCCTCAGACCCTTTGTGAACTTGGCAGGCAGGGCTGGAGATGGGCAGACAGACACAAACACGATCACACTCTCTGAACGCACAGAAGCAGCAGGATGTGGACAGTGCAGAGAAGACACAAACCCCAGCTGGACGGGGCCCACCTTCTGGGGGTGGACACACACCGTGACTGTGACTTTAAAAGGTCCAACCTGCACATGTGCTGCAGAACAGACGGGAACACGGCAGGGAGACAAGGTAACTATGGGAGGAAAAGGAACAGGACAGAGGGACAGCAGGGTAGGAAAGGGAACTGGGAACGGAGCGATGACAGGCAGCCACCAAATGCCAGTCCATGTGGTCACGCATGGTCTTTACCCCTGACAGTGAGCGTGGCTGAGGTTTTCTCCTGCCCGCACACACACGAGTACTCCCCAGCATCCTTCATGGTCAGGTCACGGATCTCCAGCTCACACACAGCTCCATCTTGCCTCAGGCTCACTCTGTCCCCAGCTCTGAGGATCTCAGACCCCTTCTTCCACTCTACAGGGGCCGCCTTGCTCAGCTCACAGTGCAGCTTGGCTGTGGTCCCTTCCGTGGCCTCTTCCTTCCTCAGACCCTTTATGAACTTGGCAGGCAGGGCTGGAGGTGGCCAGAAAGACACAAACATGATCACACTTCCTGAACTCACAGAAGCAACAGGATACAGAGAAGACACAAAACCCAACTGGACTTGGACCACCTTCTGGGGGTGCCAGTATGCACCGTGACGGTGACTTTAAGAGGTCCAACCTGCACACGTGCTACAGAACAGACACGGAACATGACAGGGAGAACAGAATAATCATGGGAGGAAAAGGAGCAGGACAGTGAGTCAGCAAGGCAGAAAAGGGAACTGAGGGCAAAGAGATGATTACGTCGTCGTTCAGTGATTAAACTGTGTCCAACTCTTTGCAACCCCGTGGACTCCAGCATGTCAGGCTTCCCTGTCCTTCACCATCTCCTGGAGTTTTCTCAAATTCATATCCATTGAGTGGGTGATGCCATCCAACCATCTCCTCCTCTGTCATCCCTCTCTCTTCCTGCCTTCCATCTTTTCCTGCATCAGGGTCTTTTCCAACGAGTCAGCTCTTTCCATCAGGTGGCCAAAGTGCTGGAGCTTCAGGTGGGCAGCCACTAAACGCCAGTCCAGGTGGTCACATGCAGTCCTCACCCCTGACAACGAGCCTGGCCAAAGACCCCTCCTGCCCCCACACACTCCCCTGCAACCATTACAGCCAAGCCATGATCCCCAGCTCACACGCTGCCCCATCCTGCCGCAGGCACAGTCTCATTTCCATCTCCAGGGTTTCGGTCCAATCCTCCAGTCCTCATGGACCACCCTGCTCAGCTCACAGCACAGTATGGCTGTGGTCCCTTCCGTGGCCTCTTCATGGTTCAGACCCTTTGTGAGCTTGGCAGGCAGGGCTGAGGAGGGCTACGAAGTCACTGAGAACATCAGACTCTCAGGGTAACTCTCTCCAGGACACAAAACCCCACAAACGGCAAAAGACCACAGTACAAACAAGTAAAGAGATGCACAGATGGTGATGGAGGCAAACGTCCAGAGGGAACAGACGACACACAGCACTGGACATTCACATCTACTGAACGAGGAGCCTGGAGCCAAGAGACATCTGCAGGGACCCAGGTGAAAAGATAGGAAAAGCCACAGAATCCTGCGGTGGAGGCAGTGACAGAGACCACACGCAAACATGAAGCCACAGGTCCCTGTGGCCTCTGACGGCCTTTACCCTTGATGGTGAGCGTGGCTGAGGTCCTCTCCTGCCCACACACGCAGGAGTACTCCCCTGCGTCCTCCACGGTCAGGCCACGGATCTCCAGCTCACACACAGCTCCCTCCTGCTTCAGGCTCACTCTGTCCCCGGCTCTGAGCGTCTCGGGCCCCTTCCTCCACTCCACGGGGGCCACCTTGCTCAGCTCACAGCGCAGTGTGACCGTGGTCCCTTCTGTGGCCTCCTCCTTCTTCAGGCCCCTTGTGAACTTGGTGGGCAGGGCTGGGCAGGGTCAGAGTGACAAAGGAAACATCAGAGTCTCTGGAAAACGTAGGGGATCAGGATGTGGACACTTGACAATGGAACAGTCACACGTTGGAGCAAATGAGGAATAAAAGCTTAGGCCCACAGACACATGGGTAGGTAGCAGTGCTCGGGTGGAGCGTGTGCAGAGGACAGACAAACCAGCACGGAAACGGACTCCTCGGGGAGGACCTCACGGCATGGACAGAACATGGAAATGGCCACAGTGCCTGCAGAAAGTGACGATAAATTGGAACGGATGTCCTCCAGCATCTTCCATGGCCCAGCTTACACCACACCACGGCCATGGCCCCCTCCAGGCCTTATTCTTTAGTGACTTTATGATCTTGAGGGATATAGCTGGGAACGGAGATGCAAAAAGAGCTACCTAAACTATCCCACACGTCTACCCCAGCATACCCCCCTTGTCAGCTCCTACTGCTGCTGGGGCCAGAGCCCAGGGCTGACAGGGCCTGAAAAGCAGACAGAACAAGGAGCACCATGGCCAGAAGGGAAGCAGAAGCCACCCCACTCCTGCCCTGTCGCCCTGGAGTAGGAGTCCCTGGGGTCTGCACATTCTGAGAAGCCGCTCTCTTGGACTGCTTGTCGCTTGTTAACTGGAGCACTCTGCAGGCTTGCTCAGTCGCTTCAGCTGTGGCTGACTCTTCAGCTGTGTCTGATCCCATGGACTGCGGCCCGCTAGCCTCCTCTGTCCATGGCATTTCCAAGGGAAGAACACTGGAGTGCGTTGCCATGCCTTCCTCCAGGGTTTCTTCCCAACCCAGGGATCAAACCCGAGTCCCTGATGTCTCCAGCACTGGCAGGCGGGGTCTTTACCACGAGCGCCATTGGGTTCTTTGGTCCTCGGCCCTTGGCGGTGCTTCCTCCCTGCAGTGGAAGCTGCTCCTGACTGTGTGACAGGCCTCCAAGCCCACACCCTTTGTGGTCTCCTGGTGAGTCTGAACAGTGTGGGTACCAGTGTCTCTGTGCTAGAGATGCTATGCTCCACTCATGAAGCTCATTCATGAAGGTGGCATCGTGGCCTGATCTCTACCCAAGAGATCTGAGTATCTGTGTTCACAATGGCCCTGCCCAGCCTCAGAATCCTCTTCTTTACTGTTCCACCTTGTCTCGTGAGTTCACTCCAACAGGGCCCAGAATGTGAGGCCTCTCTGCACTTTTTGCTCTGGGAGGTCACATCTCACCTTGACAGAAGACCTTCAGTGGCAGCGTCTGGAGTCAGCTCACCCACCACAGACGCCAGACACTGACCCCGAGCCCAGCGTGGGTGCCCACCTGCCTTCCTGGGTCTGGCTCGGCTCCCCACTGTGGTGTCCCGTGCCTCCTCCCTCTCCTGCCGTGGACAAGCACTGTCCACTCCACTCTACACCCAGACCTCACCTCCCGTCTCACCTCCGCCTCACCTCCACAGCCAACTCCCACTCTCAATGCACTTTCACTTCAAACGCCACCTCACCTCCACATCCAGGCATCCCCTCCACATCAACCCAAACTCCAGCACGTCTCCCCCTCCCCCACACCCCGCGCTCACCTCCCATAACCACCAGACACTGGACAGGGGACCCCAGGCCCTCCCCTCCTGGCTCTCTCACAGACTTCCCTCTCAGCACCCCGTCAACACCCCACCCTCAAGGGCCGCGCTCTCATCCAGCTCCCAGCATCTCTCCTGTCATGTTCCCTCGAGAGGACCGCAATGCTGTGCTTTTCCTATGTGGCTGCCTGCCTCCTCTTTCTCAGACGCGAGCCCCTGAGGACAGTGAGGACCTTATTCTCTGCTTGTTATCTCAGGTGGGCCTCAGAGAAGGGAGGGAGACTGAGACTCCTGCTCCAAGAGTGCAGGAGATGCGCAGAGACACGAGAGACTGCAGAGAGACAGGGTGGAGCTGGAGGACACATTAAAGCCCGCAGACACGAAGCCTCTGCTCCACAGGCCGACGTGGTCTTTACCCCTGATGGTGAGCGTGGCTGAGGTCATCTCCTGCCCACACACACATGAGTACTCCCCAGCATCCTCCACGGTGAGCTCACGGATCTCCAGCTCACATACGGCTCCCTCCTGCCTCAGGCTCACTCTGTCCCCGGCTCTGAGGGCCTTGGGCCCCTTCCTCCACTCCACGGGGGCCGCCTTGCTCAGCTCACAGCGCAGCTTGGCTGTGGCCCCTTCTATGGCCTCCTCCTTCCTCAGACCCTTTGTGAACTTGGCAGGCAGGGCTGGAGATGGGCAGACAGACACAAACATGATCACACACTCTGAACGCACAGAAGCAGCAGGATGTGGACAGTGCAGAGGAGACACAAACCCCAGCTGGACGGGGCCCACCTGCTGGGGGTGGACACACACTGTGACTGTGACTTTAAAAGGTCCAACCTGCACATGTGCTGCAGAACAGATGGGAACATGGCAGGGAGACGAGGTAACTATGGGAGGAAAAGGAGCAGGACAGAGGGAGAGCAGGGCAGGAAAAGGAACTGGGAGCGGAGTGATGATGGGCAGCCCCAAATGCCATGTGGTCACGCGTGGTCTTTACCCCTGACGGTGAGCGTGGCTGAGGTTTTCTCCTGCCCACACACACACGAGTACTCCCCAGCATCCTCCACGGTCAGGTCACGGATCTCCAGCTCACACATGGCTCCCTCCTGCTTCACCTGCAGTCTGTCTCCAGTTCTGAGGGTCTCGGGCCCCTTCCTCCACTCCACAGGGGCCACCTTGCTCAGCTCACAGCACAGGTTGGCTGTGGCCCCTTCCAAGGCCTCTTCCTTCCTCAGACCTTTTGTGAACTTGGCAGGCAGGGCTGGAGATGGGCAGACAGACACAAACAGATCACACTCTCTGAACGCACAGAAGCATCAGGATGTGGACAGTGCAGAGAAGACACAAACCCCAGCTGGACGGGGCCCACCTTCTGGGGGTGGACACACACCGTGACTGTGACTTTAAAAGGTCCAACCTGCACATGTGCCGCAGAACAGATGGGAACATGGCAGGGAGACAAGGTAACTATGGGAGGAAAAGGAGCAGGACAGAGGGAGAGCAGGGCAGGAAAGGGAACTGGGAGTGGAGCGATGACGGGCAGCCACCAAATGTCAGTCCATGTGGTCACGCGTGGTCTTTACCCCTGACGGTGAGCGTGGCTGTGGTTTTCTCCTGCCCGCACACACATGAGTATTCTCCAGCATCCTCCACGGTCAGGTCACGGATCTCCAGCTCACACACGGCCCCCTCCTGCCTCAGGCTCACTCTGTTCCCGGCTCTGAGGGTCTCGGGCCCCTTCCTCCACTCCACGGGGGCCACCCTGCTCAGCTCACAGTGCAGCTTGGCTGTGGCCCCTTCCATGGCCTCCTCCTTTCTCAGACCCTTTGTGAACTTGGCAGGCAGGGCTGGAGATGGGCAGAAAGACACGAACACTTTAATGCTCTCTGAACCCACTGATGAGATAGGCCACAGGCTGGGTGTCTCAGGCACACACGCTGGACCACGGCCCCCTCAGCCCAGTCCGCTCAGAGTGCCCGTGACCCCGTCCACAGACTCCTCAGGCCTCCTGTCTGTGAATCTGGTGAGCAGGGCAGGAGAGGTTAGAAGGTGTGGAGAACGCCCGATTCTCCAGAGCTCCCTGGGGGACAGGATGGGACAGGATGGAGTGAAAGATGCAGACCCCAGCAGGACACAGGACAGAAGCTTCAGTGACACGAGGGGTGGGAAGCAGCTCAAGGCGTGTTTCTCGTGGTTCTCGCACGTGCCAGGAAGGAGGGAGGAATGTCATGGGAAGAGGCCACGACTGAGATGAGGAGGGAAGGTGGGACGAGTGCAGGGAGATGCTATGGAGTTAACAACTGGACACCAAAACTCTGCTTGGCCACACGTGGTCTTTACCCCTGACGGTGAGCGCGGCTGACGTCTTCTCCTGCCCGCACACACACGAGTACTCCCCAGCATCCTCCACCGCAAGGTCACGGATCTCCAGCTCACACACGGCCCCCTCCTGCCTCAGGCTCGCTCGGTCCCCGGCTCGGAGGGTCTCGGGCCCCTTCCTCCACTCCACGGGGGCCGCCTTGCTCAGCTCACAGCGCAGGGTGACTGTGGCCCCTTCTGTGGCCTCCTTGCCTCTCAGTCTTCTTGTGAACTCAGCAGGCAAAGCTGAGGACAGAGAGACATGAATATCAGAGTCTTGGGAGAACTCTGAAGGCAAGGCATGACAAGACACAGAAGAAGACAGACGCTCCCACAGGACACAGGACAGAACCTGCAGGGACACGAGAGCTGGAACGCAGCTCAGAGGCTGGTTCTCGTGGTTCACACAACAGCCCAGGAAGGAGGAAGGCGTTCTGGGGAGTTACGGGAAGAGGGTGACTCTGAGACGAGGAGGGAAGGTGTGATGAGGGCACGGAGACGACACGAAGTCAGTAACTGGACACCAAAGCACAGCTCCTCCTGGCCACACATGGTTTTTACCCCTGACGGTGAGCGTGGCTGAGGTCTTCTCCTGCCCGCACACACATGAATATTCTCCAGCATCCTCCACGGTCAGCTCACGGATCTCCAGCTCACACACGGCCCCGTCCTGCCTCAGGCTCGCTCTGTCCCCGGCTCTGAGGGTCTCGGGCCCCTTCCTCCACTCCACGGGGGCTTCCTTGCTGAGTTCACAGCGGAATGTGGCTGTGGTCCCTTCCGCGACCTCCTTGTTTCTCAGTCTTCCTATGAACTCAGCAGGCAGAGCTGCAACAAGATCCAATGGACACAGCACATCACCTTCATCCTCCCACAAAGGATGAAAGGGGCAGTGTGGTGTCACGTGAGCAGAGTGGCTGAAGATGCTTACCCTTTACGGTGAGCCTGGCCGACGTCATCTGGTCCCCAAAACTGCAGAAGTACTGCCCACTGTCCTGAGGCCGCAGGTCTCGGACCACCAGCTCCAGCACAGTCCCGTCCTGTCGCAAGCTGTACTTGCCTCCAGGCTGCAGAAGCTCATCCCCACGCCGCCACTCCACAGGCCTGACCACGGATGAGAGCACGCAGCGCAGGGTGGCAGCACCCCCCTCCAGCACCTCCACGTCCTTCAGGCCCTCTCGGAACTGCACTGGCCGAGCTGTGGACAGCCATGAGCTCAGTCAGTATGGCCCACAGGGGCTGAGGATGGTGGAGGGCAGCAACCAGCAGAGGCAGGCAGGCCCATCTCGCTGTCTGCACGGGGGACTAGGGATGGGGACCTCGAGACCTCTGCCTATCCAGGAGGGTGAGCCAAACAGCACGAAGCAGAGGAGGGTGGGGTGTTACGGGCGACATTTAATCCCCCAATTCACCTGCTGGAGCCCGGACCCTCGGGACCAAAGAATGCAGCCATATTTGGAGATAGGGGTCTTGAAAGAGATGACTGAGTTAAATTAGGTCAGTAGAATGGGTCTTACTCCCATATTATTGGTGTCCTTACAAGAAATGGGAACTAGCACACAGATACACACAGACGGATGACCAGGTGAAGACACAGGGGAAAGATGGCCGTCTATAAGCCCAGGAGAGGGCCTCAAGGGAAACCAGGCCTACAACACCTTGATCTCAGACTTCTGGTCTCCAAACCTAGGAGACAATAAATGTCTGTCTTTTAAGCCACCCAGTCTGTGGCATTTGGTAGCCAGGCCAAACCAACTGAGACGGAGATGAGCCAAGCCAAGAGAAGGGAGACATGGCAACGTAAGCACAGATAGTTAGCAGTGAAGTTTAAAAAAAAAGACTGCTGGTCAGAAGACCAGGAGAGGCTGAGAGAGGCTTTCAGGAGCAGAAGAAACCCAGAGACAGGGCAGCCAGCGGGCAGAGTGAGATCAACAAACAGGGGGACAGAAGGAGCCTTAGGACACCCTGCACCCACACACGAAGAGGACAGAGAGCGTCCTGGAGTCGCCCTGGCCCTGAGCAAGGCGAAAGTGTCAGGAATGTGGCTGGAGGCTGCCCAGCACCGCTCTCCCGGGGCTCACCATGGACCCTGACAATGGAACTGCTCCAGGCGCCCGCAGTCTCACACTTGTAGCGCCCGCTGTCCTGCAGGGTGGTCTCAGTGATGACCAGCTGGGCCCGGCGGCCCTCATAGGTCAGCTGGCACCGGGCCGATGGCCGCAGGGGCTTCCCATCCTTGGTCCAGCACACAGGGCTGTCTGAGGCAGAAGTCTCGCAGACCAGGGTCAGATCCTCCCCCTCTGTGACTGTGGCATCGATGAGCCCCTGGGAGAAAGCACTTGGCTTTTCTGCAGACAGAGAGGGATGCGTAAGACTGTTGGGGTCTCCTGCAGGAGCAGCCCCAGGTCTTGCTACACACCAGCAACACTCCTAGTCAGGCCCACCTGCCCCTACACCCCCATTCTGGGCTGCAGATAGGACTGCTGGGAGAACAGGACGAGCTCTGTGTGGCCCCGCCCCCACACTGACCTTGGGTTCACCTCTGCATACCATGGACAACATATCTTCAGACAGCACCACTCAGCCCTGGGATCCAAGGCTCCAGCCCAAGAGAAGCCTACGGTGCCTTCCTTCTCTGTGAGCCCCAGGGCCTCACCCAGGAGATGGCCAAGCCACTGCCTTGAAGTTGCATGCTCAGCCATACGGACTGGCCCCCACCATGCACTGGGCGCTGGGCCTGCAACCTACCTGTGACCTGCAAGGCAGCTGAGGTTCGCTGGTCGCCTGCCTCAAAATGGACGGTGCCCGAGTCCTTGAGCGCCAGCTGCTTCAGGGTGAGCACATGGTAGCCACCGGGCTGGACCTCGATCTCATTGAGTTCATTGGCAGACAGGGGTGTCTTGTCCAAGAACCAGTGGACAGGCCTGTAGTCGGCAGGGGAGATGCGGCAGCAGAAGGTGGCCGAGGAGCCCTCCTGCACCTCCACGTCCTCCAGGTCCTCTGTGATGAGCACTTTCTGGCCTGCAGAGACACAGACGGGCACGTCAGGGACCCCCTGAGCAGCGGTCAAGGGAAACAGGGTGCTCCCCAAGGCCTGATCTGGGGCGGGCGCTCAGCAGGGAGCGAGCAAAAAACATTAAGTGGGTCTGAGCTGAACGGTCCAAAAGCCTTGGTTTTAGGCCCACCAGTGAGCCCTCAATCCACCTCTCGGGTCTTTCTGCAGAGCACACAGGCTGACCCACAGCATGGCCCCTCCCCAAGCTATGCTCCTTCCGTTGTCCCTGTCACAGAAATCACCCAATGCCATTCAATTTTGTATTAACAGAAGTGTGGGGGGAAAAAAGAGAATGTGGCTATGATAACATTTAAATTGAATGACTTGGAGGACTAACATGAATTTCTAGAAAAAAATTTTTTTTTGCTGCTGTCTTAGGTTATGCCAGCAAATTTGGAAAACTCAGCAGTGGCCACAGGACTGGAAAAGGTCAGTTTTCATTCCAATCCCTAAGAAAGGCAATCCCAAAGAATGCTCAAACTACCGCACAATTGCGCTCATCTCACACACTAGTAAAGCAATGCTCAAAATTCTCCAAGCCAGGCTTCAGCAATACGTGAACCAAGAACTTCCAGATGTTCAAGCTGGTTTTAGAAAAGGCAGAGGAACCAGAGATCAAATGGTCAATATCTGCTGGATCATCGAAAAAGCAAGAGAGTTCCAGAAAAACATCTAGTTCTGCTTTATTGACTATGCCAAAGCCTTTGACTGTGTGGATCACAATAAACTGTGGAAAATTCTGAAAGAGATGGGAATACCAGACCACCTGACCTGCCTCTTGAGAAACCTGTATGCAGGTCAAGAAGCAACAGTTAGAACTGGACATGGACCAACAGACTGGTTCCAAATAGGAAAAGGAGTACGTCAAGGCTGTATATTGTCACCCTGCTTATTTAACTTAAATGCAGAGTACATCATGAGAATCGCTGGGCTGGAGGAAGCACAGCTGGAATCAAGATTGCCAGGAGAAATATCAATAACCTCAGATATGCAGATGACACCACCCTTATGGCAAAGAGTGAAGAGGAACTGAAAAACCTCTTGATGAAAGTGAAAGAGGAGAGTGAAAAAGTTGTCTTAAAGCTTAACATTCAGAAAACTAAGATCATGGCATCTGGTCCCATCAGCTCATGGGAAATAGATGCGGAGACAGTGGAAACAGTGTCAGATTTTCTTTTTTTGGGCCCCCAAATCACTGCAGATCGTGATTGCAGCCATGAAATTAAAAGACGCTTACTCCTTGGAAGGAAAGTTATGACCAATCTAGATAGCATATTAAAAAGCAGAGACATTACTTTGCCAACAAAGGTCCGTCTGGTCAAGGCTATGGTTTTTCCAGTGGTCATTGTGGATGTCAGAGTTGGACTGTGAAGAAAGCTGAGCACCGAAAAATGATGCTTTTGAACTGTGGTGTTGGAGAAGACTATTGAGAGTCCCTTGGACTGCAAGGAGATCCAGCCAGTCCATCCTAAAGGAGATCAGTACTGGGTGTTCATTGGAAGGACTGATGCTGAAGCTGAAACTCCAGTACTTTGGCTACCTAATGCGAAGAGTTGACTCATTGGAAAAGACCCTGATGCTGGGAGGGATTGGGGGCAGGAGGAGAAGGGGACGACAGAGGATGAGATGGCTGGATGGCATCACTGACTTGATGGGCATGAGTTTGAGTAAACTCCGGGAGTTTGTGATGGACAGGGAGGCCTGGCGTGCTGCAATTCATGGGGTCGCAAAGAGTCGGACACGACTGAGCAACTGAACTGAACTGAACTAGGTATGGTGAAAGCTGAAGAAATCATAAATACTGACTGGCTGTCAGATTCCTTCTGCATTCACAGGTGTCTTGAAGCTATTGCATACCAGAAAGCATAGATGGCACATCTGTTCTTGCTGTTGTTCAATCCCTAAGTGTGTTTGACTCTTTGTGACCCCATGGACTGCAGCACACCAGGCTCCTCTGTCCTCCACCGTCCTCCTGAGTTTGCTCAAATTCATATCCATTGAGTCAGTGATGCTATCTAACCATTTCATCTTCTGCCACCCCCTTCTCCTTTAGCCTTCAATCTTTCTCAGCATCAGGATCTTTTTCAATGAGTCGGCTTTTCACACCAAGTGGCCAAATACTAGAGCTTTGGCTTCAGCATCAGTCCTTCCAATGAATATTGAGAGTTGATTCCCTTTAGGATTGATTGATTTGATCTTCCTGCAGTCCACGGGACTCTCAAGAGCCTTCTTCAGCACAATTTGAAAGTATCCATTCTTCAACACTCATCCATCTTAATGGTCTAACTATCACATCCATAAATGACTACTGGAAAACACATAGCTTTGACTGTATGGACTTTGGCAGCAAAGTGATGTTTCTGCTTTTTAATATGCTGTCTAGGTTTGTCATAGCTTTCCTTCCAAGGAGCAAGCGTCTTTTAACTTCATGGCTGCAGTCACCGTCCACAGTGATTTTGCAGCCCAAGAAAAGAAAATCTGTCACTTTTTCCCCTTCTATCTGCCATGAAGTGATGGGACCAGATGCCATGATCCTAGTTTTGAATGCTGAATTTTAAGCCAGATTTTTCAAACTCCTCCTTCACCCTTATCAAGAGACTCTTTAGTTCCTCTTCCCTTTCTGCCATTAGAGTGGTGTCATCTGCATATCTGAGCTTATTGATATTTCACCCAGCAATCTTGATTCCAGCTTGTGTTTCATCCAGCCTGGCACTTCACATGATGTACTCTGCATATAAGTTAAATAAGCAGGGTGACCATATACAATGCACTCCTTTCCCAATTTTGAACCAGTTCCTTGTTCCATGTCCGGTTTTAACCGCAGCTTCTTGACCTGCATACAGGTTTCTCAGGAGACCGGTATGGTGGTCTGGTATTCCCATCTCTTTAAGAATTTTCCACGGTTTGTTGTGATCCACATAGGCAAAGGTGTTAGCGTAGTCAATGAAGCAGAAGTAGATGTTCTTCTGTAATTTTCTTGCTTTCTCTATGATTCAGCGAATGTTGGCAATTTGATCTCTGGTTCCCGTGTAGCTTGTCATCTGGAAGTTCTCGGTTCACATGCTGCTGAAGCCTGGCTCCAAGGCCTTTGAGCAGAACCTTATGCTGCTGCTGCTTAGTCGCTCAGTCATGTCCGACTCCGTGCAACCCTGTGGACTGCATCCCGCCAGGCTGCTCTGTCCATGGGGATTCTCCAGGCAAGAGTACTGGAGTGGGTTGCCATGCCCTCCTCCAGGGGATCTTTGTGACCCAGGGATCAAACCCAGGTCTCCACCAGGGGAGCCCAGTGTGAAATGAGTGTAACTGTATAGTACTCTGAACATTCTTTGGCATTGCTCTTCTTTGGAACTGGAATGAAAACTGACCTTTTCCAGCCCTGTGCCCACTGCTGAGTTTCCCAAATTTGCTGGCATATTGAGCGCAGCACATTGACAACATCAGACGGCACATCAGGAGAGTGATTTATTCAGAAGGAGACAGGCACTGATCTCACCTTTGTGTATCAGTTGTGATTCATGAACCAACACGAGGAAAAGGCTTTGGCAGGAAGCACTAGCCTGGCACAAGCCTGTGTGTTCTGAATTTGTCCAAAGACTGTATGTTGTTATTATGGTACACTCCCTTTTATAATTGTGTGTTAGTCGCTCAGTTGTGCCCTGCTCTTCGCGACCCCAAGGACTGCAGCCTGCCAGGCTTCTCTGTCCATGGGACTTTCCAAGTGAGGACACTGGAATGGGTTGCCATTTCCCTCTCAAGGGGACCTCCTCAACCCAGGGATCAAACCCAGGTGTCCTGCACGGCAGGCAGATTCTTTACAGACTGAGCTACCGGGGAAGCCCCACTTTTGTAATGCATACGTTTATTGATTTACCATCTATTTAGCTGCATTAGGTCTTAGTATGGGAGCTTCAGCAATTGCGGCATGCAGACTTAGCTGCTCCAAGGCATGTGGGATCTTAGTTCCCCGAGCAGGGATTGAACCCATATTCCCTGCATGGCAAGGCAGATTCTCAACCACTGGACCACCAGGGAAGTCTGGACACTTGCTTTAATTGCCCTTTTTAAGTATTAACATTCACTTTAGATTAGACAGCTGTGCTTCCACTGCACTAATGAAATGTTCTCACTGAGCTCAGTGGATTCACTGTATTTCACTGAAAAAGAGGAAGAGAGCAAGAGTGGGGCTTCTTTTGTTATTTCCTATGGACGGATCCCAGGAAGGACCTACAGCTGACTTCACCCTGATGCCAGCCCTGGGATCAGCAGGGCTAGGCTCAACCCAGCCCTGACACCTACTTGCCCTGCAACCCTGGAGCAACCAATAAGCCCCAGTGTGCTTATCAGTGTAGCAGGAGAATGACAACCCTCGTCCTGCTGGCCAGGGGAAGACCGAGGTTCAAACCGGAAGACCCTGCTGAGCCAGTGACTCTGCACAGGGGTAGAGGAGGTACATTCATGTGTAAGTACGTGCAGAGCCCAGGCGTGGACACATGCTGGAAGGGCTCCAGAAACATTCACCCAGCAAACAAATGCACAAAGAGGGGTGCCAACTCATGGACACAAGGCCCAGCGACAAGACCGCCCAGGGCAACCCTCCTTGGAAATGGGGCAACCAAGGCTGAGTTAGTCCAGGGCCAGGCAGAGCTCTGATCTCTGCCCACCTCCAAACCTACTTTAAACAGCGCTTACAGCTGAGCATGCCACCGGCCTTGAAATCTAGTGGGCAAACGCGAGCAACAGCACAGTGCCTGCGCCTAACCTTTCACCAGCAGCCGAGCCTGGGACTGGGCCTGGCCAATGTCGCAGGTGTAGGTGTCACTGTCTGCCTTCTCCAGGGCGCTGATGGTGAGCCGCAAGGTCAGGCCCTCCTGGCTGGGCGCGTGCTTCCCCGAGGCCCGCAGCTCCGTGAGGCCCTTGCGCCAGGTCACCGAGCCCGCGGGGTGCTCCGTCTTGCAGGTGAACGTGGCTGTGCCCTTCTCCTCCACATGCAGGTCAGCCAACGGCTCTGTGAACCGGTTTGCCTTTTCTGGTGGAAGAGCAGGAACACATGGGAGGGTGAGGCCGGGGCAGATGCCATGCAGGCCCTCAGGATGGGAAATCATTCCCATCACAGGTGGCTCTCCAGGCCCACCCTAGACCCTCAGGGACCTGGACGAGCCCCTTCTCTGCCGGGTGCGTCTCCCTTCCTACCTGGGGCAGCCCCAGGCGCTCATGGGGTTTACCTTCCACTCGGAGACTGGCTGTGCTTTTGGAAGACTCCGTCTCACATGTGTATTTGCCCGAGTCTTTGAGTGAGACTGCATGGATGACCAGCGAGGCCCGAGTGCCTTCGGTGAGCAGGTCATACTTCTGACTCTTGCGGATGGCCTTCCCATCCTTCAGCCAGTGCACTGGGGTCCCCTCCCGCGACAGCTCACACCTCAGCACCACATCCTCACCCAGCGTGGCCTGCTGGTCTTCCAGTGGCTTCATAATGTCAACTGACTTCTCTGAAAAGAACAGACATGGTGCCTGATAGGGCCTGGCCAGAGCTCCATCCACGACCATGGCCCTAGCCATGCCTGGGGTTAAGACAGGGCAAGCATTCAAGAGCTTTCAAGCTCTGGAGGCTGAGACCACAGAACCTACAGCTCTAAAACTTCCAACTCTGGAACCTCAGGCCTAGGGACCTCAGAGGTCTGGAATGCCAGGGGAGGACCCTGGGAAAGAGAGCTGTTAGACCACAGAATCTTAGGTTCTCACCACTGTTCAAAGCTCTGGAACTCAAAGCATGGCCACGGGCTGAACTTTACCCATTGGCACCAAGTATTTATGCTGGAAGTAGCAGCTCATAAATTTCAATGGCAATTTCACTACCAACATGAGCCATGCACCCTGGGAGCTACCACAGCAGTTGAAACACTGGCTGAGGATTATAAAACCTGCTCCTGCCCAAAGGCTCCAGAACCTCATCCTAAAGGGTAATCTTGGTCGTCCATGAACGTCTGGATAACCAGAACTCCCCAGTACTCCAACAGATACCTCGAGGTGCTCAGCAGGGGCTGGGGAGACAGTCACTAGACATACAGACACACGTCCTTGCAGCTTTCGAGCCCAGGACTCTGGCTCCAGGGTTCCTGGGGAGAACCCAGGCTCCAAAGCTCCCGAAACAGCCCCTGGACACAGCCCCTTGACCTGCCCAAGCCAGTCAGTCCCCGCTGCCAGCATTCACCCACCTTTGACGATGAGTGAGGCCTTGGAGGTGAGGCCCCGCACAGAGAAGACCACCTCCCCAGCATCACTTGGCACGGCATCTCGGACAGCTAGAGTGTACTTGCGGCCCTGGCGCGTGGCACAGAAGCGGCCAGAGCTGCCCACTGTTTTCCCGCTCACTGTCCACTCAGCCACACCGCCAGTGTCCTCATGGGACAGGATGCACTCGAAGCTGCAGCTCTCGCCCTCCAGCACCTCCACCGTCTTCAGCCTCTTGGTGATGCCCACGTGCAGCTCTGCAGGCCACGGGAGACAGCTGTCATGCCGGCTGGGCCCAAGGAGGCCTGCCCCATGAGACAGGTGCCACCAAGCTGATAGCAGCCTCAGGCTAGACCCCAGGAGGGGGCACACCTCTGGATGACATGCATACCCCCTTCTCTAACCCCACTCCCAGGAGGCCTGCTGCCTCTCTCAGCAAGTGTCCTCTTGGCCTCCTGCTGTCCACACCCTGGCACTCAGATGGCTGATGGCTGTGAGTGGCAACCAGGGTGACTCCCTTCACATTTGCTAGAGAATAACATGGAGAGAATAAGCACCACCCAGTCGCCACCAGCTTACACACTCCATAAAAAGAACAGCTCCCCCAAATGAAGGGGAATCCAGTTCACCACACCACCCTTCCCCTCCCCATCTCATCACAAACTGGCCAGACTATCACGGACCAGCCAGGGGGTCACTGGGGAATACACCTGCCAAACACATAAGAGAGAAAAGGACTAGGGGAATGGAGTCAGGACAGACATACACGGGACATCAGGTACACATCGGAACCATACCCCGGCTGGAGGGAGCCTGGGAAGAGAAGGGTGACCTGCCCAGAGCCACCTTCATCAGGCCACGCCATGGCCTGGCAGTCCTCCGGGGGCACCCCCTGCCTGATATCGCAGCCTCTCCCACGCACCACCCTCCTGACGCCTCCCTCTGGGGCCCCTGGGCCTGCCCACACATCCCCTGGTACAGAGGGAAGTTTCCAGCCTCCAGCTGAATCCCTTACCCCCTGGGACTCAATCAAGCAGGGCCAGTCTATCTCCCAGGCTTTGCTCTGTTGCCTATTACCCCTGGCCCACCTGCCTGCACCTGGACCTTCTAAGACCCTGTCGAGCCCACGCCTTCAGCAGTCTGCCCTGATCTCTCCAGGCTCAGCAGAGCAGACCCTGGTGTCTGAGAGTGGGTGGGTCCCCCGAGTGCAGGCATGCCCAGAACCACACCCCACTGTCTGCAGCTGGCCGCCGCACGCACCACGCACGCTGACCCCGGAGCCACGCCCCACTGTCTGCAGCTGGCCACCGCATGCACCATGCACGCTGACCCCGGAGCCACGCCCCACCGTCTGCAGCTGGCCGCCGCACGCACCATGCACGCTGACACGAGCACGGGTCTCATCAGTGCCCACGTCGCAGGTGTACAGGCCGGCATCATCCCGAGTCAGGCCGTGCACCACGAGGCCTCGCGTGCCCGCCGTGTTTAGGAAGTCATACTTGTCACTGGGGCCCAACTCCACGCCGTCCTTCCGCCACACCACGTGGGCGTGCTGGTCAGACACCTCGCACTGCAAGGTCAGTGTGCCCCGCTCCTCTGCAGACACATCGTCCAAGGCCTTCAGGAACACCACCGGCTTCCCTGCAGGAAGAGGGTGGGCGTCTCAGGGGGCCACCTGCCGCCTCTGGCCCGCCGGGCAAAGGGTGCGTGTCCCAAGGGTCCCCATGGGCCACACACAGTCGCCTCACCTCTGACCGCCAGGTGGGCGGAGGCCGCAACCTTGGGGGAGGAGATGCTCACGGTGCCCCTGTCAGCCTGCCGGACCCGCTTCAGCACCAGCGTGTGGCGGCGGCCCTCGTGGGTGATCTCGTGGAAGCTGTCGTTATACAGCGGCGTCCCATTGAGCAACCAGTCCACCTCTTCATCCTCATGGGACAGCTCGCAGGAGAAGCAGGCACGGCCCTCCTCCAGGACCTCCACGTCCTCCAGCGGCTGCGTCACCGTCACCTTCCGTTCTGCCGGGAGCATGAGGCAGCTTCAGCCTGACCGCTGCCGCTGCCTCCTCTAGAGACCCACTGGGGCCCACGCCCCCTCTCTGCCTTCCACAGTGACCTCCCAGAGACCCTCTGGGGCCCACGCCCCCTCTCTGCCTTCCACAGTGACCTCCTAGAGACCCTCTGGGGCCCACGCCCCCTCTCTGCCTTCCACAGTGACCTCCCAGAGACCCTCTGGGGCCCAGGCCCCTCTCTGCCTTCCACAGTGACCTCCTAGAGACCCTCTGGGGCCCACGCCCCCTCTCTGCCTTCCACAGTGACCTCCTAGAGACCCTCTGGGGCCCACGCCCCTCTCTACCTTCCACAGTGACCTCCGCGCTGCTCTGGGCACTGCCAGCCTGGCACCGGTAGACACCGGCGTCCTCAGGGGTGAGCCGCAGGACACGCAGCTCTGCCATGTGGCCCTCCAGCCTCATCTTGAACTTGCTGGATGGTGCCAGGGGTGTGTCCTCCTTGTACCACTGCACAGCCTTGGGGGGAGGCTTGAAGTCACAGGACAAGATGACGGACTGCATCTCCCGCCCCACCTTGGGCTCCAGGGGCCGTGTGAGCACCACGGGGACGTCTGTGGCGGGAGCAAAGAGGGAAGCAGGCATAAAGTGGGCCAGACCACGAGGCCGGAAGCCCTGCCCGCCCAGGCCCTGTCCACCCTCCACCAAGCCATCGGGCAGGGTCCTCTCACCGGAGACCACCAGGGAGGCGGTGGAGCGTGACTTGCCGATGGTGAAGTGCACCGGCCCCGTCATGGTGGAGTAGGTGCGCCGCAGGGTCAGCCGGTGCACCGTGCCCTCCTGCTCTATCCCCACGTCAGCCCCCGCCTGCAGCACTGTCTTTCCCAGCAGCCACTTGGGGGGCCGCACCGAGGGAATGGAGGTCTCACACTCGAACCAGGCGGGCGCCGGCTCCATCACCATCACATCCTGCAGGCCCCTCACGATCACAATGGACTGCTCTGTGGATGAGGGCCAGTCAGCAGGGCAGTCCCGTGGGAGGGTCACGAGCCGCGCGCCGCCCCCCCCCCCCACCTCTGCAGGGTCTGCTCCTGGGAACAAACCCTCTCAGACACACTCACATCCTCCTGGGAGCACCCCGAGGCCCTCCTCAGAGCTGGATGCTCAGTCGCTTTAGCTGTGTCCAGCTCTGTGCAACCCTATGGACTGTAGCCTGCCAGGCTCCTCCATCCATGGGATTCTCCAGGCAGAAATACTGGAGTGGGTTGCCCTGCCCTCCTCCAGGGGATCTTCCCCATCCAGGAATCGAACCCAGGTCTCTTACGTCTCCTGCATTGGCAGGTGGGTTCTTTACCACTAGCGCCATCTGGGAAGCTCAAGCCTCCAAGTGCCACAGGCCACAAACCCTCTCCTAGGGAAAAAAGGAACAGTTTGCACCCGGCCCTGCCCAAACCTTCTACGAAGAAGTGTGCACTGGTCTTCACGTCGCCGGCATCGCACGTGTAGGTGTCCTCGTCCTCAGGCTGGACAGCGTTGATGACCAGCTTGCGGTAGAGGCCGTCGCTGACCATCTCGTACTTGGCCCCGGGATGCAGCTCCACGCTGCCCTTGAACCACCGCACCTGGGCACTGGCCCTGGACATCTGGCACTCGAGCACGCCGCGGTGCTTCTCCATCGCAATCTTATCCCGCAGTGGGCGAAGGATGGACACGGGCAGCTCTGGGGGTTCACCCCGCGGGGTCAGAGTGGGCGCACAGCGAGCCTGAACCCCAGGACGCGGTGCTCTGGCTGTGCATCTTCCCACCAGCCAAACTGGGACCCCACGCTCAGGTCGAAAAGAGCCCAGGCGACCCGCCCGCCAGAGCCAGCAGGCGGCGAGGCAGAGTCTCACCCTCAGGCTGACCTGGGACGCTGCTGCTCGCCTCTGACCACGAGGACAGAGCGCACACCCCCACACACCCGCTACCGTCCAGTGGGCCCTCGGCATGTGCGTGCCCGCCCCACCCGACACCCCATCCATCCCCTCACCACACGGCCTCGCTCTCACCCGGCACGCCCCTGGGTCCACTGCACCCTGTCCTCACCATGTATATCCCAGCAGCGTGGGCCCCTTCCCCAGCCTGCTCCCAGGCCCCTTCCCCCTCCCGCCCCCCATCACCCTGACTGTCACCAAGGTCACCAGAAAAGGCTGCTATGCTCACCTCCTGCCGGGGCCTTTCTCTTCAGCATTTACTGAGATCCCAGGAGGAACAATTTACTGGTAATGACATTTTAAACAAAGAAGGAGACCCCAAGACTGCCTCCCCTACTCCACTTTCTTCCTCCTGAGGAGGGAACACCCCTTCCCCTCCTCCGGGGTCATTTCTAACCTCATTCCAGGAGGGACCCCAGGACAAAGACAGCGGGCGTTCCAGCCCCGTAAGACAGCACGTGTGCTTGTTCACACAGACCCTGTCCAGCCCCTGCCTTGTCCGGGGCTCCCATTACCTTTGACTCGGAGCTGGGCTCGCGATTCTGCATTTTCTGCTACAAACTTGATTTCCCCTGCATCTTCCACCAGGACCCTCCGATAGATGAGAATGTATGTCCTTCCTGGGGACAAAGCCCACTCAGCACTAAAAGGCAAGCTGGCCCGGGGACGGGGAGGGATGGCCTGGGGGCAGGAAGTGGGGAGAACCCCTGTTGGCCCCCCCACTGCCCCCATCTCACCTTCCTGGCGGATCCTCACGTTGTCACTGGGCCGGAGCTTACTGTCCTCCCAGAACCACTGCGCAGGCACCTCATCGTGGGAGACCTCGCAGGAGAAGGTGGCGCCCTCTTTCTCCATCACTTCCACATCCTCCAGAGGCCTCACAATCTGGACATTCCGGCCTGGGGCACACAGCAGGCCCTGCTACACCCCGAGGCACAGACCTCCTATCTGACTACCACCCCCGGCCCAGCTTGCTGACGGGGTACAGGCTGGGCACAAGGGCAGAACCAAAGGGCCAAGCACTTGCTGGGGGATGCAGTAGGGGCCAGGAGGTCCTTGCAGCCACCCTCCCAGCCCTCACCTTGCACCTTCAGGGAGGCCGAGCTCTGAGCATCGTGGGCATCGCACACGTACACGCCCTGGTCTCCAAGCTCACATCGGTAAATGACGAGACTCCTGCAGGCCCCCTGGGCCACCATGCCCATGGTCTTGCTTGCCCGCAGCTCCACACTGTCCTGTGAAGGAATGAGGCCGGGTCAAGGGCTGGCACTGCCCAGCAGAGTGGTCTGACACTTGCCCATCCCTGGTGAGAGGCAAGAGGGGGCAGAGGAGTCCGCAGGCACCTTCAACCAGCGCACATCCACGTTGGGGCGTGAGAGCTCACAGTCCAGGGCCACCTTCTCCTTCTCTGTGGCCACCACGTCCTGCAGAGGGCGGACGAACTTCACGGGCAGCTCTGGGAAGACAGGAGGGAAGTGTTGAGAAGCAGGGCCTCTGTGCGGGGACAGGCTCTGAACTGGCTGGAGTCACTCAGCTGGTTTTAGGAAGGAGTCCCCTCCCCTACGACTCCCCACCCGCCTCCCTGGCACCGTAGGGACAGGGGCAGGCACCCTGGAGTGAGTGCTGCCCCACCTGTGAGCACCCACCAGTGACCACCAGATGAGCAGAGGTGTGCACGCCCTCCGCCCTGAAGGCCACCAAGCCACCGTCCTGCCGCTGCAGCCGTGACAGCGTGAGGGTGTGTGTGGGGCCGTGCACCGCCAGCTGGCAGTTGGGTCCCGGCTGCAGCCGAAGACCGTCTCGAGTCCAGCTGCCCTCCACGTCCGCGTGGGACAGCTCTACTTCCATGGTGGCTGTGCCCTGCTCCTGCGCCTCCACGGCCTGCAGGCCCCGCACGAGCCGGACCTGGCGCACTACGGGACAAACGAGGGGAAGGATGAGCCACTGCAGCAAGACCCTGGCCCTCGGGCCAGCCCCCGTCACTCCCCAGGGAGCTTCACGGTGCCCTGGGGGGGAGGCCTCCCCCAATTCACTCCCTTCCCCCGGCCAAGTGCAGGGTCTTCTTCCCTTTTCCCCCTTTTCCAAGGCCCTGCCCCCAGACGGAGATCCCCTCTCCTCCTACCCTCTCTACCTCCTCAATGCTCAACCCCTAGACCGAGCTGGCTTAGCTGCTCACTTTCCACAGTCAGCTTGGCCTGTGTCTTATCGTCTGGTGTCTCGCAGCCGTAGAAGCCACGGTCAGCGAAACCCACGCCATGGAGAACCAGACGGTGACTTGCGCCCTCGGCGTGGATCTCCACTTTCTCGCCCGACGCGAGTGCGACAGCATTGCGTGTCCACTTGACCTCCGGCCACGGCCGCGTCAGCTCCACCTCCATGGTCACTGAGCTCCGCTCCTCCACGGTCTGTGGCTCCAGCTTCTTTTTGAACAACACCGGAGCCTCTGGAGTCATGAGGGAAGGAGATCACCAGAGCCACTGTTTCCTCTCAGAAAAGCAAGGCAGAGGGACCTGGCCCCTGACCCCCAGCCAGAGAGCTGCCCTCCACCACATTCTGACTCCGAGCTAGGGGAGGCCTTGGCCATACACAGGGCCCAGCTGCACATGTGCGCAGGTACGATTTTATGGGTGGATAACAGCACTTCATCTGGAGGAGGGCATGGGAGCTCACTCTAGTATTTTTGCCTGGAGAATCCCATGGACAGAGAAGCCTGACAGGCTACCGTCTATGGGGTCACAAAGAGTTGGACACAACTGAGCACACACACAACCACACTTCAGGAGGGCTTCTTCATTCCCAGTCCCCCTCCCACCTGCTGCTCCGCTCTCCTGAACAACCTCCTGCCATGCCCATAAGAGGCTGGAACTCCCAAGTGCGGCTGTGAGCGAAGCATCGGGACACACAGAGCTCTTGAGACAGGCAGACTCCAAGCCCCCAGACCAGCTGCACCAGAGTCCCTGTTCAACTAGGCCCCGGGTGCACCACGTGAAGGAAGAGAAGTGTCTGAGGAGCCCTCCCAGACTCAGGCTCTGCCATGGGCAGAACTGAATCTACCCATATTACTCCCTTCCTCATGAGATGGCTTGGCTCCCCCAGGGTAAAGTTCTGGCTCTCCCCACACAGCCCGGCTTCAGTGAGCAAGGTGCTTCCCCGTCACCTGCATATGTGTGCCCACCTTGCCATCCCCCCCACCTCTGGGCTCAGGAAGGGTCCTTTCCTCCAGGAAGACCCCCCTGGATCACGACCTCCGCCCACTCTCCCGCCAAGTGTGCACTGCAAGAGTTTACCATCGCCCCTTCAGAGCAGGTGCCTGGCCCCGTGGCCCCACACTGCATCTGACAAACCCACGGCCTCTGAAGCCAGCCCAAGGAGCTGGATCCAGGCCGGCAGCAGGGTGTGTCAGCACAGCCGCCTGGGAACCAGCTCACTAGGAGAAGCTGGTAGAAGAAGCTGCCGCGCCCTCCCGGCCGCCCCACAAGCTCACCTCGGACCCGGAGGGCGGCCGTGGATTCGATGCCCTCAGCCTCCGCAGTCACCTGGCCGGCATCCTCCAGGGCCAGGCTTAAGATGGTCAGGCTGTGGCTGGCACCCTTCTGCGATATGAGAAACTTCTCTCCGGACTGTAGCTGGACACCATCTCGGAACCATGTGACCGCCACGTCGCTGGGGGTCACCACGCACTGGAAAGTGGCCTCGCCGCCCTCCTCCGCAACCACAGCGCTCAGCCCAGACGTGAACTTGACCACGCGGGGTACTGTGGGCAGGGGCTCCACTTGAGATACAGACAGGCTAGGCGGGGCCTCCCCCTCTTGCAGATTCCGCGGAAGCACACGTCTTCCAGGAAGCCTCCCAAGAATGCGCCGCCAAGCCACCCACCCTCCCCGGCGACCCAGCCCATGGACCTGGCACGCGCATACCAATAACGGTGAGCGTGGCGCTGGTGTGGTCGTCGCGGCTCTCACATACGTACTCCCCTGCATCCTCTGCCCGCAGGCCCGACACCGTGAGCGAGCGCCGCGGCCCCGCAGCCGCCATCTGGAAGCGTTTGCCGGCCCGGAGCTGCGTGCTTCCGCGGCGCCACACCACCTCAGCCTGCTCGGGGCTCAGCTCACAGACCAGCGTCGCCGTGCCGCCCAGATCCCCGCTCACGGGCTCCAGGGGGCGGCAAAACTTGGCAGCCACCTCTAGGGGAGGGGAGGGGACGTCAGCCTGGCAGGGTTCAGGCCGCGGGACCGGCTCCGAGCCTCCTGGTTGCACGCCCGGAGCCCCACCCAGTCTCCACTCCAGGATGCTGCCAACAAGGGGTTCCCAGAGGACCACCCCATGGAGCCCCTCACCTTCCACCTGCACCGGGAAGTCCTGCCCCTCTGCGCCCACGCGGCAGCTGTAGACGGCACTGTCCAGGGTCTGTGCCCCACGTATGGTCAGGGTGTGGGTGTCCCCCAGGCTGGCCATCTCATGCCGCTTGCTACGGCGAATCTCCACACCATCTTTGAACCACGTCACCGTGGCCACAGAGGGCGTGGCCAGAGTGGCTGTCAGGACGATGTCCTCGTGTTCCCTGACCACCAGCAGTTCCCTGCGTCTGGGTTTCTCTGGGGCCGGGGGCTCAAACTCCGGCTCTGGGCAGGGGGATAACAAAGGAACATTAGACAGGGGACCCTCTCATCCTTGGCCTGAATCCCAGCCCCCTCCAGGCCACGTGGTGGGAGAAGACTTGAAATGAAACTGCTTAGGCTGTCCGCCTCTCCACCACGGCCTCTCTGCTGAGCAAGCCAGAGAGGAACGCGTCAGGGCCACAGTCCGCCTGCCAGGCGCCATCCAGGGTCCCGGGGCAGCACAGGGCAGTGAGGGGCCCCCTTGGACCACAGGCCTGGGGGCCACAAGCTCTGTCCAGCAAGAGCTGGGAGTCCAGGATCACTGCCCCAGCCCAAGGGGAGATGGGCCCCGTGAGCAGCTAAGGCAGGGGAATCGGGGCACATAATGGCCCTGATGCTGCCTGGGGCTGGGCCAGAATTCCAGAAGAGCGGGAGGGAGCAGGGCCGGAAGGGCAGCCGGGCAGCACAAGCTCAGTAGAGGAACCCCGCTGTGGGGAGGGGAGAGACCAGGCAAAGGCTGGGAGGTGTGAAAGAGCCTGAGTGCCTCCAGCAGCCAGGCACTGGGGAAAGGCCAGGGCAGAGGAGGGGGCAGAGGGAGGCCTGGGAGGGGACCTACGAGGGCCCCTGGGGGGCTGATCCAGGGGCCACCTGGCTGCAGGATCAGATGCCAGGGCCACAGCTGGGGACAGAGACAGGGTCACTGGGCTCAGGACTCGGAAACCCAGTGAGGTCACCAGCAGCAGGAGGGACAGGAGCAAGCAGGCAATACCTCCGCTTGGCTCAGGTCCAGGACAGAGGCTAGCACAACAGGCTGACCTAAATACAGCTGGACTGTCAGAGGCCCGAGCCCAGAGACGGGGGCTCCAGACCCAGTGAAGGCAGAGACGTTCAAGGCCAGGAGCTCCCCAGAGCAGGGCTCCACAGCTGCCCAGGAAGACTTAATATGGGAATAGTGTCCCCTGCCGACCACAGACAGAGAACGGCCATTTCAACAGACTACAGGCTTTCGCAGCCTGCAGATGGCTGAGAAAGCCTCTGTGGCAGGTTTCATGCTGGGAAAGGTACGGATGTGGTGGAGAGAAGCGGGAATCTGGGGGAGTAGATGTCAAGAGTGTCCTGGACTCGGGGCTGTGGCAGGCATCCTGCCACTCAAGGGCCTTGCCAGGAGACAGAGCCCTGGAGCTGACTGCATCCACGGAGAACCCAGCAGAGGACCCCAGGCCCCAGCATCCGATGCACTCACATCCCCCACCCTGCTGGGGATGTGCTCATTCCCCCCAGTTTGTCGGGTGCTCACGCCCTCCATCCAGCCCTGACACCCACCTGTGACGTCCAGGTGGAAGGAGACCTTCTGGCCCCCGGCCTCGCAGCTGTACTCCCCTGCATCTGCCTTGCCCGCCTGCTGCAGCACCAGCCGCCGGGTGCAGCCCGTGGCCTCCACATGCACTTTTGAGCTTGAACTCAGCTTCTTGCCATCCTTGAACCACGTCACCTCCGTCTGGGCCTGGGCCACCTCGCAGCTCAGCGTGGTGCGGGCTCCTGCCTTGGCCTGCACCTCCGTGTGCACTGCCTGCTCCTTGGCAAACGCCACCATAGGCTCTGCAGACAAGGAGGATGCACAGGGTCAGAGATGCATCTAAGCCGGGAATGCAGCAGTATGGGAAAAAGGCCTGGGCAGACAGAAAGGGCGACTGGGCCCTGCTCCAGGCTCTGCGTTGGGCCACAAGTGCCCACAATTGATCTATACATTCCGTGCATGCTGTTCCCAGTGGGGACTCTGGGAAAGATTTCTTCCTTACACATATTCCTCTAGGAGAGGAACTGTGGGATCAGGATGCACCCACCCTTCAACCTTCCTAGATGATGCCGTCTTTCTCCCCTGACTGTACAGAGAACACTCCCACCCACAGTGCGTGAGAGTTCCTGAGGCTCCATGCTCTCCATGTTGTCAGCTGGCGGCGAGCCGGTAGGGAGCATGCTTGTACTTCCTGAGCTTTCTTTTGCACAGTCTTAACAGGCTTCCCTGGTGGCTCAGAGGTTAAAGCATCTGCCTGCAATGTGGGAGACCTGGGTTTGATCCCTGGGTTGGGAAGATTCCCTGAAGAAGGAAATGGCAACCCACTCCAGTATTCTTGCCTGGAAAATCCCATGGACAGAGGAGCCTGTGTGGGCTATACTCCACAGGGTCGCAAAGAGTCGGACATGACTGCGCAACTTCACTTCACTTTCAACAACTTGCAAAGTGAAGCGTCATTTCTGATCTTTTTGGCTTTTGGTGTTTGTCCTTCTGCAATATCACTGCCAGATGTTTACCCAGTTATCAGTAGCATTGTCTGTCTTTTCCTTTTTCATTTTCAGGAGCTCTTCATATATTTATATTAGACCTTTGACAATTATGGGTGTGTAAATATTTTCTCCATCTTTGTCACTTGCTTCTTTATCTTTTATGTGTCTTCTGTTGACATAAAGTTCTGAGTTTTAACACAGGCAAGTATGTCAATTGTCCTTTGTGGAACCCTCTTACACTGTTGGTGGGAATGCAAACTAGTACAGCCACTATGAAGATTCCTTAAAAAACTGGGAACAGAACTGCAATATGACCCAGCAATCCCACTGCTGGGCATACACACTGAGGAAGCCAGAATTGAAAGAGACACGTGTACCCCAATGTTCATCGCAGCACTGTTTACAATAGCTAGGACACCTGATGCAAAGAACTGACTCCTTGGAAAAGACCCTGATGCTGGGAAAGACTGAAGGCAGGAGGAGAAGGGGATGACAGAGGATGAGATGGTTGGATGGCATCACCAACTCGATGGACACGAGTTTGAGCAAGCTCTGTGAATTGGTAATGGACAGGGAAGCCTGGTGTGCTGCAGTCCATGGGGTCACAAAGAGTTGGACACAACTCAGTGACTGGACTGAACTGAGGACATGGAAGCAACCTAGATCTCCACTGGCAGATGAATAGATAATCACATTTGAGTCAGTTCTAATTAGGTGGATGAAACTGGAACCTATTATACAGAGTGGAAGTAAGTCAGAAAGAGAAACACCAATAAAGTATATTGATGCATGTATGTGGAATTTAGAAAGATGGTAGCGGTGATCCTATATGCAATGAAGCAAAAGACACACAGATGTAAAGAAAAGACTTTTGGACTCAGTGGGAGAAGATGAGGATGGGAAGATTCAAGAGAACAGCATTGAAACATGTATATTACTATATATAAAAGAGATGGCCAGTGCGAGTTTGATGCATGAAGCAGGGCACTCAAAGCTGGTGGCTCTGGGACAACCTAGAGAGATGAGGTGGGGAGGGAGGTGGGAGTGGGATTCAGGATGGGGGACACATGTGCATCCATGGTTGATTCACGTCAATGCATGGCAAAACCATCACAATATTGCAAAGTAAGTATCCTCCAATTAAAATTAATTAATTTTAAAAATGTATCCTTTGTGATTAATATATTTATATACTGCTTAAATCTTTTATTACCATCAGGTCATTAGATAATCTATATTAGCTGCTAAGAGCTTGTTTTAACATTTATATTGGAGTCTCTAACTCACCTGGAGTTGGTGTCCATGTCTGCTGTGAGTATGATGTCAATTTTTATTATAGCAGAGTAGATATAAATATATATATGGTTATATGGTATTAGCACAGTTTATGAAAAAAATTACTCTTTTTCTACACCACACAGTAGCACTACATAGTTAGAAAACAGAAAAGGGATGGGAGAGTTTGGTTAAGTGCAGGGCTGTGTCAGAGCTCACTATTCTATTTCTTTGTATTTATCCCTGCACTGAAACCCAGCTGTTCACTACTGTAATTTTATAATGTTTGATATCTTACAGATCAAATGCTCTCATTTTACGAGTGCTTGAATTTCACTTGACCCCCGGAATCAACCTGTCAATTTTGACACACCCACAGAAGCACTTCTTTCTGGATTCTGATTGCTGGTATGTGCTCAGTTATGTCCACTCTGTCCATGGAATTCTCCAGGCAGGAATACCTGGACTGGGCTGCCATGTCCTTCTCCAGGACAGTGAGTAGGAATGGACATCTTTGTGCCCCCCCCCCCGCCATGTATAGCTCACCATTCATCTAGACCCTCGTTGTCTCCTTAAAATGTTTAATAATATCCTCTCCTGGAAGCCTTAAACACATTTTATTAGACATGGAATCAGAAGCCTGACACTTCTGATGTTATTTAATTGTCTTAAAGTATCATTTTCTGACTCTCAGTTGCTAGTACATCAACATAGAAGCATTTTCTGTGTATTCTGTATGTGGCATTTATTCTTAACTTCCTTACTAACTTTAAAAATTCTTTCTACTTTCTGCATTAATAATGTTATCCTCTAGGAACTCACTTTTTGCTTTATCTAAATTTTACTGTATATTTTTCCTGACAGTCTCTACAATATTGGACGTAAGTTGTGATAGTGGAGCCACTTGAAATGCTCCAATGAAAAGAAAAACTTTCAAGGTTTCCCTGTAAGTGTGATGTTTGCTGTTGTTTTCTTTAGTACTCTGTATCAAATTAAGGAACTATCTGTTTATTACTAGTTCAGTAAGAAGTTATAAAAATGAATATATGCTGTATTTTATAAAACTCAATCTAGATATGATATAAACATTTTATCAAGCACTTTTATTCTGCATTTTTTAAGGCAGAAATATGCTTTTTCTCTTTTAGTTTCTTCATGTTACAGATTGATTTTTCTAATGCTCTGATGTTGAACAAACCTTGCATTCCTGGATTAAGATCTTCATGTATTGCTCCACTCACTTTGCCAATATTTTGTACAGGATTTTGATACTGACCTCCATAAAAGATTGGCCTTAAGTTCAATTCTTTATACTTTGTCAGATTTTGGTATCAGTGCTATGGTAGCTACATGAAATGAGCTAAAGAGTGTCTGTCTACACACACACACACACACACACACACACACACACACATATGTATATCCTTTTTCCATTCTCTTAAAGAATCTCCATCAATATGAAATAGTTTTCCAGAATATTTCATATAATTTGCCAGAGGAGCCACTGAGCTTCATTTTGTGCTATGAGATTATTTTATTATGCTTCCATCTATGTAAAAGATTATAAGACTGTTCAAGTTTATTTCTTCTTGTGTAAGTTTTGATACAGTTTTATAAGAGTTGGCCCATATTTCAAAACTTTTCAAATTTACTTGTGTGAAATAATATCATATTTTATTATAATAATGTCAAAATGATTCACAGTGGATTTCTTGGTATCTATATACACCTATGAATCACTATATAGTAATCCAATATCAAACTGTTATCTGGTGGCACTTAGGAGTCAGTGTAGGACCACAGCCCATCTCTATTTGAAATTAACCTCTCTTAACAAAAGGAAACTAAAGTTAGTCTGCAGACATCTCTGTAGACCACCTCAGAAGGCACAGAAAGATACGCGTCATTAGGAAATGCTATGAAACAAATACTGCTCTACCAGTCAGTAGTGCTACTATATATAGTACCTCTTCTTTAAGAAAGCCTGTTGCTGTAGGGAAAGCTCCTTAATACTCTGCATTTCTAAATTTATAAATCAAGCTCCAAAGGGAATACTGACACAGAATGTACTAACTGAAGGCAAAAACCCCCCAAAAGTTGCTTTTGAAAGAATGTACCATATCTCAGAGGTGCATATCAAAGGCACCAATCCTCTTCTCTTGGTTTACTTTGCACAGACGTTGCAACTAAACAGGAACCTAGATTTTGAAACATTTAGGTGCACAGATAACTTCTACAACCACGCACAAGAAAGAAATAGTGTCCCATAACAGCTAAAATAAATTCAGACTTGAGGCAATGCCGAGTACGATTATGTGGCCGAAATCCTCTTGTCAGGTTAAAAAAACTACAAACATCTCTGATTATGGAGAATCCTCATACGATGCTGGGTGAGAGAATTTGGATATTGCTAAAACGTCCAAAAAATACATTCACATATACCAAGGTGAGAGATATCTGGTCTACTTGAGACCCCAAGGGCCAGATGGAGCCAGGGTCCACTGGGGGTGCATAAGAGAGGCCCCTCCTCCTCCCACACACACCATTCCCACCCAGTGTCCCTGGGAGAGAATGGCAGGTGGGAAGATGGGAGACATGAAGAAGTTAAACGCAATGAAAAGATCCTGTCATGGCTGTAAGTCAGTCACATCATCTCCAAAAGATCCTCTCAAATAACTGACCTGTGACGTCCAGGTGGAAGGAGACCTTCTGGCCCCCGGCCTCGCAGCTGTACTCCCCGGTGTCCGCCTTGCCCGCCTGCTGCACCACCAGCCGCCGGGTGCAGCCCGTGGCCTCCACACGCACTTTCGAGCTCGAACTCAGCTTCTTGCCGTCCTTGTACCACGTCACCTCCGTCTGGGCCTGGGCCACCTCGCAGCTCAGCATGGTGTTGGCTCCCACCACGGCCTGCACGTCACTGCGCACTGCCTGCTCCTTCGCAAACGCCACCATGGGCTCTGGGGACAAGGAGGGATGCACAGGGTCAGAGACACTATCTAAGTCAAGATGTGGCACTGGGGAGGAAGGACTAAATGGTGAAGCAAGAGAACTGGAAATTTCTCTAGATCCTGGCTAGCTATGTGGCCTTCTCATCGAGTAACAACATTTTACCTATATATTCTCCCACTGATCCATGCGTGTTGTTCCAGGTGAAGATGTTGCAAGAGACTGCAGCGTACACACTACTCTGGGAGAGCTTCAAGGTCCTGAGGCACTGGCTGCTCAACCTCTCTAGATGGGCACCCAAAGGTCCGTGTAGGCCCCCAGCCACAGTTGTCTGACATTAACGCTCCCACAGGCCAGCTCGGGGAGGAGTGCACGCCCAGCTGCAGTGCAGACACGGTTTGGAGCCTCCAGCCTCTGGTCTGTGCTCAGCATGTCAGCTGTGGCCAGTCGGGTGGGTGGGAATTTAGACCCGCTTGGCTGCCTCTTGCACGGCACTCGTGACTCAGAAAGTGGAGCGGCATTTTCAGTCTTCTGGCCATTACTCTCTGCTCTCCTGTGGTGTCACTCTTCCAGTGTTTCAGCTGATTTTCAATAGCATTTTCTGTCTCCCCCTTATTCATTCTCCAGATCTCGTCACATGCTTAAGTGCTGGAGATTTGACAAATGATGCAGTTTGCGAATACTGTACCCATCTGCATAACTTGCCTTTTCACTCAAGCTTTTTTTTTTTTCCATTTATTTTTATTAGTTGGAGGCTAATTACTTTACAACATTGCAGTGGTTTTTGTCATACATTGACATGAATTAGCCATGGATTTACATGTATTCCCCATCCCGGCCCCCTCCCACCTCCCTCTCCACCCGATCCCTCTGGGTCTTCCCAGTGCACCAGGCCCGAGCACTTGTCTCACTGGGCTGGTGATCTGTTTCACCCTAGATAATATACATGTTTCAATGCTGTTCTCTTGAAACATCTCACCCTCGCCTTCTCCCACAGAGTCCAAAAGTCTGTTCTATACATCTGTGTCTCTTTTTCTGTTTTGCATATAGGGTTATCATTACCATCTTTCTAAATTCCATATATATGTGTTAGTATACTGTAATGGTCTTTATCTTTCTGGCTTACTTCACTCTGTATAATAGGCTCCAGTTTCATCCATCTCATTAGAACTGATTTGAACGAATTCTTTTTAATGGCTGAGTAATATTCCATGGTGTATATGTACCACAGCTTCCTCATCCATTCGTCTGCTGATGGGCATCTAGGTTGCTTCCATATCCTGGCTATTATAAACAGTGCTGCGATGAACATTGGGGTGCACGTGTCTCTTTCAGATCTGGTTTCCTCGGTGTGTATGCCCAGAAGTGGGATTGCTGGGTCATATGGCAGTTCTATTTCCAGTTTTTTAAGGAATCTCCACACTGTTCTCCATAGTGGCTGTACTAGCTTGCATTCCCACCAACAATGTAAGAGGGTTCCCCTTTCTCAACTCTTATACTAAGTCTAATTAATCTTTTAGATTTTCTGAATTGATATCCATGTAATCTATTATTTCTTCTAACATTTCATGCTTTGTATTGATCTGCTTTGTTTCTGAAGCTACATAATCCTTGCAATATGGGAGTACAACTTTATCACAGTGTATTGTCTTCTTGATATATTGCTGAATTCAGTTTGCTAATATTTTGTCTAGGGTTTTCCTTTGACAGCTATAATAAACTGACCTGTAATTTTAATTACTGGTACATTCCTTGTCAGATTTTGGTGACCATGTTATGTTACCTACAGAAAACCATTTGCAGAGTGTATGTCCTTCTATTCTCTAGAAGAATCTCCCTGAACATGGATTAATTTCTTTCTAAAATATTTAATATAACTTACTAGGAAAGCCACTGGGCTTAGATCTTTCTGAGAAAAATGATTTACTGTGTTTCAACTTACTTAAAAGGTTTAGAACTGTTCAGTTCAGTTCAGTTCAGTCTCTCAGTCGTGTCCGACTCTTTGCGATCCCATGAACTGCAGCACGCCAGGCCTCCCTGTCCATCACCAACTCCCGCAGTCTACCCAAACCCATGCCCATCGAGTCGGTGATGCTATCAGGACAGTTAGAGTTGTCTAATTCTTCTGTGTTACTTTTGATAATAGTTTTCTAGGAACTGGCCAAATTGCCAAAATTCTTCAAATTGACTACCATAAAATAATGTGTCATATTCTCTTAAAATATTAATAACATTTGACAAAGGTACAGAGTGAGTTTTCTGGTATCTATACATACCCACAAGCTATTATGTACAGGTACAATACCACACTGTTAGGTACTGGCAACCAGAGGTCAGTGTAGGATCACAGCCATAGTTATTTGACATTAACACCCTCTTTTTAAAAACTATTTATTTATGCTTTTAATAGTATAATGAACAATAAATCTGCTACCCACTCACTTATCTACCTGTGACAAACTCCTAATGAAAGGAAAAGAAATTTAGATCTCAGGATTCTCTATGAACCGGCCAGGGAGGCACAAACACTGTAACCATGAGGGAAATTCTATAAAGTAAATACTGTCTTATGAGACCATAGCTGCTGCTACTACAAAAACTCATCTTTAACAAAGTGCAGTGGTACAGTATTAGCTACTTACTCGTTTCCACCTGTAAGCTTACCAATCAAACTCTAAGAATACTGACACAAATGTTCTAACTGAAGACAGAGGAAAACAATATGTTGTTTGAAAAGAGCATTCTAAACCTCAGGCACATATCACAGGTGCATACCTACCAACAGTCAGCTCCTTTTTACTGTTCACAGGCGCTGAGACAAAACCTGCATCTAGAATTTGGTACATGGAGTGAAAAGAGAAAAGAGCCTCCCAGAACACCTAAACTATTATGAACCAAATTTTAATGTTGAGATCATTCCAAGCATGATTATGTGGCAAAAAAAAAAAAAAAAAGTCCCCTTAATTTTGGTTCAGTGAAATTCAAACAGGTCTCACTAGTAAGAACTCTCATGTGGTGGAAGGTGAGGGATGTGGGAACAGCCAAAACAGTCAACAGAAGGATATGCACATAGTCCCAGGTGAGAGACATCTGGTCTACTTCAAACCTCAAGCACCAGGTGGATTCGAGAGTCCTCAATACGGGGAAGATTCTACACAGCTGTTGGGACATGTGAGTAACTGTTTACATCAAACACTACCTGAAGTTTACAAGAAGGGCCAAGCTCCCTTCCATATACATGCCCCTCCAGTTTAAATTCCCTTGGTTCGGCCATGGGCATAAGAAGCGGAAGGATGGGAGACTTGAAGGAAGAAATCTAATGTAAAGAGCACTAGGGCCCAGTGAGTCTATTAGTCAGTCCCATCATCTCCTCCGAACGCTCTCAGTCAGAACCCCCCGTTATGTCCATGCCCAAGGAGACCTTCCGGCCTCCAGCCTCAGAGCTGTGCTCCCCAGTGTCTGCTTTCCCTGCCTGCTGCACCACCAGCCGCTGAGCATGGTCCCGGGTCCCTTCATGCACTTCTGAGCTGGCACTCAGCTTCTTCTCATCTTTGAACCATGTCACTTCCCTCTGGGTCTGGGCTACCTTGCAGCTCGGCATGGCTGTCCCCCCAATCACAGTACGCCCTTCACTCAACACCAGCTGTTCCCCGGCAAATGATGTCCAGCCATGGACTCCGGGGACAAGGAGGGAAGTACAAAGTTAAAGGCATGATCATCTAAGGCAGGAAGGCAACAGGAGGGGGAAAGGGACTGCACAGGGAGGCAGGAAGACTAGAAACTTCTCTAAGCTCTGCACTAGATATGTGCCCAAGAGGCCCCATACCTTATCAGCAGCGGCGACACAATTTATCTATCCATTTGGCCACAGCTCCAAGTGCGCAGTTCTAAGTAAGAACATTGCAAAAGACTTCTCTGTATATAGTGGGGGGCAGGGGGCGGGGAGTCATGATCCACGCAGACTTCCTAGATGAAGGCAGAGTCTTCTTCCTAGAGAAAGCCTCAGCCTTCCTAGATGAAGCCAGTCTCTCCCACCCAACTGTGCAGAGAGTGTTCCTACCCACAGTGCATGAAAACTACTGAGGCTCCACCCTCTTGCCTATTCTGTATGTCAACTGTTGCCAATCTGGTGGACTGAGGCGATACTTCCTGTGGCTGTCTCCTGTATGGTCCTGGTGACCCACAAAGCAGCTTTATTAATCTTTTTTGTAATTATGGTCATTTTTTGGTCATTTTCTCTTCTGTGGTGTCACAGTTAAAGAACTTGCCTGATTTTCAATAGCGCTGTCTGCCTTTTTCATATTCATTTTTAGGACTTCTATTTGCATGCTAAAACTTTTCTCTTCCATATCTGTGTGACTTGCATGCCACTATTTTATGGTGTCTTCTGATGAATCGAGATGGTTGGATGGCATCACTGACTCAATGGACATGAATTTGAGCATGCTCTGGGAGATGGTGAAGGTCAGGGAGGCCTGGCATGCTGCAGTCCACGGGGTCGCACAGAGTTGGACATGACTGAGCGACTGAACTGAACTGAATGAATCTAACAAAAGCTTTTAGCTTTGCTTTTTATTATTATTAAGTTTTTAGTTTTAATGCAGTCAAATGTGTCTGTCATTCTTGTTCCATGGTAGTGCATTTGTGTTCTGTGTCAGGAATCTCCCCTTACTCAAAAGCCACAAGGCAATCTAAGTCATCATCTAAGCGTTTTTATGGTTTTCTCTCTTACTCTGAGGTCTTTAACCGACCTGGAGTTGGTTCTGTGTGGTTTGTGTTATCAGATGAACTGTTTTTCCTTACATGGTCAAATGGAAAAACAAATTCTTACAAAAAGACCATCATTTTCCACTCCTTGCACAGCCACCACACTAAAAAAAAAAAAAAATGTGGGAGTGGAACAAAGGTCCGTCTGTGGACAGGTCTTTTGCTAAACTCTCTCTCCTGTTCCTTTGGTCTGATAACTGTCCC